GTAGGTCCAAACAATCTTTAGCAATTTCAGGAATCTTCCTGATCAAGTTGTTGCACTCTTTCATGATGAATTGACGAAGTTTTGAAACTTAAATATCAATAACTTAAAAAGCGTTCATGAAAGAAAATGATGTCTGGCCATCAGGATTACCTCTAAAATTAGCAGCAAAGATTTCAGAAAAATGACCTTGAATGACCTTGTCCTTGAAACAAAAAATGAATGCCCCCCAAACTCACTTTATTCGATTCCCAGGTCAAAGAAATGTCTGGTTGCAAATTTATTGGCGTTCAACATCTTACTAAGTAGCTGAATAGCCCTGTATTTTCACCAACTTTCTTGATTGAACAATTTTTGAATTTTGAGACTGATTTCGTGGTTTTTTGGTATCAGATTTGATAACAAAAAGGTACCTAATTGATTGTTGATTCAGCACTTTTGAGACTCCACAAAAGATGAGATGGCGAACATGAGAGCATTTGACGCCATTGCATAGCTCATGAGTTCTCCGCACGAGAAGAGTGCTAATTGAAAGCTAAGTGATAATTTGTCGAGATAATAATAGATTTCTGCTTTTGATAAGGATTATTCTGGTGATGATTGAAAAGTGTTTATTCAGTCTGAGATACGAAAAGCACAAATGGCGGATTTGGATTGGAAAATTTTTTATTTATGGGTTGTTTATTTATTTTTTATTTATTAATCAAATTGTATATTATCAGGTTTCATAACATGATTTGCACAAAATTATTAAAGATTTAAAGTCATTGATTTTGACTGGCGTTTTACAAAGATCACAAATACCTAAATCGGGATTGAAAGCACATAAATCAATATGAGCTTTGTATTCTGCATACTTGGTAATAGCAACACATCCAGGAAATGGACATTGTAACATCAAGTTATCCATAAAGAACTTGCTCCTTTGTCCTTTTGGTGCTGTCTTTGGTAGCGGTTTGACCACAAATTTTAGGTAAGCGCATCTATAGGCTCATCTAAATTTCAACTCTTTCTGTTTTTAAGTGGCCTCGATTTGGCATTCCTTACAGAATATCGTGGGGCAATCCCTGTTCGCGCCAATATGTACAAAAGGCTCCCAAGCCATACAAAGACAATAGTTGCACTGATAATTTCGCTATTCATTTTTGTCGATGAATTGAGCATCGTCATTCTCGACTCGCGTATCAGCATCGGCAGATTCATCTGACAAATTTACAACAGGCTGATTGTCAGGTTGAATTCTGTTTTGTCTAAATTCCGGTCGCAGCACATCCAGGGTAATCTTCCACCAGATAACCAGAACAAAATGTTATAACAGAGTACAGTGAATCCACACTTATTTTCACAAAACAATAAGCGCCATCAACTATACTACCAACGGTAGACAATAGGCTTAGATAGTATAGAAGATGGAGTTGATTTTTTGTAAAAATAAGTGTGGATTCACTGTACTTCAATATCACTTCTCCTCGAAAAGCAGCCAATGTGCCCGTCCCTTGAAGTAAATTCAGCAGTACCATTATTAGCCCTTCGAGCATCTTCGTATTTTTAGAGTAGAGTAGGCGATAGAGTAGGCTGTTTTAAGAGAAAATTTTTCGTGGTCATCTAACGTTTTCTGTAAATCAGTTCAAAACCTAGGTATCAACAAGAAACGATATTTCAACGTTGATTGTACCTTTTTGGGCCCCCTTCCGGCACTATTTTATTGTCTGTCAGTCGGGGAGAGGTTTAATTACAGATCAAAGCAAAAATAGTTTATTATTAGTCAATTTTTATACAATTAGATTAAAATATGTAAATTTTAAGAGTAATTCGATTGATAGTTTTGAAGGGAATGTTTCATCAATGATAGATGAGAGTCAATGTGTTAAAATTTGATTTAAAACAAATGTAAATAGCGATATGATTTAAAACAATTTGATAAAAACAGTAAAAGCTCGTTGGAGGCTTGAGTTGACCGTGATTGTGATTAAATGGCCAAATACTCAATTCCTTGTGATATCAACAATTTGTCATCATTAAAAAATGTTTAGCAGATTGTAAAAATTTGGTCCATTCGTATTAACCATTGATTTAACTGGAAGTTACTGTATTGTTCATCAAATAACAGCCAAGAGAGAAAAGATATTTTCCAATCAAACCAAGGAACATCAATTGAATGAATCGATAAAGAGCACAAACACTGGAAAAAATGGAAATTAAAATTAGATTAATTTCAATATGATGTGAGATCAATTGTTTTGATGTTAATCAATCCAATTCAGTTAAAGCAATCATCCATTTCAATAAGATATAGTTTCTATTGAATAGCTTTTTTTAGTTTCAAAACAGTCTGAGTTGCTGATCAAATTTTTTAGAAATTTTTCAAGTAACCTTCCTCATTCATTCGAGATAAACAGGCAAAACAAGTAACAGACAATAACTTGTTACTTCAATACAAGAGATTTTCTTGATTAGAGGGGAAAATCATTTCTTGAAATAATACGAACTCTTAATTAAAGGCAGATAAGGCTATCATCAAGGTGAATATAAAATGTCAAACTAATTTTACTCTTATAATTTGTCTATTTGGGAAATTTTACTATTCCTTTACATAATGGTACTTTTGCAAGGTTTAGTGACTACACGCAAGAAAACGGTTCAATTTTTTAAACATATTTCTTGCTTGATGAAGGAAGTTTAATTAGAATAAAGAATTCGACTAAATTAGATATCATTGTTTTTAAATAACAATGATAATTCTGGATAGGAACCTCTTGATACTTACATCATAACTTGTTTCTTTGCGCTGGCAATATCGGCTTCATCTTCCTTGAGGAAATATTTCTTGAAACCTTTAACACAGTCTACGATATATTCAGAGAAATTAAATTTTCTCACATCACAATAAAATAGCTTATAATCTTTAGGTGACAAAGAATTGACCAGTTCTAGATAACGGTCAGTCTTGATTTTGAATTCATGAGTAGTGAAAAATACGACCAGATCCAAGCCTTTATTCAATCGACAAGCTTGCTTATATAAACTGTAAATGGATAAAGGTATAAAGATTAGTTAGTAAATAATGTAAGGTTAACATTTAAAGATCATCAATTCAATTTCAATCAATTAACTTACAATCTTTTGTAACCAAACAGTGAAATAATCATGTCAAGAAGAATAGCGAAAAAGGTATGATACAGAAATTTTTCCAATGGATAATAAAATCTTGCTCTTTTATATTTTGGAGGAGCCATTAGAGGTCTTAATTGTTTTTTGCTTGGATAGACATAAGCAGCTTCACGAGCGAGTTCAAAGATTCCACCCCAAGTCATCTCAGGATGAAAGGCTCCAGCGGTCAAGTTATAAACCATACATTCATTTGGCCTGTAATTAAAATGAAAATGAATTTGAGAACATGAGTAAAGTATGGTTAAAATATGACCATAGGAAAATATTAGACGCTTACTTTTTACAAGCAGAGTACCAGGCACTTGCGATAATAAAATTGGCACAGATATCCACTGCGATTGTGTCTACAGCAGCCCAATAATTCCAATCAACTGTTTGGAGAAGACCGATTTGAGCGGCGAGTCCAATGCCCTGAATGCCTTGGATGGTATCAACCCAACCAGGTGCTGGTTCATTAACACTTGAAATAACGATCGATGGTCTAACAATCGATGTAGGTATGTTTCCTCGTTTTTTCATTACCAGGTCTTCTCCAAGTGCTTTTGTTAAAGTATATGGATTAGGGCGTCCTGCTAGAAATTTCTCAGTTTGTTTCTTCTTAAAAGCAGCATCTGGCGATCTGAGGTAAAAAATATTATTTAATTAAGTTCGATCCAAGTTGAGATAAATTTCAGAACTTACTTTAAAACATTTTCCACTTCGTCATAGCCGAATTCCATAGGGTAAACTTTTTCCTCGATAACAAGTCTGTCACAAAATGAATATGCTGTTGATACATGCACCATTGCCTCTAAATGAGCGAATTGATGGCACAAATCAATCAAATACTCAGTTCCTTTAACATTATTTACCAAATTTGATCTATAATTTCATTTAGATGAGTTGAAAAAGTTACATATTAGAGCCAATAGAAAAGATTAGAATATTTCGTTTCAGCAATCAAAATGTTACTTACTCTAAGTCTGCATCAAAACGCACATCAGCAGCACAATGGAGAACAACATTAACTTCTTCAATTAGCTTGTCACAAGTTTTCTGATCTATTCCAAGATTAGGTGCTCCTAAATCACCTTCGACTGCAACCACTTTGTATGCATTAAGCACTGTCTTGTCATGAAATGTGAATGGTTGCTTGTTCAGAATTTGTTTTAACCTTTCCGCTGGACTTAAGCCACGTTTACCGCGAAGAAGAACGTAGACGCGTTTAACATCAATACAGCGTAAAATTTTTTCCACAAGAACCTAGAATTAAATAATAAGCAAAACATGCATTACAATAATGTAACATAAAAAAGTGTAGAAATGTTCAAAAACTTTCAATAAAAATTGATGGAAGTTGCCTAAAATTTAAAGTATTACTTTCAATACTTTTCATGACACTTTAAAATCACATTGAAATCACTTTGAGATCCAATGGGTGACAAATCAAAATATTTTTCAAGCTTACCTTGCCTAAAAATCCGGAGAAACCGGTGATGAAAAGAGTTTTACCAGCATAGAAGTCAAGGATCGAAGATTGGTCCAATGTCGATTCGTTGTTGTTATTCATTGTTTCAAATTTGGCAAAATTATCCAACAGCAATTCACAATATCAAATGTTGAGCTGCAAGTAAAGCTTGAGCTAAAACTAACAAAGACAATGTTGAGAATTGTAATTTGTGGTAAAGTGGCAATCAAACCCAGCAACAGAAACACAAATTAGGAAAGATCTGGTAACCAAAGGAAGAGGGGAAAAGAAGATGAGAGCAAAGGTTGTAAACAAAAGTATTCAGATCAATTGAGTCACCAGTTCAAAAATACTCTTAACTGACAATTTTGGTTATAATTTTATCTCTTAACTGTTTGGCAGTATTTTGAAAAAAAATTTGAGTTGGCTTGTCGCCTTGAAAAGTTGAATTGCAATTTAATATGAATCGTGTGTTTTAGGCTGAAAATGAAACTGAAAACAAATGCCCTGAAGGAATAAAAAAGTTTCTCACTCTTACTCACTTTCTTAATGTTAATAATAATAATGATTATAATTATACTGTAAAGCTTCTTACCTTTATTTTACTGCTTCTCTCGACTGTTTCTCATAAACATCGGCTACATCGTTTATTGTTACGTCAATCCCCTTCATGGTATCCATTGAACTGATGAACCTAAGCTAGGCTCAGCAACAGGATAGAGAGGAGGTTTCAATGAATGGAAACTGGAAAAACCTCTGTTGGGTTTACGTTAATTAGAATAAAATATACAATCAAATGTAAGTGATGAATCTCGGGAATCTTATGAAGCAAAACAAAAGAAACGTTATGCGAAGAGAAAGTGATTCACTTGTTCCCTCCATTTTTTTAATGTCTTATAACAAAGTAGCCATCTTTGTCGGTTTTTCAAAACAACCTTATCTTAACCAAATCTAGTCAAATGTCTGGTAATAGTTCAACAGTCAACATTAAATTAGTTATTTAGTCTTTTGTCCATAAGCTGCCTTTTGAACCCTTTAGCAATTTTAGTTGCTAAGCCATTTTTTGGTTACCAAAAACGTGAAGCCATTTGTTATATAGATGTGATCTTTTTGATGCAATATTCTGTTTTTTCCAGTGGAGTTACTAATGTGTCCTTTAAGCAATCCTTTATTAATCTGTTAATCAACGTTAATTCAAGTTTACTTTTTGTCAGATCAACTTTTGGATAACCTTGTTTACAACCCTAACATGCCATATTTGATGTAACTACCGGATCCACTGATCTTGAGGGCGAACAATTTCTTATTTGATTTTTTTGTGTTTCATTAATATTCATAACTGTATTATGCAAAATAACTCTTTCACTGTCCAGAATTCATCTGATTTTAGAGTGCAATGTTTAAAATCTAGAATATGATAACGTTTAATGATCTCTAAAGCATTACAGATCTTCTGGTAAAATGGTTGAACCTGAATACAGCTCAAAACTGGCGATTTTAATATATTGGTTCAAGTTGGATCGATTTGATCAGAGACTTTCTTAATTTTAATTCATTTTAATATTGTCCGATGAAATACCATCATCCTGAATGATTAAAATTTGCATGATGATTATAGCTTGGCAAGTCGATTGTAATCTGAATTTTCAAGGTTTTACTATTCTTGCTTTTAATCATTTAATTTAAATTTATTATATTCTTGTTTAATTGTTGAATAACAATAAACATAAAATGATATAATTGATTGATAAAAACAACACGGATTGAGGATATTTTTACATTTTAACTGTTAATTGGTTGTATATTAAACACTACAGTTGAACATTCAAATCAGTTTTGGGTTATAATCAAGGTTATAAGATTCGGGTTGAAAGCCGGTTGCAAGTCAACAAAGTTGATTGTAAATAGTATAGTTAATATCGATAATTACACTTCAATTACTTGTTGAACTTGACCCTTTGCTTAATGTTGTGTATATTCATTTTGATTGCCTTGTTTAGGAGTAAATTTAATGACAATTTTAGCAATTGAAGATGAAAGTGAAAGGTAAGTGAATTGAAAAAATGGCATCAAATTGATAATTACGATTGTTTCCTGATTATGATTATTAATCGATTGATTTAATTTCACATTTTGCCCAACCATTGCCAACCAACAAAGAAACATAACTAAGGTTCAACCTGCAAACCAAATAAAAGCGACCAGTGAACCTGAATTTCCCTGGTCAAGGAAATTTTGAAATTCAACTCAAAAATTAAATTTTCTGGTTTCTTCTGGTAGCTTCAGTTTGGATGGTAATTCAAATTCAATCAAAGAATTGATCATTAAGTGATCAACTTCTAATTAACTCAAACCAGGAACGGGGTTAATAATCAATCAATCAATGCGAAGATGTAATAACCTCAAGGGTTGAATATTAAATCATCTGCATCTTATTACAAAGGGAAAGTGTTGGTGAAGAAATCTTTAAATTATCTTTAATTTTTATTCCAAAAATAACCTTTCATGTGGTTGAACAAGTTCATCGGATTTTCAGAGCAATGTATTGAAACGATATTGTTGATTTTACATTGTACTTCATTCTTGATGGTGAAATTTCAAATATGGTTTAAAGCCTAAAATTTGGGTCCTAAACGATCTTTTGATGTACCGATTGACAAGGATAATTTATTATGTTTTTCAACTAAAATACAATCAAGGTGAAACCATTGAAACCAGTTATTTGTAGCAATTATATAAGATAGTCTCACTTGTTTTTCCTCATTTATAACATATGGTTGCTTTGAGTGGAACCAAACAAATTTAATCAGAATTAACATCATTTTAATTACCGACCAATATCTCTATTTGTCTTCAGGCTTTCATTTGCTCGCAAATAATGTTGGCTTTTACTTGGATTAAGCTTGGATCTAAATGTTTTAAATTTTGGATCAACGATAAATGAGAACTAATTTGATGAAAACTTATTTTAAGGACGTAAATTAGGTTATTGTAAAGGTGATTTATTATTGTGAGATTAATACGAAGTGACTGATATTCATTCATTACCTTTGAGAAATGTTTTGGAAATCTTGGTCAGGATTTTTGTTCGTTATAGATTTCTCATTGATGGGAATTGTCATTGTTAATCAGATTTAATGGCCACCTTGAATAAAGATCAGAGTTTGTTTCGTTTTTTTTATTCAGTAAAAGATATTTACCTGTTTATTTGTCAATTTTTTAGTTTTTATACTTGTATTGACTTCACTTTGGATATTAAAACAAGTAATAAAATTATTATTAAGTGAGATGTTTGCGAGAAATAAACATATTTTGATGGAAATAATGATAGGAAGAATGAGAAAAGAGTTACGGTAGATGAAGAGAAAAAAATATGAAATAGTGAACAGGTTAAAATTTGAAAATGAGTAAGAATGAAATTGAATGAGAGTAGATATCTGGGAATAATGAGTTGAATTTTGTTTAAGTGAGGATTTATGATTTATGCTTGTTTTTAACCATTTGTAATTATTTGTCTCTCTTCTGGTTTGGTGAATTTAATGAAAAAGAAATTGGATAAATGGATACTATTTATCTAGCATATTGAGAATCATCTTCGACGAAATCATGGGCTTCCTCATAAGTGACAAGTTCGACATGGCTGACCTGTAGGATAAAAGATGAAATCGCATTAATACTAAATACTTGAAAGGATTTAACTTCTCAACAAATGGTTAATTTAACGAATACTTACTCGATTCCTGAATTTGACTCCATAAAATTTGTCGGCTCTTTCTAAAAGCTCAGGTCTGAAAGTTGTTGTAATGAATTGGGCGTCTTTGGAAAGTTCATGGATCATATCTGAATAATTAAAATTAAAAAAATGATTTAATTATTTATGATAAAAGAAAATAAATAAATCTTAAATAATCTTACCTGCTACAGCTTTACGATGCTGTGGATCTAAAGCTTGGTCGATTTCATCGAAAAGGTAAAACGGTGCAGGGTCACATTTTTGAATGGCAAAGATGAATGTTAGGGCGACTAATGATTTTTGACCACCAGATAGTTGGTGCATATCTTTCATTTCAGCGTTAGTACCAGTAAATGATACTCTAATACTAACACCAGTGAAATTATCAATCGACGGTGGAATGTTTCCAGATCCAAGAGATCCCTGGCTTCCTTCAGTAGAGTTGCCTGGATCAGAGGAGGTTATCATGTCAAGGTGGGCTCTACCTTGGGGCACAAGTTTTTTAAAGACTTCACTGAAGAAATTGGATACTTGACGGAAGGTTATCTGTATGGCTTCATACTTTCGCTGTTCTAGTGCAGTCATCAGTTCTAATATAGATCGATGTCCACTGTCAAGATCTTTTTTCCTTTCTAACAGTTTCTCTTTCCTTTCAGAGAAATCCATGTATTGATCCAATGCCTTCTTGTTAACATGACTGTACTTGTTTAACTCTTGATTACACTGTTGAAGTTTTTTGTACAACTGTTTTAAACTGAGATTGGCGTACTTGGTCTCAGCGTCAACAGGTAAGGTACCAAGCTCTCTTATTTTTCTCATAGTTTCATCAATCTTTTTATTTAACAACGAATTTTTGCTGGTTATCTTTTCAAGATCCTTTGAATCTTCATTGATCCTTTCGATGGTATCTCTTTCTTCGCTCTTTTTCTTCTCTAATTTGGTTTGAATATCTTTCAATTTTTTGGTTGTTTCGTCAATCTCTTCATCTAATGATCGTATTTGAACAACAACCCCATCAATTCGAGTTGTAATGGATGATAATTCACTTTCTTCACTTTCCAATTTCTGTTTTCGATCTTCGACAGAAATTTCCTGCAAAGCTGCTTCCAATTCATCTTTACGACGACACAAGTTATTGTTGAGAAGATTTTCTAACTTATTCTTTTGAGCTTCTAAATGCATACGTTTACTGAAAGCTTCTTTGTTCTTCTGCGTTAATTCAGCAATTTCATCGTTTAAACGGTCTACTTCTTGTTGGTCAGTCACAGATAGTTGAGTCAATAAATCTTGTTGCAATTCACTGCTCAGTGATTCTGCAAGAGATTCCATCGAGTTAAGACTTGCTTCATGGCTAACAAGACTTCTTTCACGAGGTTGCCTTGATCTTTCAATTGCAGCAAGTTCATCTTTCAACAAACGAATATCTGTCTTCATTTTGTCAAATGTATCCTTATTCTTGGTGTTTTTGGTTTCAGCCTTCTGCATATCACTAACAATTTGATTGATTTCACTTTCAACTTCATTTAACCGACGATGATGTTCCTCCAACTTATCTTGTTGATCAACAATCTCTTTTTTGATGGTAGCATGAGTTTTGTGGAGTTCAAGACGAGATCGTCGAGTATCAAAGTAACCACCAGTAAGGGAGCCTTTATGGGAAACCTGATCTCCATCAAGTGTGATACAATCCAAATTGGTACTTCTAGCTAATTGCGTGGCAACTTCCAGTGAACGACAAATTAATACTTTACCAAAAATAAATTTCATACCAACACTGAATCTAGAGTCATATTCTAGTCGACTTATCATCGGTATAGCATCCTGTTCAGTAAAACATTTAAAAAAATGTTTAATTATAGCTTTAGTAAGTAATAAGCATAATAAAAGAATTTAAATAAATTTAGACTTACCGATGTTTCGGGGTATTGTAACTCTTTTGAATAAAGCCGATTGAGGGGCATAAAAGTAACTTCTCCAGGCAGTTTCATACGATTCATTTCTTGAAGAATTTTTGTACCAACTTTATCATTAGCAACAATGTGATGGAATAATTTATTTCCGGCTGTCATTTCTACTGCCGTATAAAATTCTTTTGCACAATCGAAATTTTCTATCAACATTCCGTGATAATCTTTGGCAATTTGTTCAAATTGACCACCTCTTTCACGGAAAAGTTGCAGAACTCTGGCGACACTGTCACGACCATTAAGAATAGTTTTACCAACCATCGATCTCAACATTTGATCCTTTTTTGATTTTTCTTCATTAAGCATATTCGCATTCTGTTGCATAGCATTTTCTTGGCGCCAAAGCTCACTGAAGAGGAAGAAAACGAGAAATGGATGAGTGAGAAAAGAAACTAAATCACAATAAAAATTACTTTAACTTACTTTCTTTCATTTTGCAGTGCATCTTTTTTCTTTTTCAAATCATAGAATGATTTGTTTTGATTGTCAATACTGAATCTATTATTTTCCAGCTCTTTGGTGAGTTCCTGAAATGATCATAAAGAAGTTATGAGTGAAATTCTAATTCACAAAATTAGTTAGAGTTGACTTAAAAAAACAAACTTACCTCGATTTTTGCTTCAAGTTCTTCTTTTTTCTTTGCATCTCTGTTTAGATCACTTTTTATCTTAGCTATTTGGGTATTTTTTTCCGATATACTTTTTTTCAAAGTACTCAATTCTCTCGTGATCCATTTGTCTCTTTCAGCTTTCGACGTGAACTGACTACCTCTACCTTGTTTTGCGTATAATTCCGATCTTTTCTGCTCTTTGAGAGCTAACATTCGAGTGCACTCTTCTTCGATTTTTTTATTCTCTTCATATTGAGGCTTGATTTTATCCAACTCGTTTTGTTTCTCAGCAATACGGGCTTTCAAGTTGTTCAATTCTGTCTCAGCACGCTTTTTAGACTCCGCGTCTCCTTTAACTTCGTCGGTTAAATCTTTAAGACGTAACTCTAATCGCGTCTTCTCCTTCAAAAATGTACTGTGCTCATGTTGTAAGGCCTCTTTTTCGTCCTTAGCAGTTTGTAGCTTTGTTCGCACTTCACGAAGATCTTTACTGAGATCCTTTATCTGCTCAACAAAACTTCCTAGATTTTCTCGTAACTTTTCCGTGACACTACTGCTGGTCTCTCTCCTTGTCTCTAATTCTTTCAATTTCTTCCTAGCATCTTCCAATTCTTGATTGTAAATAGTGTATTCTAATGATCTTCTCATCTTATCCCATTTCTGGTATTCTTTAAGTTCTTCTTTTTCACCTTCCAATGTTTGAAGTCGTTCTTCAATATACTTCAAGAGATCCATGATCTTCTCCAGTTTTGATTCTGTTTCTCTCAACAAAGTACGAGATTCTTCTTTACGTTCATCATAAATTCTTGTACCAGCCACTTCTCGTAAAATTTTCAATCTCTGAGAGTCTGGAGCAGTTGCCATTTGATTAATTTTACCTTGTTTCACAATGTAATAAGGATTACTTCGGGAGAACCCAGCACTCTCTGTCATGAAAGAAAGAAACAAATAATAATAAATAAGAAATGAGACAAAAAAAGTTAGGAAAATAAATAAAAAAAAAGGATTGGGGAACTTACCAAGAACGTTCATAACATCAGAACGAGTTACAATCTTTTTATTCAAATAATATTGATCCTTTTTAAGACCAATCTGTCGCCTTAAGGCAACTTCACTATCATCAATTGGGAGCCGATTATCAGAGTTGTCAAAAATAATTTCAACGTAGGCAGTCATTATCCTCTGTCCAGTTCCTTCATGAAGTAATTGTTGTCGCTGTTCATGACGAAGATGGCTGAATTCGTCGGACAAAACGAATTGAATTGCGTAGAAGAAGTTACTTTTACCCGAACCATTTCTACCAACAATTACATTATGGCTTTTACTGAATGGCTCAACAACCGTTTGCTCTCGATAACTTCGGAAGCCTTGGATTATAACCTGTTTTATATACATTGCACCAGTAACGGAAGAGGGAAGGTGACAATTAAGTAGTTCGAGACAGTTTTGGATATGTCGTTAACTGTAGCAAAAAAGAAACATAAGAAAAAACAAAGGTTTTATTGACAGAAATTGAGTAAGAAGCGCCAAGTAAGGGATCACCCATTATTGCTTTCGAGTTCAAGTAACTCCATCTATTCTTAATAAAGCAGACTAGAGTGAGGCGGTAGTTCAACTGCCATAGTTGTCATAGGTTTAGAACAGAAAAGAAAGAATCAATTGATATTAAAATGACAAATTGATAATTAATAAAGCTAATTAAAAGAAGATTAATGTTTCAAAAAAAATAAGATGACAAAAATAATGAAGGGCTAAGAAAACCAAAGTGAAACAAAAGAGCAAAACAGAAAAACAATAAATTCAATTGCATGACAACTGGAGTAACAAGAAAAACTAAACTACTGAAAGGAAATGGCAAGAACAACTTTCAAATTAGGAAGCACCAAGTTGCTGACAATTTGATGCAAATGAGCAAAATTTTCAAACATTTAAGTGCTGTTGATTGAATTGTGAATCAAACAAAGAATGTAAAAAAGCAAGTTAATTGCCATTAAGATAATCGTTAGTTAAACTGGAAACAATAAAATTTCAAAGGTGATGAAGAGAATAAAATGATTTAATAAAAAAATACTTACAAAGAATGTTATTCAATAACTAAGCCAATGGTGAACAATCGACGATAACAACACCATATAAATAAACATAATTGAAAGTTAAATCAATAATAAAATAAGCAATCAAATTAACTGATTAAGATTGAGTTAACTTCTCATTCAAAATTACAGCTTGAAAATTTTGTTTACTTTTCTATGCTATTCTACTCGATTCGCCCTCTATCGTTTTCACATAGAACTTGTTGCAATTTAGATCCAAATGGGACTCGATATCTGGTTTGAGATACTCCATGTGATAAATTTGCTTGTTTTGGGTTTAAAATTTCAATTGTGATTTATTTTTGGGGGTCAACTATGTCGCTAATTTGCCGAAATCTAGTTTTAGTGAGTCACAGACTTGCTTTAAACTTCTCAACTTCATCTAAGCCTCCCAAAAAAGAGATCCCATTCGACACATTACTCAGGCAATCCTCGTTCATGTCATTGGGTGATTTTGAGGGAAGAATCATTGCTGGAACAATTTATCACACAATCGAAGACGATTTATACATTGATTTTGGTGGGAAATTTCCATGCATAGTCAAAAGACCTTCTAACGGAATGTGAGTTTACCTCTCATCTCTTGAAATGTTTTATTTTGTTTCTCAATTTTACCTTTTAATTTGGTTTCAGACAATTTGTTAAAGGAGCTAAAGTTAAATTAAGGCTGAATGACTGGGAATTAAGTGCACGTTTTCTTGGTTCAAGTAAAGATTTAACTCTATTAGAAGCTGATTGCACTTTACTCGGATTGATCTCATCACCAGTTGAAGTGGCGAAAAAATTACCAGCTAGTCCGAGTCAATCTAGTGGTTCAACGAGTCAAAGTTCAAATCAATAGTTTATCCCGAGGAAATAATTTAAGATCACTAGTTGACATTCAGGATGGGACAGTTAACAATTAGATAATTTTTATGTAAAAGCTGGCTCTGAATTAACAAATAAACTAGTGTAATGTGTAATAATTTTTTTTATTTGATGTAAGACTATTATCAGAGGAAAAAAAGATAGAAAAATTTGAGATACATTGAAATGTTGAATGATTTTTGAAAAAACATGGAAGAAAAGTTAATTAATTTGGAGCAGGATTACTCTTTTGCGTATCTTGTTCACGGAAGAATACGTAGAGTTTTTCTTTTATCCAATCCTTAGCTTTGGGAGCATAACTTTCCTCACTCCGTTGATAGACCAAACATACCAGGTCAGTGGCTTGATCGATATAATCAAATAATTGAGAAATACTATAACTGATAGAAGGAGCATCTTCACTCATTTGTTCCTTGAGATGCTGTTCAAAATGGCTACAAATACCTTCCATTGCATCATCGACACTCTCGTAATCCATGTATTTACGAGTTTCATGTCCTTTTGGTTGCATTAGAACAATTGTGTGGGTCATGATGGTATAAAAAAGTTGAAAAAAACAAAAGTCAAAAAATAAAACAATGAAAAAATGAACAAATCACCACTTGTGACAAAACTGGACAAAAATAAGATCTTGTCTCTGTTTAATTTAGAATAAACTTTATGGCTATAAAAGCTTAGAGCTTGCTAGAGCTAATAGCGGGATAAGGAAAGACAGAGATGATACTAGGGTCATCTAGCGATTGATTAGACAAGGGAAAACATCTCATTCTCTCTTATTTATCAAGTCTTAGTTTACTGATTCAAATAAGAGCTAATTGATAAAATCTAATCATCTTAGACCTCATTTTAGTCGGCAAATATATATCCACTTAATGCCTCGAAATTTTAAATTAAAGAAATTGATAAAAATGAAAAGAGAACAAATATTCTTTCGATTACTCTTGAGCGGAGAATTTGATTTACTAAACGATCATAAAAGTATAAAATCGTACTCACTTTTTACTTGAGGTAGATGTTTATTAATCTTCTGGAATTATATCATGGAGGTAATCAGATTCGATTGGTGATTGACTGTCTTGTGAACATTTACTAGGAAGCACAGCTTGTAACCGTTCCACTGATTCGTTGATTTGTGCTGCTCGTTTAGCGTAAAATTCCTTAGCATTTTCACGCTTGATATGGGATAGAAAATAAATTTTTATAAAGGCTGAAGCATTAACTACACTATATTTAAAAGATACCGAAAATACCTGTTCGTTATACCATTCTTGCAGCTTTTCTTCTGATTTCAACCAATCTTCTGTAGGCTCATAAGGCTCATCTTCTTCACAAAGTATCTCTTGAATAGTTTCCAATAATTTTGCTTGTTTCTCGGCCGTTTCTTCATCCAACAACTTAGATTCTGCAATGGCATTTGAAGCTGCAATGAAAGTTAAATATCGATTTAATATTGAAAAATGGTTTTTGGTGTCACAAAAAGAGTAAAAGCATACGATAAATACATACCATCTTCAAGGAATTTCTTGTAGTCATCTTGAATTTTTTCAATTTTTCTTCGACACTCATTTAACCGATGATTATACGATCCAAGTGCCTCAGTCAAATTATTTTCTCGCTCATTAACAGCATTTATTTGAGCAAACAGAACTCTGCATCTTTCTTCCATAACTTCACACTGTTCCATTATCAGGTCCGACATTGAATCTAGTATCTTTTTCTCCCACTCCAACAACGTAACTTTGACCATTTTATTTCTAATAATTTCATCGTAAGTTGGCTTCATGATGAGCAGATTAATCGTTGGAAATACTGAAAATAAAAGAACGATGTAAATAATAATAAAATCACAGTTTAAGTAGAACAACTTCAACAGAATAGAATTTTAAATGTTACGCCATTTTGCATAACATAACACTCGAGTTACTCCATCTATTGACAAGTAAAATGCAAGTTACCGTTAAACTGCGTTAGCAAAAACTTTGACTTTCGAGTCTAAAATCATTATTATCATTATTTCATAATCCTTAGCCATTTCTCATTTCATATGAGATAATTAACATTATTCTTTGAATCATAATCTGATAATAAAACGACTATAAGAGCGAGTTGATTGATTGAAATCGCGAGTTGCTTTCCTATTTTAGGAAAAATTTTAGGAAAAGTTGATCACAAGCTCTGAGTAAATAAAGAAATGAGTGAATAGATTAGCAAAGAACTACTCAAGAAAAATAATTTAAATTCGAATTCGACAAACACAAGCACGGCGAACTTAAAGAAGTAGCGATCCATTACCATTGCTAGTCTTTCTCTGAAACTCCAACGATGCTTGCTTGGTCCATAAGTTATAGTGATCTCTTCAGCGGCTTCCATGTCTCGCTTTGTGTAAAAAATCATCCGGTGATCAACGAATACTCTGTTACGATTGTGATCACATTAATGACCAACAGTTCTCTTGATTTTGAAACTTAAACTTTGAGCCTCGATATTTCGAGATTGGTGGGATCGACAGTCATCATTCATTCACCAATTCAATCCTTGACTAATTAATAATTTAATTGCATTCAATAGTTTTCCATTAGCTCATTTTGTCCAAAGTATTTGGGCTGTAAATGCACGAGTAATAACTTATTTAACAAAACAAACTCAAATAAACCAATATCTTGCTAAATAAACCAATTTTCTGGTTAAACTTTCTAAGGTAATGCAAAAGATACTGCCAAAGACGCGAGCATTTGAGTAAAGAGTTGAGTGTTGGTGCGTTTGTAGGGGAATGAATGCTTAGTCCATTAGTGTTATTAAAAAGTTTCTATGACCGATAGTTAACAAGAAAATCGAGTTGAAAGTTGAAACTTCGATCGCCTTTTGTACGATAATGGAAACAGATATTTTCATGAAACTCATTCCTATAAAGTGAATTTCAATTATCAACCAGAAAATCCACTTAAAACGAGCAATAATATTTTCTGTTCGAAATAAAATCGATAAGTTTGGTTTTCATTTAAAACGACTTTTTTCTGCGACCGTAAAATTTAGAGTCCTGAAACTTATTTTCAGTCCATAAAAATTGATGGTGCACACTATGAATTTAATAATTTTTACGATTTAACGATAGTTTTCTTGATTTTGGCCATTAACCCAAAAAGTTTGAGGCTGAATATTTCGAGAATGGTAGAACCCACAATAACAATTCTTTGACCAAACATCAGATCTTGTGATGGACTACAATAATATGTGACTAGAAACCGAAGAAATCTCAACCAATTCATCTTATAATGAATATTCTTTTGACACGTGATAAGTAACCAGTTATCTTTGTTAATCTGGTATCAAATCTGGTAACTAACTAATACAATGTTATAACTACTTTTGTTTTTTGTTATTGATCTGAAATTTCAATATACCGTAGTCCATAACAAGATCTAATCTTTGGTCAAAGAACGGTTATTGTGGGTTCTACCATTCTGGAGATATTCAGCCTCAAACTTTTTGGGTTAATGGCCAAAATCAAAAGAACTATCGCTAAATCGTGAAAATTATTCAATTCATAGTGTGCACCATCAATTTTTATGGACTGAAAATAAGTTTCAGGACTCTAAATTTTACGGTCGCAGAAAAAAGTCGTTTTAAATGAAAATCGAACTTAACGATTTTATTTCGCACAGAAAATTTTATTGCTCGAAATAAGTGCATTGTCTGGTTGATAATTAAAATCCACTCACTCAAAATGAGTTTCATGAAAATATCTGCTTCCATAACTGAATAAAAGAAGATCAAAGTTTAAACTTTGACCTCGATTTTCTCGAAAACTGGCCTTTAGGTGAATTATTTAAAAACCCCAATAGATGCAGTTTTTATTCCCCTACAAACGCATTAACTCTCAATTCTTTACTCAAATATTCGAGCTTTTAGCAGTACTTTTTACATTACCTTAGAAAGTTTAACCAGAAAAATGGTTAATTTAGCAAGATATTGGTTTATTTGAGTTTGTTTTGTTAAACAAGTTATTACTCGTGCATGTACAGCCCGAATACTTTGGACAAAATGCGCTAATGGAAAATTACTAAATGCAATGAATTTATTAATCAGCCAAGGATTGAATTGGTGAAAGAATGATGACTGTAGGTCCAACCAATCTCGAAATATCGAGGCTCAAAGTTTTCTTTTTCTGTCTTTTTAGTAGCAACAAAATAATTGTAAAAGGAAAAATGGGACAACAGTTTACACGGGAAATTTCTGCTTCTACATGACATAAACTTCATAATAGGCTTCGAGAGACTCTTCTATCGCATTCATAAGAACGGTTCTGATGATGACAATTGGCATAATATTTTAAAACGGGCAAGGGCTAAATTCACATGCAATTCTATCTTTTCATAACTTTTCATCTTAGTTTTTCATAACATTCTTCATAACAAAATTTAAAATAAAATACACAATATCTTCATGGGAAAGGCTCTTTATTTAAATATCGCATACAATGAGCACAATGAAATGCATAATACGTTAGACGCATCAATGCGAATAGACTTTCTCTCAAACTTTCTCTTTTTACATATGCGAATTCTGGGATAATATGCCGTCCTATTCTGGATTTTTAGATCATTTTCAATGTTATCAAAATGGACTCTATCTAATATCTTTGATTTTCAACTTTGTAGGTTCACAACTATTAATACATGAATACACTACTGTCCAATTACTATCCTTTTAATGCTCTTTCGTTTCATAAACCCTAACAATTGCAGTTAGAGCTCAGCTAAAGTCGTTTTGTCACAAAATTCGTCTACAGAGCGAGGAAATCTTTGGCTTCTTCGGTAAACTTCATAACCCAGTTTTATAAAAGTGAACAATTACGAAGGTTCAACTTATGCCATTTTTGTTTAATTACAACAATTTTATGGGTGAAAAAAACGAACTGGCAAGTGAAGAAGAGCTTCAACAGAATAGACTTTTAAATGTTACCCGATTTTTCCTAATCTTGCCCAAAACTTTGACTTTCGAGTCAAAAATAGACATAAAACGTTTTTCGATCAATTTTAATGATTTATTGGTATAGTTTGATATCAGAGAGCTCTTTTGTACCAATAAATATCTTCCCAGTACATAAGACTGAGGATGAATAATCTGTATGTTTAAACGAATTAAATAAAAATAAGAATAAAAAATCATTTTCCATTTGTTTTATTCATTTTTTGGTGACATTTTCAGTGAATTTGAACAATCAAATGAAAGATAAAATGAATTTTCAAACGTGCTGAAAGTTTCCTTGGAAAAACTGAAAAATCCTTTTTTCTATTCAATTTGTTTTCCTAGCTCATTTCAACCATTTAACTGACCCTGTTATTTAATTTTGTCAATTTTTTTGGTCCCAAAAATTGTAAATCTATGAATCAAAATTGATTGCCAAAGTGACAAAAATTTGGATCAACAAATAACAGGGTTGAAATTTTCTTTATCCTTTTCATTAAAATCAACATTTTCGTTACATCTTAATGTCTTGTTATTATATTTGTATATAAAAAAACAAGGGAAAGCTATTTCCATAAATAGCTAAATATCATTTGACATTTTTCTTTGTTGAATTAAAAGTGTTGATAAATGATGGTTACAATTTAAGGCTGTGATTTTGATTTGTTTTTCCTTGCTCAGAAGATAATTCCAATTAAAAGAAATCCGTTGTTTGTCCGATTTCCAGAAGAGCAGGGAAAATACAAATGAGTATCAATTGAACAAAATGAAAACTGTAAAGCCAGTTTTACGTTACAAATGATAATGTCAAGATATGATTGACTCGCCAACAAATGTTCATGACAAGAGGCTTCAATTAAACTGGAGTGGTTCGCCGTAAATTGTCCAAAGGAAATTCCTTGGTCGGTGAATAGTCTCCCATGTATTCACTGTTGCTGCTAAAATCTTGTTCCAGTATTGGTGTGGGATAAGAGGCTCGGCAGATTGAGTCATGAGGCGGTGAATAATCTTCACGGGAAGATGATTCTCTGTCCATATCATTGGAACCAGAAACTGTTGTGTGATGATGTGAGGAAGATTGTGTTTGACTGAGATTGGATTCACGATGACAGTTGTAATCATGTTGCTGCTGTTGAGATGAACCTGAAATTATGAAAACTCCTGGTCTGGTTTTATTGCGAGTTGATGAAGAAGATGAAAAGTGTGATGTTAACTGGGAAGGTGGCGGAGGCGGAGGCGGTGGAAAGGGAAATTTGGTTGATGATTGAAAGTCTCCATAATCGGCTGGTGAGGGAACTTGAAGAGGACTGTTTATGCCCACATAAGATGGTGTCCTGGAAGATTTAATGGGCAAAGGAATGGGCGAGGGTTCACGAGAGATTTCCTTTGATCGACTGTACCTTCGACCTCGACCACCGTGTTTTTTACAATAGGAAGCAATTGGTGCGGGCAGGTTAATGGTGTTGCTTGGGCTTAAAGAGGTGTTCATTGAGGAGGAGGACAAAGGTCCAGGGGCTTGTAAAAGGTCAACCAAGGCTTCTTGTTGACTGAACTCTTTTTCCCAGTCCAGTTGGTGGAGTCGTATATACAAAAAGATTGAAAAGGTTCCGGCAACTTCGCACATCATAAGGCTTAAAACGCAAAACATGAAGGAAACACCATATTTGTATCTAAAGGTTGCCTCTTGGAATGATGATTTGGGTCGCAATTTATTGCCCACCTCGGCTTTAAAGGTTGAAATGTATATCACGATTGAACAGAGTATCATTAAACCTAAAAATAATAGAAAGAAAATTTTGAAAATTAATAAACGATTCTTTCAACTGATGAATAAAATGTAAAAATATGAACATTAATTTCGGGTAAATTGAGAAATCACTTTCAATTTTCATGTAAATTTCACCTTCAAAATGGAGATTTTACCTTAAATTTCAATGTAAATCAGGAGTTACTTTTGATTCAAATTGTAAAAATGAAATTGTTTCAAGTGACTGAAGTTTACTCATAATCAAACGTTTTTTAATCCTAAAGTCATTGTTAATCAAGAAACTATCCAAAAATGTATCATTGCATTGATCATTATTAAAGGTTTGATTATGATGTGAATTTTTGAAAGACATTGAACCATGAAGAAAAAAAACAGAATACATTCATGGGAACAACTTGAATAATACTTGAAGCCCAGGATTTAGCAGAATAAAAGCTTAACTGAAATAATACTGATAATAATAAAGGTAAAAGTTACGCTTTCAAATAAAGTGAATAAAAAAAAGTACAAAAAGACTCATCATTTTCCTTCTGGGTTTACCTTTGATGGAGAGTTTCCAGAAAAGGTGAAGAATAGGGAAGAAAAGATGCTGAAAATGAAGTCTAAAGACATGGAAAGACAGGCTAAAGATGAAGATAATGAAGATATTAATGAAACAAAATGAATGAATGTTGGTGAAAATATCTATTAACAACAAGAATCTAAACTAATAATAAGCTATTTTAAGATTACCTGATGAGTTTGTTTTGCTTTCTTGTTTCAAGTGATTCTTTATGAGCAACTAAAAAATACATCATCAGGTAAAGGAAAAGGTAAAGCCAAGGTGATATGCAAAGAAATGTGAAGGTGAGAAAAAAAAGGTTGAAAAGAAGGTTTGAAAAGGATAAGATTTTGCGTAATCAAGTTACAGTTTTCATGGGAAAAAACATGATATTAACAAATTTTGTGAATCTACCGATAATCAAAGAAAGGTGAAAAGAGATGAAAATTTTTATTCCAAAGGTAAAATCTCAATGAATCTCAGCCTTCCAATATGATTTATGATTGAAGATTGGATTGACTTTTGAAGATGAAATTCGTTTGATAATGAATCTTACCTGAAAGTATGAATGAAATACCAGAGGCAAAGGTAAGAGCCTTGCGACGAATACATTTATTGGCAGTAAAACAGGTAAAAACGCCTAACAGGATTGAACCTGTGCTTAAAGCCATGAAAAGTGCTGCTTTCTTGGCTGCATCTGTTGAGGAACAATAATCATTAATTGAATGAGCAAATGAAACTATTGGTAAAAGCCAAATAATGATCAACGAAATATCGATCAAAATCATTTTGAAATGTTTTCCAAGTTTAATAGTCAACTTTTATTGTAAAATGAATACTAGATTCACTGAAGATGAGAAAAGTGAAACAATTTTAAAATTGTTATCATCATTTGTAAGTTATCTTTATTTTATTACCTAAGATATTTAATGATCATCATTATTATGTTTCTTCATTTTGAGGTAAAAAACCATTTTTCTCATTATTTTCACCTTCATCATTCAACCTCGTGAAATGGATTCAAACTAAAGTTACATTTGATATTTTCCTCAATCCCTGGATTCTCATATTTACCTGAAGAAAAAGGATCAAAAATCCTTTCAAAAAGAGTGAATCAAGAGATACAATCGATGACACAAGTGATGATGAAGAGTAAATTATTTATATAAATTCAACCGATCCGGAAAAACGGACCTAAAAGACCTGAAAATCGATGAAAAAATGAGAAAAGCTAAAAAATAAAATCTGGTTTTCAACTGAACAAAATGAAATCCAAGTTTGAAGCGATTTCATCAAAAACTGTTGATCAGAGAGATTTTTCAATTACAGAAATTTGTTCAGTTATTTTGTCCCTGAAGGTCCATCAGGTCAAGTCATAGTTTTCGCAACAACAAGTAACGTCATCGAACTTAGAAATAATTTTTCCCCTTATAATACGGATTCTGTTTTTTCCTTCACCCTGTTGGAACATGATTTTCTCAGGAACCTGAATTCCTAGAAAGCTCAACTTGTCACTGTACACAAATCATTCTTACAAAAGTTTAGAACAAATTTCCCTGAAAAATTTCATGTTTTCACTTTATATACTTAATAGATTGAAAATGATCAAAGATTGAAATTCTCAGTTTCACTTTTCATATCAAAATAACATCAACTTTCACCTCTACTTTAACCTTTAACAAATTATGAACTTATTTTTGATCATTGCTTCTAAGTCACAAAATCATCAACATAATAATCACAGAGTTTCCTCACTCATTGAACTTCCGTTTATTCAGCTGAAAAGTAGAGATTCATTTGAAGCAAAATTCAAGTTCAATTTTGCTGATCACTAGTTTTTCAATTTAATGATTTTGCTCAAGTTGATTTGAATTTAATGCTGAAATACTTACATGGTATTGCCATTGTTGAATCATTAGGATCAGGAGTATACTCTTCATCAGTTAAATAGTCAATGTGAGTGCAATTCATGGATTTAACACCAGCTAAACAGGTTGGAAAGGTAAGCAAAAAATGATTAGTTTCAAGTGATTAAGGGATTGATAAGGTCAAGAGTTGAAGAGACTTTAAAATGAAAGGTTGAAATTTTTAGAGCAAAGTGTATCAACACTGAATTCAATGAACGTTATTGTATCCCAGAAGAGATGAAAATAACTAATAGAAGCAGGTTTTCAAGAGAAAAGATGATTATTTTAAAGATTTATGGTTCAGATAATCTGAATAAACTGAAATGAGAAAAGGGAAAAATAATCTAAATGTATTTTATAATAAAAAAAGGACAAAACCGATTCTGAATCTCGTGAGTATTGGAAGCTGAGAGTTGAAATGTTCAACTGTTCAAGTGCATTTCAACCATTTCAGAAGAAAGATGAGCAAATTGGTAAAAATTACATTTTATCAAACAATTGTTCAGCAACACTTGTTCACTGTTCAGGTAATACCATGAATTTTAAAGAATAAGAAAAAGTAAGAAAACAAAAAACGAAAAATAAATCTAAATCTAAACATTTAATTCAATCAACAACATCAATGGAATAGTAAATTGTTGATTAAGTTGGATTGCAATAAGCAAAAGTAAAATCACTGTTAATGTGATCATTTGAACACAAAGGTTGTTCAAAGGGACAAACCAAATGGTCATTGTCAATGTTCTTGATTTGATTACTTAACAATTAGATAATCTTTATGTTTCAATGGAGTGTAAAGCTCATGGAATTAAAAGCTAAAATCATTTTGAAGTGAGTTCCACTTTTTCATGTTTACACAGTAATAGTTGTTGGCTTGAAATTACTCAATTTCAACCAATTCACAGATTGATTTTCATTGCAATTATTCATCTTTTTCATGATGATGATGTATACAATTTTTCATGATAATTATGTTTAGTTTGAGGGAAATTAGTGTTTACTCAGTAATCGATTATGTTAATAGTGAAAATGAGAAAAACCTGATCTCGTTTTTTTTCGTTCGAGGTTGAATAACAAATTATCTGAAAATGAACTAATTTGAAATGAAGTCTATTGAAAGCTTTTAAATAATAAGATGAAGATTAGGCTTGGATGGATGAAAAGGCTTTTCAAATATTATACTTATTATTGATACAATAAGTATACCAATTTGCTGAATTATCAGACAACAAAATATTTACTATTCAGTTCAAGGATTGTTTATTTATGAAATAAGAAATGCTTACAAATGAATGTTGGACTGTAATTTTTATTAGTGTTAACCTGAAAAAAGGCAATAATTGCAGTTCATCGGTAAAACCATCTTCAAAATGATAACTCAATTAATATCATCATTAAAACATGATAATAATTGCTGATCAAAATTGTGATAAAAATACACTCAAAAAGCACCAAAGCTAAAATTGGAATAACTCGGAGATCGAGAAATGTTTATGAAACAAAATTTTCCTTTCAACTTGGTTTAGTCAGTTTCAATTGTGACCTCAACTGATGTCATTGCAAGTCTTTTAATAGCGAAAGATTTTCGTAAAGTGTTAAATCTAATTGATCTAGTCTATTGAACCATCTTTGGCTTGTTGACCTCAAGCATACGATTCTTCATTGAACCAATTGAACTTTCTCCTAACTCAGAAACTCGACCAAGCTTCGATAATCGCAGTTTCAAGCTCTGGTACTGTGAAGACCAAGCAAGAGATCAATTGTTTCTTCTCAGAATCGGTCAATTCCTTAGCCATCTGCATCTAAAGAAAATAACAATCAATGGACAATCTAAATCTTCCCAAAACTAATGATCAATTCAACTTTGATTGAAAGTTCCGAATGTTCTGAAAAAATTCTGAATGTGATTAACTTTCTGAATCTACTGTAAAAACTCAAATTATGAGCAAAAAAATTAAAACAAAAGTCATTAAAGTTGAAAACGAACTCTTATATTTCATAAGAGATGAAATCTTCTCGGCTTTTCTGGTTTCCTGGTTAAGCATCAACCAAATTCAAGATTTTTCAAGATTTTAATTAACTCAACTTAAATCTGTAAAATGAGTTTTTAATTTTGTACACAATCGATCAATGAAAATGTTCAATCTTAAGTTATAATTTTTTCTGTTGTATTCAACTGTAAAACTGAGCAGAAAACTGGTTAACTCAGACAAATCTAAATCCTTGAAATATTTATTGAGATTATATATTTACAGGTGAACAAATGTAAAGCTATAAACTGTGATTTCTTGGGATGATAAAATTCTGGCTGAAAGTAGGCTAAGTGAAAGTGGGAAAAGAAAGAGAAGAAGAAAAAAAGAAAAGTTTACAAAAAGTAATTGAATAACATTGGTTACTTATCCTTATTTGTTCAGATTATTGCTTAAAAGTTACTTTCAATTCTCACAAAGAATCATAATATCATTTGTATGTATGAGTTAATGTAAAATGCAGGGAATGGATGATAAAAAAATACTGACCCAGGGAAGGAAAGTTAATGCATAATATAATATTCAATCTGTTTCATGGAAGAAAAAGGTAAATGAAAATATTTGATACAAAAATTGACCCTCAGAATGTGAACAATGATAACTGATTGGAAATAATCTGTTTGAGTTTCAATCAGTTTTGACAAAAAAAGACGCTTGAAAAGGTTAATAGCAATGATGAATGAATAATGTTCATTGGTTAATGTTTATATTTATGCAATTTTACATTTCTTATTGTTTTTGGCTTCTTCAACGTTCAACATTTTCACCATCATGTTTAGCCTAATCTTTGTCATCATCATCTTTATCATGTGTTCAACATTATTTCTCAGCGGAGCGATAAAAATGAATCTAACGATTCTCATTATGAATAATGCATGTAATACTTTAATCCTGGTTCACATATTTTTTTACTTTAACCTGATTTTTTCCAGTGTTTTTTGTTTTCTTCAAAATTTATCTCAGATTCAGATTCAACTGGAATCACCTTAAAGATAAATATCAGTAAATGAATTGGCAAGTAAACAAGTTTTAAGATGGTTGGTAAAAGGAAAGTAAACAAATCGAGAAGAGCAATGATTAGAAATTGTTTGAAATTGAATTGAAAATCATCAATATTTGTGATAATTTTTAGATGAAGTTGAACTTTTTTTTGCAAATTATTTTATGTTTTAAAGTTGTTTTGGATTCTGAGAAAAAATTAAAGTTCAGGTTTTGAAGGTGAAATCAGAAGTCAAAGTTGATTCAATATTTTTCGGAAATGGAAATTTTCTTCAACTTGAAAAGTTAACGATTTTTTAGTTATTTTGATCACAAACTTGACTTTGATATCGAGTAATGTTTTTCTATTTGCAAATTTCATTAAAATAATAACTCTGGAAACATCTTCATAGTTTCATGTAAATATATCAAAAGTTTCAGATTCTTGAAAACTGAAAATGATGAATAACTAGTAAATATTTAAACGGAAAGTTGGACGTTTCTTGCCATTTCAAAGAGATGAAAAAATATCAACTCAAACCTGAAAAGTTGAAAAATTTTGATCAAATTGAGTTCTTATTGGAAGTGAATTTATATCAATCTCGATTGGAAGTAATATCATCGATTGTAACATAAAAATTTCAATGAACATTAATTTCTCAAAGAACGATCTTGAACCATTTTCTCAATGAATTCAACTAACACTAATTTGTATCGATTGATTCTTGCCAACTTACCATTGAAACAAAATACAAACAAAAGATTATGATTGAGATTTATATTCATGAGATTGAACAAAATGTCAACTCTAGACCCGATGAAAAGTAGACTTTGCCTGTTCAATATTGTATCATTTGTTTGGATGTTTGTTATCAAATGGAAATAAAATTTGGCAAGAGTTTAAGTTAACTGACAAAAAGATGTCAATTTTTTGGGAAAAAAGTGAAAAAAGTTGAACCCAAAACACTGGGATATACAAATATATTAGTTTTCACTTCCAAGTGAAAGTGTTTGATCATTTTTTTTAAACCATCATCTTATTGAGAAAAGGACTTTAATCTAAATCTTTCTTCTTTTCTTGCTTCTCTTTTCTTCTGTTCATCTTGTTCATCCTTTTTGCTCTCCTAATCAATTGCTAACTTCACCAGTGAAGTTTATCCCATCTGTCAACGACAACTTCCGACCTTCTTCATCTTATCATCTATTTTCTTGCTCCTTGTTTCAATTCATTGTCAGTTCTGTTTAAATCACAATGTAACTCTATCCACTGTAACTGGGAGTAAAAATCTTCATCATTATCATCAGTAGCAACATTAACATTCTTCCAAGTAAATTGACTGGATTGAAGTAAATTTCATTTGGAACTTTTCTTCCCTTTAAAAGGCAAATGAAACTGCAATCCAGACAAAAAAGCCATTCCATGAACGGATTGATTTCTGAAGCGACATTAACTGTTCCAAGTCAGTGTTTAGGTGCTTAATTACCTAAAAAGCCTGAGTTTTGTCACTGACTCAGTCCTTGTCTTGAGTTTTGTGTTCACATTAAAAATGAAACTTGAAATTTGTTTTGTTTTCTTTCCTTCAAAATTGCTCATAACATCAAAGATGAATATTTTACTCTCTATTCATGGTTATTGTTCATTTTACATTCCGTGTATGTCAAAATACTTTTGCTCTCTTATTAAAAATATTGAATAAAAAAAGAATGAGAATAATGAATGAAACAAAATGTAACCATTATAATGTAATAGTATATGGAAAGATAATTTGGGTTAAACTTACGTTCATTTTGACAGAGAATCCAAAGGCCTGAAACTGTGAATTTTGATAAATGTTCAGAGGCAGCAGACATGTTGTACTTCTTAAATTCAGGGTTATTCATGAGTTCCTCGGAATATAACCATTCATTGGTGAAAATAGCAATACTTTGGGCAAACAGTGATCCAAGAGCTGAGAATGAGGTTAACAATTTAAGTATCCGAATTGAGCGATGGGACATTTTTTACCTTCCAGTTTTGATAAAAAAAAGTGGAAGGGTTCGTCGATTGATCTGCGATATTTGTTATTGATGATGATGATGATGGTCAACAGAGTGGATAACAAGTGAAACAATTTATAATACAGAATAGATACAAGAAAAAATGGGTTTCTTGTTTTCCTTTTTTCGTCTTCCTTGGTAATTTAGGTTTGATGTTGTTGTTTTTTTATCCAAAAAAAAAGATCTGCACAAGATTGATAAATATATGTATATATGTATATGTAAAAAAGCACAGTTTAGTTCATTCAGTTGCCTTGTTAACAATTATCATGATCATCATTCAAGATGGATTATATTTTTCATGATAGAATTGTCATTTTTGCTTTACCCAACATTGAGGCAACAGTAATGTTAAACACTGAAAGCTGGTACAGTTGAGGTTAAACAATTTGAGCGGAAAGGGGTTAACATATTAATTGGCCATCCCTATTCACACACATTATGTGCTTTTGAACCAGGCAACAAAAAAAAAGGAATCTGGTTAACACTGGTTTTTAGGTTATAAGATGGCTGATGAAAAATTCATTTCAACTTGATTGGGATCTCATTATTTTCCTATTATTCTATTAATATTCATATTAATGTGAAATCACGGTTATCTTTTCTTTTGCTTCTTTCATCTTCTTTGGCTTTTTCTTGTTCCTCTTTTATCTTTCCTTTCTCCTTTCTTTTCAGATTCCTCATCTTCCAACAAGGTAAAAGATTATCTAGAAATTAAGAGTAAGAAGATTTTGTTCATTTTTTTCTGATTTGTATTGTTGTTCCTTTTGTAGTTGCTGTTGTTGTTGTTGTTGTTTTTGTTGAAATGATTTTGAACAGTTAATGTTTTTGCTATTGTTAACATGACCTAAAGGCACATCCAAAATAGTGAAACTGATGCTTTTAGATAGGAAGAAACACTGTAAGTAAACAAAGTTCAATTTGAAAAGTCGATGGATTGAAAAGACATGATAAAAAGGATGAACAAAATGATTGATTGGTTGATGATGAACCGTTGAAATATTTTGGGAAAACAATTGAATACATAGATGAAGAGAAAGGAAATTATCACATTTAAATAAAATGGTAATTCCAGGTATTTGGGTATCACTTGAGATTCAATTTTTTAGTCTTCACAGGGTTCGATTAACCTAAAAATATTGACTGGTAATGATGTTAATTTTACTCCATGTCACTTTTCACTTTAACACTTTACATTTAACCAAATGTTGGGTAAAAAAAGAGATGTATTTTTTTCAGCTGATCTACACACTTTAACATGGCAAGTTTGGTTTCATGTTGGCATAACTGTTTCCTATCAATTTGCTTTATGCATACACATACAAATATATAGGTAGGTCAGGTTGAGCAAGAGATGATTAAGATGATAATATTAATAGCAAGTATAGTGAGTGAGAGTGAGAAAAAGATGGATAGGGAAAAAAATGAAGATGAGACTAAGCAAGTGAATATCAACCTTCAATACTCGAGTTGCATCGAAAGCGATTCCTTGATCAATAAAAGGCTTATCTACTTGTTAAATAGATGGCGTCAGTAGCAAGACAAACCAATTTTTCAATTGAAAATTTTAATCTGAATTGAATTAAGTTTACATTTGATTAGTTTTTAATTTCTTATTTGTGTTTTAAATAAAAGTGACGAGTTCAGGTTGCTTTTGAGCCAGAAATTTTCAATGCCAATCGAATGTTTAAAACCTTAAGATTGAATACTCTGAGTCTAATTTCATCAGATAATTTAATCTTTCCTTTTGCTTGATGTAACATTTAAAGCTTCAGAAAATCCGAACGCAATGTTGTCTTTTTTTATTTGAATTGAATGTGTTTCGAGTTCTGGTTAAGTCAAAGCATGAATAAGAAAATTTAGTTTTATTTTAAATAACCTATGCGGAAAAACTTTGAGACAAATTGTTCAGATGAAATTTCACAATTAAGAAGTAGAATTAAATAACTTAAGAGCAAACGCATAGAAAATCCATTTTGAAACAGAAGCATTTGAGCTGACTGAAGCGCGATTGATTAATGCAAAAATTGACTAAACTAATGAAGCTATTTTTCTGAAATTTGATCTGAGTAAATAAAAGTCCATTATGCTCATTTCCCTAAAATTTCAAGTCTATTGAAAATATAATTGCTGAGAAAAAAGAAAAAATTGTAGAAATAACTTGTCTCAAAGTTTCTCCGCATAGGTTAAAATTATTGTCAGAATCCATTGGAAATGATACTTGGCCAGTCAATTCACATTAAAGATCGAAATTACATGTATGATCATGAAAATGTTATTCCTTTTTTTCATTAAAAACGTTGAAAATTGATTATAATTTTATTGAAAATTTTTGTATGCTTAAATATTGATTGGATACAAATGAATAAAAGTTAACCATGAGTTCGTGAGTAATAAGGCATGACAATAGAAGCAAATCCTATATAATACTGTTGCCTTACCTGTATTGAAGGCCCTTGGCTACAATATGGAGGGGCACAATTAACAAACTGTTGCAAGTTTAGCTCTTTCAAAATTCTCCTCACTGGCAAATATTTTCTTGGAACTAGAAAGGCATTCAATTTCAAATGCAATTGCGAGTTTGTAGCAATTGCTATTTGCCTGTTCAAAAAATCTCTATTATTTGCATAATGACAATATTCATAAGTACACTCATCCTCATTAAACAAAGCACGACTTTTCAAAACTATTGAGAACTCGAATAAACCGCTATCTTTATGCCACAAGTCTTCGGAAATAGCAAAGCAATCGCCATCATTTAACCTTCCCAAAAGATTCTCCTTTGTGAATCCATCTTTCCATCGATCAAGGTTTAATCCTCGTCGTTCAACATTCAGGATGGAACAGTATCTAATATGTGGTGGATTTGCAATGGTAATCCGATCAATATTTTTGACAGGAATTCCTGTTATCAATGAAAGCTATTCAAAATATTCGTAATTAATACCAAGTTTGATCTAAAGTTTAAATTAACATAAGATATATGAACTTACTTGGTGAACCACTTGTTGTCCTTTGTTTGGGCCACTCTTTTCTGACCAGTCTATTAATAGATCATGATAATTCTCGCCCGCAACCTTAACCTTTATTATCACTGCACATGATGTTAAAATAATGATTGACAATTATAAGTTATCAAATAAATAGACAAAGTTATTGTAAATACTCACGTTTATCTGAAGTATTATCTTTAGCAATATTTCCTTTTGAATAATCCATTTGTAATACTGAAATAGATCAAGTTTCCCAATTGGTTTTTATAGAGCAACTTTAAATACTAACAAACTTAATTGCCAAAATTTGATTTACTTAAATGTTAACTAGAGGTAATTAAAATAGAAACGTGTTGATATATGAAGTGTTTTGAAATTTAAAAGTGTGAAAATTTGATAACAAAATGGGTTGATATTGTATTGGAATGAAATTCAAGAAAATCTTTAACATATTTCAATAATCTTAGACCCGTCAGTAAAATAGAGATCATCATAGAAACAGGTTCTGAGTAGACCGAAGCGCCTATTTCAAACTTGAATTTACCCAGTATTTCAATGGACTTTGACTTGCTTTTTCCGCAAATCTTGTAAGGAAACATGACAATCATTGATACATCTATAAATGAAAGTTTAATGTCGATAATTTAATTACATTTTCAATGATTTGGAAGGAACATTAAATATTGAATTGTTCGTTATATCTAAAGTAGAGTTTGAATCTCTTTACATTTTTTTACTTTACTCACAAGTATCATGTTGAAATTATATACTTTGGACGTGACTGTGATAAATTTGTTTTCACATTTATAATTACTATTGACATCAAACAGAAATTTAAACTTCTATTAACAATGACTATTGATCGATGTATTGAAAGGGTTTGTATTTGCTTTTTGCATGATATTCACCTAGTAATTGAGGGACCAGAAAAGGAAAGTTGACAATGTGGTGTGACAATGATAACAAAAACACAGTATCAACATGAAATTGTAATGAAAAATGTATCCAGGATTTATCTCTTTTCAACAAATGTATGTTTAAGCTTCCAGATTTACTCACTTTCAATTGTAGCTCATGATAACAATAATCTTAATTTTTGTATATTACATGAAACAATGGAAAAAATTGATACATAATGGCAAATAATATGATGAATGGTTACAATATCTCGAGTTGTTGTTGCGATGTTTTCCTCTCGGTAGCGAAATCCAAGTAGAATGGCACGGAGAATGTTTTAAATTGTGGAAATTGTGCTTTAATTGTTGACTCAAGTCAACGGTAGTTGGAAAATCATAAAGGACGATTCAGTGAAACACATGATTAAAATTAAGCACAAGAAAAGTAGATGTTGAAGTAAATCTTTTGGTTTGGTTTTTGGTTTTTTGCATCTTGGATAAACAGATGATAGTAACAACTCATTATTTTACAAAACAAAGGTTAACTTGCAAACCATCATTTATGAGTTTCACCTTTTATCAATCTACTTGAAATGAAATGACTAACAAATACTATCACCATGAAATATGAATCAACTTTTATTGAAAGATTGACCATTTTTTGTAACTTCAACTGCTTTTTGTCTCCAGATTTTCAACCGTTAGATGGAGTTGCTCATCAATTTAGCAACCATAAGTCAGAAGATCGTTTGTTAACAGTTAACAATCGGCCTTTTATTTGTTTTAATCAAGTCAATCCAATGAGTAAGAGTGTGATCCCAATTAAATTCTTTCTGTATTATCATTTCAATCCAGTCCAATAGTGTCCAATAGTTGCATTGAACTAATTATTGTTTCATCCTGTTAACAATCGGGAAACCAGAAGTGAAAAAGAAAGATCAAATTTAGTGAATTGGAAAAAAGGCAAAAACAAATAACTTATTGTGATCAACGTTTCTTTACTTACCTTTGAACAAACCAGGAGAAACTCATCAAAGGTAATATAACCTTTGCCTTGTGTATCAAGTTTCTGGAAAACTCTGTAACCATGGTCTTCACATGTTTTGGAATCATGTCCAGGAGAAACATAATAACCTAGGAGAGCATAAATGGCGCGAGAAATTTCAATAATCTCATCAGCTGTTAAATAACCATCGCCGTTAATGTCGTACAATTTAAATATCCATTCCAACTTGTCCGAGGTAGATCCACGACTTAAAGTGGACAGGGCAGACGCGTAATCACTAAAGGTCACCTCGCCGTTAGCTGTCCTCACCTTATCATTAAACATGGCTGAATATACATAGTGAGCATAAAGGGAAGAATCACCCGCTTGTGGGAAAAATTGAGCATATATCTCTTTAAAGGTGGACTCTGTTAGGATACCATTGGGACAGGCACATTTCCAGCCCCAGTAGAGGAGTTTAAGCTCATTTCTGGTGAATTTAGTTTTCTTACAAAGTATTTCCAGTTCACGACGACGACGACTTTTATTAGCTGTATAATTGGCCGCCAATCTAGCAGCACAAGCTTCATTGAAAAGCTCCATTTGATCAAGTTTATGCTCTGGGAAAATGGAAAAGCAAGAAAAAAAAGACAAATTTAAGTTACATTTTCAAAATTCAACTCAACTTATCATCATTTTTCTTCATGTGCTGTCTGTATTATCAACCAAATTTGTTCATCTATTTGAAAACTTTCACGCATCAACACAATGTCATTCACGTAAATGGTTAATAATTCAATGAATTTCCATCTCTTCCCAAATATAATTCATCATTTAAGCTCCGAAGTCCCTGTTAAAACTCGATAGTGAAGCATAATTTTTATCTTGATTTAAAAGGAAAAAATCTTTGAATTTCTTAGCTCCATAATATTGTAGCTTTTTCAGGTAATTGTTTTACATTTATTATTTTGCCTTTCTTTCATAGTGACAATGTGATTAATCATTTAAATCTTCCGAAATTGTCAACAGGTAATATCATGATCATGATCATTGTCATAACCGTCATCATCATAAAAAATATTATGTAGGTTAAACGATGTTGCGCAGTTTTCCGACATGATGCATATAATCATGGATTTCATAGTGAAATTGTAAAATTATTACTTTTACAAAGATAATAATATGTGCATTCTTGAACAATTTCATGTACATATGAATCTTTGAAGTGAAAAAAGTTGTCTTCTCAATGCAATTAAGATTGATAATTTATATAGATAAGAATGAAGAGATTCAAAGACAAAAAATGTAAACAAATATTTTGTTTCAAGATTCATTTTTCTTTTCATTATTAATTTTTTTCTTTTCTTTTTTTCTCTTCCAGCTAATCTTTATCATTATCCTCATCGTTACCAGAATCTAATATGTTTCACCTTAACTACAATGGTTCTGAGAAAAGAAAGTGTTTCCATGAAGACAGTAACAGGAAAGACAAGAAAGAAAAGCCCATAATACAAAGTAAAGGAATAAAGAAGTAACGTCTAATGAGAAATGATTGGATCGATAAAAAAGATGAACTTTCATGGTCAAAGTATTCTTAGATCTAAAAATAACATATTGACCTCAGGTGATTAACAATTAGAGTGTCTTCTTGTCTTAACACAATTCCCACAAGTTGAACAGTTATTCACATTGCCGCCATTTGAAATGCAAATGATTAAGCCTTGGAGTTAACTCTACTAGATTCTTGGATTTATTCATCATCCAAAGATTTGAACAATCAGCATTTATTCTTATTCAGTCCAATATTTTGATTTCGCAGTATTATCGTGATAACTTTTACTTACACTTTTAGTCAGGGTTAAGTTAACAAAAACAGATTTTTCCAATAATATATTAAAGTTCCGATAGAATCGAAATTTATTTTGCTCAGTTTTCTTATCTCTACAAACTATTATGCTAGAAATTAACTTGAAAATCAACTTAAATCTGACCCTTTTTTGTTAACTTAACCCTGACTCCAAGTGTATCACATTTACAAGTGACTACTAATTAGTTGATCAGTTAGATCGATATTTTGTTCCCATGGAAACACTTTCGCACTTAATCTTAGCAGTCTTTGAATGTAAATCCATTTTATCCTTCATCAATATTTTGTGCATTTTCAGTCAATTCAATTGATCAAGAAAAAAGCTCTCAATTCTCTTCTATAATCAGATTTCCAGTTACATACTCAAGATTTCCAATTATAGTTGAACATCTAAATTTTACCCTCTTATTAATAATTTTTATGTTTCTTGTTATTTTATTGTTTCTTAGATTGTTGGTTTCAATTCCCTTGTATCGAATTAATATTATCCTCCAAATGATGTTATCAAATATGGAAATTTAATTGCAACGACGATTCCATCTACTGGCTTTTTACTTTTACCATTAATTGTTGGATTGCTGATGTTTACGAGACTATCTAATTGTTGCTCTCTTGTTAAATCCATCTTGATTGTTTCACTTTCCTGGACATCTATTATTTACTTTGACAGTTAATTAATGCCCTCAACTCATCTATATTTCATTAATCAAACCAACAAATTAAAAAGCAACAAAAGGCTTACAATTACCATGAACGCAAACAAGTAACTGATTCCCAGGATTTCAAGTTTTCCAATCATGAATCATGAATTAAGACTGAATTTTGCTCAATCCAAATTCAAGTTGTCATTGATAATCTAATTGATCGATGAAGCTTTCCCAGTCTCTCAACTGAATGTCACCATGTTAAACATTCATTAGTAACTCAGATCGAAGCAATGTAAATTTTTCCTGTCAACTTGAGTTCATCTTAATTTAGACTAATATTTTCCATTTTTGTCTCTAACAATATCAAATCAATTTGAATAGTAAAATTGCAACGTTGAAATGCGATTGTTCATTTAGACTAAACAATCCTCTAGCGATTTGATGATTGAATGTATCAAATCAAGCCAAAGCTGTTCCCAAAATTGATTCAATCTAGTTACTAATGTTAATGTCAACTCAATCGATAATTACAATTGAGTTAGCTTTTATAAACAAAATTTATACTCTTTAGTACGACTCAGAAACCTTAATCATGTAAAGTTGAAACATTTTCACTTTAATCTTTTTGACATGTTTAAGGTTTGCTCAGCTTGTTGAATTTGAAGACTATTTCCAGCACATTCTTGTTGACATTCAACCTTGAAATGACCATGAAGATTCAGTTTTATTCAGCTGTGAAATTCAACTCTTTCAGTTTACACAGCAAAAACATGATTAAGCTTACTCCAGTATCAACAACTTACACAAAAAATAGTCAACATTTAACCTTGTTTATTATGAAGATGTTAATTTGCCTCTATTTTACATCATCCTAATCATCATCATTCATTCATCTAGTATTTGTTTACTGGAGTTGACATTGGACCAGAAATATTAAGGATAAAGATGATAATATTGATGAGTCTCGAAAGATGGAAAGACAAGAAAGTCAATACAAAGTATACGCTGAAATGAAACTGGATCAGTAAAGATTTGTGATTCACTTTGACCATCCAACTATCAACTTAATTCACTAATAAGCAAACTAAATCAACTATTACATGAAGCAAACATGATTACAACAAAGCATCGTATTACTGGACTTGAACAACGTATTACAATATTATAAAGAAACCGTCCAAATCTCATATTTGATCAAATTGCAAATTTTAACCCTCTCTCAATGTTGCCTCAACAAAAGGGGACTGAAAGGCCAATTATCATCTAATTGAACCAATCAACAAACCATAGTTAATCATATATTGTCACATTTACCATGATTACAAGTGAATTAATGAATAAATCTGAATAATTCATTATTTTCTCTCACATTATAACTGTCCTTTTGCCATTCACAGTTTCAACCCATGATAACATTCAATATTGTAATCATTTGAAGATTACCATTTTGTGGCCATCTTTTTTTTTACATTCAAACATTGCTTCAATCCAATGAATTGCGTGATTATGAATACAAATTGACAGTTAAATAGATTTGCGTGAAAAAATCACTTTATAAGCCTCATATTGACATGTATACAAGCATTAATATATCATTATCATTACCTTTATGATTAAATGTTGAACCAGATTTTCAGATTTACTCCCATTGTTTTCCCTTCTCAAATAACTTGTTAAAGGTTTGTTCAACTAATAATTTCAATTGTACTTTTAATTATAAAGGATTGACAATAAAAACAAGTCTAATTTGTTCAAAAAAGGATAATGATTAGACTCAAGAGAGTCTCAACTTCAAATCAATGGAAACGCAGCAAACATTGAAAAAAAGTGTTTACAAAACAAATTCAAGACAATCAATTGATTATTGATTGTGCCATTATAAAGAAATTTACATTTTCACAATTTATACAACAATCATTAAAGGATCCATAATAACTTGAAAGACATTAAAATTTGTATTAGACGAGCAAAAAAAAGGTTAATTATTTTAAAATGTAAAATCGGGTTTCCATGTTTTCCAGATGAAACTAAATTTCCATCGACTTTTTGTCTTGCAATAAGTCAATTTGTCGCCTTTCCTAATCATCTTTACAAATTGTATTCTCAAATGATTAAATTGTCTGACAAATCTGAATCTCAAAATTAGGATTGAACGCAAAAAATGAATCAAATCAATGAGCTTCCAGTAAAAGGATCATCTTTGACGTGATACACGAATCCCAATGATTACAAAGCATTAAAAGGCGTTATGTTTCCATTGATTTACTCTGTAATTTTGACAATCTAATTGATTAACATTTCCTTTTTAATCAAAGTGTCAAAACAGTCCAAGTTAGTTTACAATTGAATCGCCAAATTAATTCACTTCACACTTAACCCAACACTTGAGATCATCTAATCAATGAAACTGTTGGCCTTTCAGCTTTTTTCAAAAGCCAACAATAAATCTCAAATTGATGAACCCAAAAAATTTAGTTGCCATTCTTAAAGTGAAATTTATCTGATCTCTAATGTAATGTGTGTCCAAGTATTGACATTGACTCCGAATGACCAATTGAATTTCAATTTTTCAAAAACAAACTCCATATTTTTTGCTTACTTCAACCATTTATTTTGCCAGAGTTTACTTTGTTTCCAGCTTTTCAATTTGAAACTCAAAAATGAAGATAAACTAATCTCTCGGGTTCAACCAGGCAATAGTTGAGTGTTATTTGAAACTTGCTCATGGATTGACTTAATGCTGATCAAAATATGTGAAAAAAGGCAGTTTAATATTTAATGTTAACCCTAAAGATTGAAGTCCATTGTAAATCATTTTGACTGAAACTCAAGATTCCTTCTGAGTGAAAATCAATGAAGAAGAAAAATAACTCCAAAAAATTAACATATTTAGATGTGCCAATCTAGGATTTAACAGCTGACTGGTCAACACATTACATGAGACGATGGTCATTATTAAGATGACACTTTGATCCTTGAAGTCAATTCAAGTATCAAAAAAGGAAACCTTGAAGGTTTTAGATTGAAACAAAGTCTTTAATGATTTTTCATTTGTTGATGTTGAATGTAATTTGAAAATATATTGTTACAAATTGATGAGTAGCAATGAATATTTGTAAAGAAGTTCAATTTCACGTTTTTGAAAGGGTTTCGAGAAATGAAATTGGTCCAAATGTTTTGCCAAATTGATTCAGTGAATATTGTGTATCAACTGCCAATCGAGTGTAAAATGATGAAAAAGCATGAAAATTTTCATGGCTCTTTGACTGCTTTCAATTTTTATATCACAATTTACATGAATGCCTGAGAAACTTTCACAATTCTTCATTCTATTCCAAAGCCTTTTCTTCATTATTTTCATTCTTTGTATTTTCACTTTTGATTAAAGTTGAAACGAGCAATTGTCGAACAAATGATTTCATTTTAAATCTTCTTTCAAAGTCAAACATATTTTCAGCTGAATTTAACTTGCAACCAAAAATATCATCCGTTATTATTGTTAGTGAAACTAAATCTTCATATAAATTTTATCCATTAATAAGTTGTCCATCCAAAAATGATACTCACTAATTAGCTTTGAATCAAAATTTATATCTAAAAAGGTTAAAAAACCAAATCAAATTCAAAATTAGCTGCAATAATGATCAAAGGATGATTATGATCATGATAATGCACTAAGCATTAAGCATAAAAAGACTCGAGCATTTCGAATGACTATCTTTAGTGAAGCGCAAATATTTAAATATCAAGTCTTGAAATATTCTGGCGACTCAAAATCATCTCTTCCTTCAAGAAACAACCAGATCTATTGCAGCTACTGATTGAGTAATTTACTGATCAATGTATTATATAATAATTCAAGACAGAGTTTACTTCATTAAAGTCTCTTCACTTTGCCTGAAAAACTGTACTCGACTCAATTCACATTCATAATCAAATTGATATTTCTGGTATTTCGCCGTTTTACTGAAACAAAACACTTGTCTAACCTTCAGCAAATATATTAGTAACTCTTTAGTTTTGATTGAATCCTGAATGAGCATTGAAATGGACTGAATTGCAAATTGTGACAAAAATTATTGTAATAGCTATTAATGGTGAATAACATTTGCTTAAAGATACTAAATGCTTTCCAATGGTAAAGTAAACCTCTTGATTCAAGGAGTGTTTCCAATTGAACAAGACTGCTATTTTCAGCATTTAATTTAGGTTTGATGTGTTTTGATGGATGAAAGTGCAAGTTGCATCTTCTTGATATTGTTCAATAAATGCTATTTAAAGAAACGTCAATCAAAAAGCCCAAGAAAATATGGAAACGAAAAATCTATCGAATAAATTGAATTGGAAAGTTTATTGATAACTGTTGAGTTGAGTAAAAGGTCAACAATGAGATGAGATCAAATTGAATCATCTTTCCGTATTTACATCCAATTAGATGATCAACATGGAAAAAGACAAAACCCAATTTGTTCGTTTGTTTTTCCCTCAATCTTTCAAAATTAATTTCAGCCCAACACTCATCAAAAATCAACTCTCATTAATCGGAAAACAGTAATCAAATTAGATCGCAACAATAAACAATTTTTACTAACAACATTTTCCTCGTCATTCCATTATGTAACAAGATGAAAGACTAGCAAAATTACAGATGAAATCTGTTGATTGATTTAAAGTGAGAACTGGAATCAAATTGTCCAGTCAGTTTCAATTTGATGCAACAATCAAAGAGATTTCAGTAGCTGATTCAACGATTTTGAGCTGAAAACATTTGTGACTGTAAACGGTGTAAAAAGGATGAAAATGAGATTGACCGAAGTGAAAATTTTCTGGTAAAAAATCAATAAAATGTGAATCAATATGTTTCATCCTGACATGACAAAACTAAGTGAATCTGTTAATTGTTGAGTGTAAAAAAGATGGAAATTAATTTTCAGCATTTAGCTTTACTTGACTGACCAAAGTGAAAAGAAATGTTAAGATGAATCGAAAAGCAAAAGTCTAATGAAAACTGTTTGATTGTTGTTTGGTTTGAGTAAATTAATCTGGGAATTGGTTGTTGAGACTGAAATGGTAAAATATTGTTCAATTGTTGCATTGAAATGTTTTCAAGTGAAAGTTGATCAACAATTGAAGGTAATGATTGAATGACTTTTCCTGATTAAATAAAATTGATCAATTTACAGTGAAATGGCCATTCTTGAGTTAAACTTGAAGATGGTAATGATGAGCATGAAAAGGGATGAAGGTAAATGGAGTAACAATGAATTTTTGTTCATTATTAAGGCAAGATTGACATTTTGCAAATGCTTTTCCTTCATTAACTTGCTTTCCATTCAATTTTCTTGAGCTAATCAAGTTTTTGCTCGTTATTTTGCCTCTTCAACCAGGTTAAATACACACTGAGAATGTAAACACGGTTAGCTAATTAACTCTTTAAATGGATTCAAAGGATACACAATTGACTGACTGATTAGTTTACTATGAAAATCCAGTGAAAACAATCTATTAACGTAGACTCATCTTTGCACACTTAAGGCTTTCAACAGTTTTTGAAACAGTTTTAGGTTAAAAACTGAGCCTCAAGGTATTGGAATAAAAAAAGGTATTGAACAAGAAGATGGTGAAGATGAAGATTTTGGTGAAGAATGGAAAAGAAGAGAAGAAAAACTGAGAATTTCTTTAACTGATCAAGTTGATTTGATGATGAACAGTCGAGAGGATAAAATGTTGCCTCGAAACAGCAACAAGAGAGACAAAAAGTAAACATTGAATGCTTATAAACAAGTAAAATCCCTTCAATTGTATTTCATCTAAATCAACATTTAATGATTAAAAATTTAGTCTCATTGATTTACTTGATGAAATACAATTGAAATACAATTGGAAAGGAAAAGTCTGGTCATTTTGTTAGTCAAAACAAACCAGAAATGTTATATTAACCTTGCCAGTTCAACCAGTTTGCTGTGGCGTGTTCAATGATAATTAACAGCTTTTCATTAATACAAATATGGTTGATATATTATACAGAAAATTGATTGTTAATTATAGCGCAAAACATTGTACAAATCAGTGGATAACTATTAATAGTAACAGTTGGTTGTAACAAGAAAAGGATGGAAATGTTTCACTTTTCAATTTCAATGTGTTCACTTGAGTTTCATTGAAAAGTGTTTGATATCATTTAGACATTTGTAAGTAATTACCTTTTTTAAAAGCTGATCTCAGGATATTCCAGAGTCGATCGTAGAGCGTGGAAAAAGTTTTACCATAAGAGTAGCGAGCATGATGACTGGAATGATGGTTTGAATGGCGACGTTCATCTTCATCTTTACCAATAAATTCACCGTTAATTTGATCATCATCCTCATTGGGTTCATCTTCATCAACCTCGTCTTCCGACTCGTCAAAACTTGAAATGTGTTTACCCTCACCACTTGGTCGACCCGATCTATTGACCAAACCTTTAGATTCCCTTTTTTCCCGCCTTTTCCAGGCTGAACTGGTTGAACCCAAAGAGTCGTGATAGTGTTTACTCATTGAACCCGAGTCACCAAGGTTTGGGTTTGCTGGGCCTGTTGGTGTCACCGTTGCCGTTGAAGCCTTCAACATGGATGAGGGTTGATGGCTGATGTCACTGAAGCAATGCTCAAACTCACCCATGTCACGGTGCAAAGTTTTCATCCAGTTGCGGCCAGTTGAGAACGCTGACCGTCCCTTTAACTCTTCCAATGACCTCAGGTTGACTGATTGTCCGAACCACTGTCAAAATCAATTAATCACTAAAATAGTCAACTAAACGGATCCAACTGTTGGAGTCAACTTTGAGGGTTGAAACCTTTACCAGGTTAGGTTAACTCTAAGTCCATCGACTAACCATTACATGACACAGTCCAAATGAATGTCTTAACAATCAACTTTAACCAATTAAATTAACGCTTTCTGATGAATGAACTTTCCATGAAACTGTTGGTTAAAAGTTGACCAAGAAAACATTGAATAAACTGTAAACTTGAAGGTTTTTTTTTCGGTTTCGTCTTTTCTCGTACAAAACTTACATGTGAAACGGTTTTACAGTCAAACACTTTTTTGATTAGTCTATCTATTTATCTCGAGTAATCAGAACTTTTCTCATGCTCATTTTATCTTACTCACTTTAACAACATGGCACATGGAAAACACCTTCTCAAATGAGAAGAAACAAGTAAAGGCAACAAGATCGAATGAGAATTTCATTTCAAGCTCATTCTCTTCTTCCAACATTCTTCTCTCATTGATTCAACTCAATCCCTTCATCTTTCACCCTCAACCATCATCATCATTCTCATTCTAATCTTCATCTTCTCTCTCTTCACCAATTCACCAAGCTTCTGAGCAATGAGCCTTTTCACCTCCGCGAAGTTATCCTTCACTTTAACAGCCAAATCCCTGAATAATTTTGATAACTTTCACTCCCAGTCAACTGCCAATCTTACAACTTTTCAATCACTAATTACATTTGTTCATATTGAATATAAAAACATAATTAGAAATAAAAAAAAGATCAAAATGTAGAAAAAATTTCTTCCAATTTCAAGTTTACTTGAAGACATTGTTCAAGTTTTGCTCAAAGTCAATGAGAAATTAAATTGTAAAAGTTAATCAAGTTTTCAATTGAAAGATGAATTTTAATGAAATTGCTTTTGTAACATTTAAATTGAGCAAATTTCCAGGCAAATTGTTGAATGGTGAAACCAGATTGTTCATCAACCTTGTTGTGCTTTTTATTGTTATCATCATTAAGTATAGAATCAAATTTCGGAAGAAAAGGTTTGATGAAAGGAAATTAATTGGTACAGTTAAAGATGATTTAATCAAGAAGTTGAAGGTAAAAACGAATGATGATGATGATAAATTTATTTACATTTGCATTATAATAAATAATAATATAATTGAGTAAATAGTGTTTTTTGGGTTAAACTTGGTAGGCAAGTTAACTTGATGATAAATAGTGAATGCTAAATAAATTAATAAATGATAAAATAAATATTAAATAAATAATTTGGGTAAAAAAGTGAGTTATAAAGCACAAAAAATTACAGCCACAAAAAAAGGCAAAAATGGAAACGCAAAAGAGTTCAATTTGCCATTGTTGGTAATGATTATGACAATGATGGTGAAGATGATGATGATAGAGGATAAAGGATGCTTGAGATGGGCAAACTTGGTTATCACTGGGAGGGAAAAAAGGTTTATCTTTTGGGTTTACAAGGGTTCAACTGTAAACTGCTGTTTGTGACCATTAAAGTTTTCACATTAAGTATCTTTAGTCTGTCTCGGTGAGTATTTGTTGTTGCTGATGAAATTTATTGATTCATTTGGTTCGTTCACAGCGTTTACCCTCGAATCCAAGGTTACAACGGCAAATGAAATTTCCGTCATTCTTTTCAACCGATATACAGGTTCCTCCATTGAGACAGGGGTTATCATTGAGCTCACAGTAGTCAAGCTTCTCGGAGCAATCGATTCCACCCCAGCCAGGTTGACAGTCACAGGTCCAGGGTTGAGTACAGTTGCCCATCTTACAGCCTGGATAGGGAACACACTCGGAACAGTTGGATCCACTCCAGCCAACACGGCATCGGCATTCATTTGGTCGACGGCACCAACCATGTTCTAGGTCACAACCTTCAGAGCAAATGGCTGTTTAACATCGCAAGTAGATGAGCAAATAAGTGAAGAAATAAAAAAAGAGAAAAACAAATTAATCATCGAGTCAAAAGTTTTTCACAACATTAAGCTAATCGAACAAGAATGTTCAGAATTTTCATTTAGTCAAATTCCAGTCGATTTTCAACTTGAATTTTGACTTTCAAGTAAAACCATCAATTAACTTGAAAAATTTTGAAGCAAATTTTCAACTCAACATTGATCAAAACTTACGTATGTTACAAAACAGTCCAGTCCAACCTTTAAAGCAGTTGCAATCAAGAGGATTTTCACAGTCACCGTTCTGACAGCCTGGCATGGTTGCACATTCAGTGCAGTTATCGCCACGATATCCGAATCTGCATCTAAATTATTTAAAATGAACAACAAGAAAAGGCTTAGACTGAAATCGGACTTTTTCAAAACTTTATCAATTGTGAGGCAAAATAATTGTTTCAGTTTCAAAGCTTTTCAACCTGTTTTAGATTAAATATGTTAAACATTGTTGTGACTTGGAGTTAATTAAATGCTCTTGTCTCACTTTCAATTTAAATGTAAAAACAAAGTTGAAACAAAAAGGTTAAAATTGTTATTCCCATTATCCTAGACTCAATTTAAACAATTTGATTGTAACAAGAAGATATTTTACGCGAAATGAATAAAACAGAAAAAATTGTAAATTACAAATTAATTGAGTTGATGGAAACCATGTTTAGATGTTTTTTTATCTTGCTTTCAATCCCTTCAAAGTTATTCAAATTTGGTTGAAAAGATGAGAAGGAAAATCACTTAATCTTCAATTTAGATGAGATTCAATATTGTAAAATTTTGGTTAAGATTTAGATTTAAATTACAAAATAATCATCTCAAGCAGACGGTCTATTAAAGTGTAAGTCTTAAAATTTGAAAGGTAAAGTTTGACAAAGAAAAGCTTTTCTCATCTAAAATTAGAGTCAAACCTGAACCCATTTTTATCATTAATCATTGCTCAGTTTTACCATGAAACTTGAAAGCTAAATCAAGAGACTGTTTGAGCATCTTAATTGTGATTTTTGATGAATAAATTTGCTATTCAATGAAACCTTTTCTCCTTTTCTTTTCCATTAAATATACTTTGATATGAAAAAAGCTGCCATTTTACATGCACTTGTAATGTATTTTAATGTGTCAACGTGCAAATGTTGAATTATTAACCCTTGGAATGAGTGGCGAAAAGTAGGTTTTACTTAACACAATTAACTGACAGAATTGTTTATCATTTCAATGTAATTCTGGAAAACAAATGATAATAATATTATGAAGCTGTCAGAGGCAGAGGCTGATGACGATAATGAAAATGATGAGAAACAAGGCAAAGATGAAAGAAGAGCAAAAAAGAAGAGGAAAAAACAAAGCTTTATGAATCAACCCAGAATCATTCATCTTTCAGGTTTCAAGTTAAATAATGAACTCTGGTTAACTCCAGCAAATTACCACAAATTTATCAAGAAAAGGTGCAAAGAAAGTGACTTGAAAAAGGTTAACCCATTGGTATCAAGGAAAAGGTCAATCGTCCAACTGTCATAATGAACTGTTGCCAGTAAATGGTTATTCAAATGAACCCAAATGGAAGAAGCAAATTGTGCTGAAAACACATTTAAAATAATAGCTACAATTGATGATAAATATCACCAAATGGAAGGTAAAAGAATGGATAAAAAAAAGGTAAATATAAAAGGTAAAAGGTAATGGTTCTTTTGGATAGGAAACAATTTTCAAGACACTTTTCATCTCTAATAGATAACCAATGGATAAAATGGTTCTTCTGGTTATTCTGGTTAAGATATAAAAAAGATGATCATTAGATGAACATGTTCTTACCTGCATTCACCTGGATGTTCACAGTAACCATTTTGTGGATGACAACCAGGTTTACAAGTTGCTGTTGAAAAGAAATGAAAAAATTAGTTTAATGTTTAATCAAAAGTCGGTTACAGTCAAGACGAAGGAAAAGGTTCAAATGGTTCAACCTTTCAATGATATTTTTATTTCTGTCATTTACTTGTTTTTTTCACTCATTTCTGGCATTTTTTTTCTCTCTTCATTTTACTTTACTTTTTGTTACTTATGTATGCTATTCAATGATAATCACAAGTGACAGGAAACATAACAGGGAATGACATGAATACACAGTAAATCTCTGTGACTTGCAGTCTAAATGATATCCAATGAAAGAAATGAAAATATCTCATTGAAAAATGGGTGACAATGGAAAGCATTTCTTCAACCTTTTTCTTCTTCTCTCTTCATTTTCATCTAATACAGAAATGTTGATAAGAAGGTAAAAAAAGGTAGACAAACGATTAAGGTAAAAAAAAGTCACTCTTTGGCCATTGTTTGGGTGCTTGGTAAAGATTTTCATTGCCATTACTTTGTATTAACTTTGTGTTTGTTTCAGAATAAGTTTTGCTTTTTTTCAGTTCAGCTTATTTGCTGATCAATATTGAACCATTTCAATTGGAGCAACAAAAATTAGAGGTAAAAATAAAGAGATGAAACAAGAGTTGAATACTTAAACATTGTAATAATAATGTATAACAAAAAGTTGATGTGAAACAAGAAACAAGAAAATTCCATTTTTTCTTCATTCCTTTTCATCAATTCCGTAATTTATATCATGGTAAAGGGTCACCTAACAATAACGATTCTTAGAGTTTTTTTTGTTATCATTTTTATTCACATAAAATGGGTTGAACTGTTGGCCAAAAATGTCATTTTCATTGAGTTTAAATGGTTAACCAGAAGTATAAAGAGATTGAAAATAAACATTTCAAGTTTTCTGGTTTTCAGGTTAAGTTGGAGTCTATTTGGTTAAACATTCAGATGGAAATCATTTTAAATTGATAAATTAGACATTTCTAATGTTCATTGGATTCAATTTTGTGACAAGTTGATCCATTTGATGAACCATTTCATTGAATGGTAAAGGGTTCATCTCTTGCAACCTTTTCAAAGGGCACCTGAGTGATACTTTGATATTTGGTTACAATCAAGACGTGATCAAGTTAACTAGTTGATTAGTCGAGTGAATGGAAATGGAAAGGTTAATGAGCATGTTATTTCATCAACAATTAGTGACAATTAACTTTCTTTTCAGAACTAAACTTTGAAAATAAATTTTTCCCTTCTTTTCATCTCTTCTCAATTTGATCAACAATTAACATTGTCTACATAGAGTTACAAGTGACGAATAACGAATTGTTGTATTTATTTTGGCCAAATATAATTTGATTATCGACATTTATTTACTCTTTTTTTCAATTAAGTGTAACTTTTATTGCCAGGTCAACATGAGTAAGATTGAAGGTTAAAAGTTGACTTAAGGGGTTAACTCAGGAACAAGTTCAGGGTTGAAAGGAACGCACAATTTCGTCTTTCACTCGTAAATGAAAAACCCATTTTTAACCATAGACTTAGGTACAACCTTCAAAGAGTAACTTTAATTTTGACGATTAACTTGAAAATCAATGAAAATGTCAACCGAAGGATAAAAAATTTGGGTTCAATCGGTTTAATTGAAACCAGATTTTCTTGAGGATTGAGAGCAACACAAAAAATTTCATTTGAAACAATCATATCTGAACGTTTTCCTTGTGTCCCTAGTCGAGTGTAAGTCTTTTATGTTCAAATGATTGAAAAATTTTCTTTGGTTTACTTAAACTACTGAACATTAGCTCAATGTTTTTCAAATGTTTGCATTTAAATCAATCAAGATTGATGTTAACCTGGCACCTAAAGTTGAAGTACACAAACTAGACTCTAATCTAGTTTAGTCTATCATTATGCATGATGATTGACTTTCATCTTGATACAAAATTTCATGATAATAAATGTAATATTACATTCAATTTGGAATTTTTTTTCTCTCTCAACTTTTTCCAGTTGACTCCATATTATGACACAATCTGAAGATAATACAATTTGCAAAAAAAAGGTGAAAAGAGAAGGAAGAAAAAAAAGTAACACAAAGAATCTTCAGAAACTGATGAGCATCAAATAGCTGAGCAAATCCCTTTTTTTCATTACAAAGCAAGGATACATGGGAAGAGGGAAAAAAAGTATTCCAATGAACAGAATGATGAAGATGATGGAGATGATGATGAAGGCACAAAAATGGGTTGAACCAAGGTGATGGATAAAATAGTGTTGTTCATTCATTTATTGATTTGTTGATTTGCAGGGAATGAGAAAAGTCGCTCAATATGAAAACAAAAGGATGAAATCAATGAATATATCAGATGTTACAAAGGTGAAAACAAATGATCAACTTTACAAAAAAAGTCAACAATAAAAGGCAAAAGCTGTCACTTCATTGATTCACAATCTTTTTTGGGTTAAAATTTTCCATTCATTTCCATGTCACTTTGAATTCATTTTTTCCCTGTTAGTAAATTGAAACATCGTTACCATCATTCAATAAACCAATAAGATTTGAATGCAATATTAAGCACAATATTACAATATTATATTACTCTTTCCGGTTCCTTGATCAAACCCTCAAACCTAGAGCATCATTATATCGTTTGTTATTATCATGATTATGTTATTGTTGGAACAAGTTTCAAAGGGAAAGAAATAAATTTTATGTGAAGGTTAACACCATAATGAATTACATTGAGGAGGATGAAGAAAAAATGAAAGAGATGATGAAAAGGATGAGAAGTTACTCTTCATTGAGCAACTTTCCCCATCATTTTTAATGATTGAAAGGATCAACCATTTTTATTCAACTATTAACTTCTTGTGCATCAACATTTGCCCAAACTTATTCACTGAAACAGTAAATCAATGATAAATTAGGCTGTAAAATAAAAATCTATGTACATATAACATTATTGAATTACATTGCATTGAATTATTGACTTTGAAAAGTTTCACCATCAAAAGCAATTCAGAAATTTTATCTCAAAGAAACTTTTCAAAGGCAAATTCAAGACTTTTCAAGAACCATTAAGATTATTGTTGCATTTAGTTTTTTAAGGAATAACAAAAATCCAAAGTAAAATTATCATTTTATTCCCAGATTTTGAACTATTCAATAATCAATTAGTCAACTTGTTTTGAAGTTTTTTGAATTTACAGTCAATCGGTAACTTTGATAGTTCAAGACTTTAGTTGTTTCAAGTGGTCACAGAATTTCATCAGAATTTCTTGTGACTTTTATTTTTGTTTCATGATATCTGTGAAGATGCCTTTTCTGAGCTTTAGACTTTTTTGTTCAAAGTTTTGAAATCAACTTGAGATTTGTGGTTCGTTTTGTCTGGTTTTTGAACAAATTGGACGCAATGGATAGGCTCTTTGAGATTTTGAAAAAAGAAACATTGAAATTATTGAAAGATCATTGCTTTGTTCAGAGAGGTTCGAGTGAAGAATCGTTTGGACAATAAAGAGACATTTAAGAGACAAAATCTTGGCAGAAAATATCAAGATTCAATTGAAGATTTTACCTTCCAGTTGATAAACATTTGAAATAAAGACATTTGAGAAAAAACCAAAAAGGCTAAAGTTGAGAGCGAAAAGTAGAAAAGGAAAACTGAAATTTATTGAATTTTTGAATGGCTTAAATATGATCTATTTGCTCATGAATTTGATCAAACAAGACTCGGGTGACTGATAAATATTGAACCTTGAAATTTTTAGGTAATAAATGTTATCGACTTCAAACAGAAGCTTGTAAAAAGTGCGCTTTCAAAAAATGACAAGTATCGAAAGAGAAACGAATGGAATGATTATTAGATTAGGACTTCAAGACACTTCAATCATGAATTAAACACAGGTCATATGATCGTTAGAAGTCCATAGCTTAACCTTTCATGAGCCATATTATTATAATACATATAATATAGTGAGCAAATTTGGTCAAAAATCAATACAAGAATCACCTTATCAACTCAAAAATTAGATTCGGTTCGATTTTTCGTCAGATCATTAAAGAAAGATTAGCAAGTCTTGTTATTTTTTATTTTCAAATGATAATCAAAATGAGCTTCAAAAGATCCAAGTATTATAATTGATCCACTTCTGTTAATCTAAATTTGGCTAGATTTATGGTCGTTTATACTTATAACTCTGCTTGACTTTTGCATTTCGTTTTATGAAAGTTCAAATTTTTTCAGATCGGTTGATGTTTTTCCATTTACATTTTTAACGTTGTAAAGATAGGCCGCCGTCACCAAAATCATTCATTAACTGAACGGCTTATAAACATTCATGTTTTTATATCAAAATGGGCTATTAACATGTAACAGAGTTTGAAATTTCAGGAAACTATATGCAAAAATCAATTACAGGGCAAATAACTGAATGACCTTGAGTGTTCTTGAGACTCTGGATCATGGTTCTTCAATTTCTGTACCCCCGTTGTGACAATAGCTAAATGACGAAAATTGAAAAGATCACAGTTTAAAATCTAACTGCAAAACTAATTGTGTGAAACTAGTCTTTCGCAGAAAAGTGTTACTCAAAATCAAACGAAGAGGCTCGACTATGACGATCGGAAAAAGCTCCACCTTGCAGAAAATGTCACACATTTTTCACTCCATTAAAAATAAATGAGTTGAAATTGATTAGTTGAAAAAAAGCATAGTAAATGAACCCGGTCAGTTCAAAAACAATGATTTTGCTGTTGTGAAACTAAATGTTACACTTTATCTAAAAATGATGGCAAATGATTTAAATTTACGAAATTATCTTTTCTCCACAAAATTTGGTTAACTACAATTGTTAATGAAGTGTTGACTGTAACTATTAATGGTTCTATTTATTTTGTAATTGAGTTGGTCCATGTTTAGATTGCTCCATATTAATTAAAATTTGATGATTCAATTTTGCTTGTGCCTGTTGTTGGTTTGTCAACTTTATCGTTTGGGTATTTGTTTCTATATTTCTTTTGTGTATCTTCAATTTAAAAACGGTTTTTCTAATTTTCGCAGTCTTTTTGTTTTCTCACTTCATTTCGTTGTACCCCCATTGTGACAATAGCTAAATGACGAAAATTGAAAAGATCACAGTTTAAAATCTAACTGAAAAACTAATCGTGTAAAACTAGTCTTTCACAGAAAAGTGTTACACAAAATCAAACTGAGAGACTCGACTATGACGATCGGAAAAAGTTCCACCTTGCATAAAATGACATTTAAAAGTCAATTAGAGGTCAAATAACTGAATGACATTGAATGTCCTTGAGACTCTGGATTTATAGTTTTTAAATTTTGAAAATTTCGCTGACTTAATTATATCAAGATCTGACCTTTGGTCTAAAAGTCTCTAACGCAAAGGACTTCAGGGATGCAAAAAACATCCAGTATAATTGACGCAAGAACCAGAAGAAACATACGCATTTAAAAGTTTGCTTGCTGAAGACATTTCATTGTTTGTTTCTGATTTTAAGGACTTCAAACAGATGCACTGATGAATATTTAACTGAAAGTCTAATAGATTCATATAAATTCTAATAAACGAAATCCAACTTTGATTGTATTTAGTTAGTGCAAACGATTTTTCCATGAATTACACTTTGACCAATTGCTGTTAATTGTGATAGAAGATCTTAAAGCTTCAATATTCCCTTCAAATTAAATTATTTGTCAAGAATAATTCGCATTCAAAATTAGGATTTGTAGTCAATCAACAAGTTGATTGAGATTTGAAATAAACTTTGTCTCCAACCGGAACAAGGAAGAGTTCAAATAACAATTAATATAATTTACTTTCAAAGTAAAAGTGAAACTCTAAATGATTCATTAAAACACTAATTAATCTATTAATTTTTACCTTTACACTAACAGGTAGAGTGAAGCAAATAAAACCTGATTTGATTACAAAAATCTTATTCAACATTTTCCCCTGCAATACAACTTATACAACGTATATAATAACTGAAATAGTAACTTAAATTATAATCATAATGATCAAGTTTAAACCCTAAGGCTTACCCAAATCAACAATTACCTCAAAATTTGCACACCAAAAATATCAAGAGTAAAGTTCAAGTTTACAATTTTCATGGAGAGAATGAAGAAAAAAAAACAAATTATTTCCGGCAATTATTATTAGCAATGTTAATTGTAAACATGAGAAACTAAGCTTCAACACTGTAAATACAAATAAATCAAAATACAATCACAATTAACTGTTAAATTGTTGAAACCTTTTTACCAAATGCATTAAATGTAATTGAAAAATGATCATGAAAAGGTTAACAATTGAAATGAAATTTTTGTAAATGTTCAAGTATTTGCTCATTGAAATGCCAGGTAAATGTAAATGAATGGTTAATTAATAATCATGTTCCCTGATAAATAAAGGGTTAACTCTATTATTAGGGTTACAGTTGTGTTGGTTGTTAATATACTTTTGCAATGAAAAAAAAGCAATGAAAATGATGAAAAGTAATGGGAACAAAAAATGTAAGAAAATAAGTGCTTCAGGAAATGCATTTACTAGGAATAACGAAATTATTGGAATAACTATTTTTACTTTTCTTCATTATTTTGGTTCATCTTTTCCACCTTCTCAGCATCATCATGATCATCATTCACCATTCTCATCAATCTAATTTTCATTCAATCAATTGCCTTTTCAAATGAATCTTTATTTTTTCATCTAAAATCAACATTAAATATTTTTTTCAACTGCGTTGGTTGAGGAATCAAACTTGCTATCAATTGTTGAATAAATCAATAATCAACATGAAAAACTGTTTCAATATTTAATTGTTCAACTATTGATTTGCTATTTTCTGAGTCAATGTTTAATAACAATAATATGTTTTGGGTTTGTGTGATTTTGTTTGCAAAACAAACCCAAACTGGTTGATGACCAAAGAGAATCGATTTAGGTATTTCCTGATTTCTGATGTAACCAGTCAACAGTAAACTGTTAACCACCCAAAAAAAAGGTAACCTTAGGTTGAGAAAATCATTTTTTTCTCTCTTCTTCTTCTTCTTTTACCTTTTCTTCATCATGTTCATCAGTTTTGCTTTTGCTTGATTCAGTTTTGTAAAAATTGAGTTTGAAAAATTTAGTCTTGAAAAAAGGTTGAATGAAATAAAAAATGGCGAAGTTGAAATTGAAGATGAGGAGAAAAGTAAAACAATTTTTACTCTCGTCTTCATTTGTCTTCATCTTCTTCTCTATTTATCATCTTCTTCCTCATCTGTAGTCTTTCCATTGTTTCCCTTGTCGTATCATCTTAAATTTATTTTGATATATATTTTTCAGTTTGGATTTTTGTTGACTTGATTTTTGCCTCACTGAGTTTGTGACAATTGAACAGCAGCACAAAAAACAATGGTTCAGATGACGATTCTGTTGTTGATGATAGTGATGAACAAACGCTGTGTGTGTGTTCATAGGTATCAATGTGGAAGTGTTGCAATGAGAAAATTGTTTTTTTCTGTGTCTGACTGAACAACAAAATTAATCACTTTTTAAGTGATATAAATTTCATTTTGTTTCATTGAACAGGTTAAATAATGACTTACGTTTATCACAAAACATTCCGGACCAGCCTTCTTCACATCGACATTCAAAGGGCTTTGAACATGAACCATGAATACAACCAGGCATGGGAACACATAAAGAACAAAATTCACCTGAAAAAATGAGAAAAAATCAATTAGACGAAAATATAAATCAAAAAATTTAAAGACATTACTATCAATACTGATTGGCCATCAAACAGATTCACTTAGATATTAAATTACTTCAATTATATTGAATTTACTTTTGCTTTTACCATTTTTTACCCTCAATCGGTTAAATTGATATTGTTTAAACTGGATTCTGGGTTAAACTTGAAACCCAAATTTTGCCACTTTAACCTAAACATTATTGTATTGTATCACTTTGTATTAGATTGTGATTTTGATATTTTAGATATTATTGTATCTAAAATAATTTATTTCTTGCCTTCCTTTGGCTTGCTCATTGATGTTAACTTTGAGATTTATCAGATATAAGCTTGATAGACTCTTGTTGTGATGCTATTTCATGAGTGAATTGGAAAGATGAAGAGGAAACTGAATGATTCCTCGGCTCTTACAAAAGATGAAGATGAGGATATAAAAGTTGAAGGAGGAAAAAGAGAGGAGAATGATGATGATCAGAAAAAAAATAAATTACTGAAAGTAAGTTTGATTAAAAGAGGAAGAGAAGATGAAGATTAGACTGTTGTTATTGTTGTTATTAACATGGAAAGCAAAACCTTTGAACATGGTTAAATGAGTAACTAACTCAATTTCATGTTAAAACCGATTTGTTAAAAGATGAGGTGAAAAGAATAAAAGGATAAAAGAAATGATCATCATCATGATCATCATGGAGAAAAGGTTAATTTGGTACAAAAATAGAGAGGAAAGAAAGAAAATGATGATCAGTATGGAATGGCTGGTAAAAGGTTAATGTTGACATAAAATGAATTTCAATTTAAATGTGATTGAGTGGTAAAAAAATTGGTACCAAATGCCGGCGGAAAAGATTGTAAGTTAATTATACTTGAGAATCAGCTGATTAGGTTTGACTTGATGTATAGCAATGCGGTTATAGCACAAAAAAGATTCATTTCAGGCTTACCAGTCCAACCAAATTTACATTTACACTCATTGGGTTCATTGCAATAGCCATGAGTTGAATGACAACCAGTTTTACAAATTGGACTGTTACAATCATCACCGCGAAAGCCTGGTGGACAATCAGGAATGACATTATTGTTATCATTGTTGTCAGCTGATGAATATTTCAAGCTTCCAGTGATCCTCCAACGATAACGAAATTTGATTCCGGAAGTTGTATTAGGAGAAGAGTAATTTGGCCCACCAATTTCCCAAATAGTGTCATCTTCCAATGGAAGCAATTGTAAGGTTGTATTTCTTAATTCTAAGTGGCGAGTAATTAACTTGTCATGACCAGCATTTGACTTGTGCCATACTTCAACCAACAGGATAACCTTTTGTAATAAGGGATTGGGTTCCGTTGAAGAGGTACGATTTGCTGATGACAAGGGTTGTTGTTTTGATTTGAAATCGGCTTGAAAACCTCTGACCATATTTACAAGAGGAATGGTTGTTCGCAGTTTAATTGTACCTTTCTTTTTATTGTTTGAATCATTTTCAGTTGACCAATAGGCTATTGTACATTGAGATGTTGATGAAGGTAAAGTTGTCTTGTTGGTGCAAGGCGATTAGTGTTGATGATGATGAAGTGTTTGAGGGTGACGATGACAATCCTTTAAAAGATCCGACAATACGGTTAAATATTCCTTTGAACAATGATTGACGTGTCTGTGGTGGTTTTGGGCGTTTAATAACTGGCTTGGGTTCAGTTCGAAATGCACTTAATCCATGAAAACCGAGACTCAGTCCAGGACCACTTCGTCTTTCAACTGGCATTGAAAAGTCAAGAGGCAAGGTTCGCTGTGGATCTTGCTGGTGAGACATACATATCTTCCAATATGGATTACAAGACGATGAACCACCTCGACAAATACCATGTCCTAGGGTTGACTTGTAGCCAGAGCAGCATTCACCTGATGCCAATCGACCTTCTGGATTTTCATAAGATAACACTTCAAATTCAACATGATATGAGATTGAATTTGGATTTGTAGTTAAAGGTTTGACTTCCTAATAAACACCAACAAGAAAAGAAACGTTTTCTCAATATAATACAATGTAAATTTGTCTAAAAATTGTAAAAATTGTTGAATTAAGTTTACAAAGTGTAACATTTAGTTAAAACTGGCTAATTAACACGAAAAAACAACCAATTGGAGAAAGGGTGATTCATTGTTCATTATCGGTTGCTATCTTATGATTAAAATGAAAGGAGAGTTCAAGCAAAATATTTAATGGACTTACCTCTAGAGAAACAAAAGAAAGTGTTGTTAAGTACACAAACAGTTTGAAGTTTGCAAAATTCATCTCTTAATAAATACACTTTGTTTAAATTATTAATCTATTTTCGATGTTGAATTAAACAGGGCAAAAACACTTGACGAATTGGTTCATTAAAGGAGACTACAAGCAACACTTGGTAAGTTGACTTTCACTGGATTTCTTGTTAACCTTTATTGTTCGCCTGCTGATGAAGTAACTAGTGCTGTGAGTGTTGAGGAACTGAAACTTTCCTTGCCAATGAGTTCAACGACTTTGTCTTGTTGATGATGATAAAGGTAATATTAAGACCCGCTATGTTAACGTTAAGTGAGGAGGGCTGAGAAGTCCCGTTCCCATCTTCATCATCATCTTCATCTTACCTTTCCTCTTTCATTTTTTTCAATGTTAAACTCTCTTTTGATACTTAACATTCTAACATTTGCTTCTCTTCCTTCTTACAGGCTGCAAAAATTATAAAAGGTGAAGGATGATAAAACTAAACCTCTTCCTTTTTTCACATCAGCTTCTCATCTTCTTCCAAGTGACCGGACGAACCAGTTTCGGACCATACCAGACTTATTGATAGATGTCAAAGATTGAGTATCTTTTTCAATTTGGTTGATGTTCAGTTATGCCAATGATACACATTTCAACATTGCCATCATCATCAAACATTATCATTTTATTTCTTTCTCTGTCCCTTTTTTGTCTCCAATAATTTTCATCCTTGCTCATCTTCTTTTACCCTTTGGCATAATCTCATAATTGACCTTTCATTTTCTCTATTTACCTTTCCTTTCTAGATTGTTAGCACGCTTTAAAGGATACATTGGATAGACTCAATGGATAAGATAGTTACTTTTAAAGATGCAACACAGAAAGGATTAGAATAAATAAGAGAATCAGAATTTGTAACAACCAAAATGACAAATGTGTTATTATGCTGATGATGGCAATTACTTTTGCATCCCAATTAGAGAATCATCAAATTCGTTGAACTTGATATTTCATGTAGAGTGGAGTCAAAAACTAAGTTGATATTTCATGTAAATCTAAAGTCATTTACTCAAATCCAAGTTACATTTTAAAAATAATTTGCATTTTCTAATGTTAATGTCCAGTGATCAACGTGCCCGATAAAATGTGAAACCAGAAGCAATTGTAAATTGTCATCAGAAACAAAGTCTGTTTTATTTGACCAGTTTAATAACTTGGGTTATTAATTATTAAGAGTTTGCTTTCAATTGCCTGTTTATCATGAAACATGCTTTTCGGTTTCTGCATCTGATTTGTATTTTGCGACGCATCTAACCAATAACGGGACCAGCTTTTTCCACCACTCCAAAGAGACTTATCAACTAAATTATCACCGAATTAGCCACCACATTCCCAATCAATTTTTTCATAAGATTTGTCACTCAATCCACCAAATTATTCAACACTTTTCGGATATGGAGATGAATGGCGGGCGTGTTGGATTTGGGTGCTAGACAATATTTTGGACAATACGGTGAACAATTTGTTGAAAAAAATGATTGGAAAAGGCTTGCCCTCTAATAACTGCATCTTTGTATCAAAGTTTTAAAAAATTGATTACTTTTGTAGTTTATTAAGCTTGTTGTGGTGCAATCTGGTGTTTTTGAGACACACATCTCTAATGACTAGAAATGAATGTAACGACCAAATGGTTGAATTCAAATCAAAGCTTGCAGTTAAAGTTGGTAGATGATAAACAACTCATCGATTATTTTCGGCATTGAATGCGAAAGCTTTGTTTAATATCGGGATTAAATTGTGGAAATTTTCAAGTATCGAAAGGAAATAAAAAGGCAAAGATTCTTAGAAAACAAGACGCACATATATTCCAGAAATAATCAGATTTTATTCAATTCATTTAATAATGGATGCAATGTATTTGTAATCTTAAAAATTAGTAAAAACAATAAATTCAATTATTTTTTAATTAATGATGTGAATATCAATTACTCAATTATTACTTGTTTGTATTATTGACTATATAGGTAAAAGAACACAATGGGTTATTCCCTCTCATCATGGTAATTATATTTCAAATATTTTTAAAGTTGTCAGAAATCATTGAATATTTTGATATTGAACTATTACTAATAGAAACAAAACTTCAACTGTTGAAATTTTTCCGGTTGAATTTTTATCAATATCAATGTTCGATTGTATCGAAAATGAAAGTCTCTCAATGATTGGTTGAATTTATCTTGCTTTGCGCGCCGCCAATATTTAAGAAAGTTGCGTTTTGAAATATTACTCTTGATTTTTCTCTTGAATTTGGATAATTATTTGGTTATTTTTGACGATTTTTAATTCTTTTGAAATGGCGGAATTTGATAAGTTTCCACTCATCGAGGCCGGCTCTACTAGGAGAACTGTCAGAGAATACGATGGGCGTTTGGAAGAAGGAACCTCTGATCCAGCTATTATTAATAATCAGGTAAACATATGTTTTTTTGAGAATCGTGCTTTCTTATTACCAATTTTAATTTATGTTTTGTCTCATTTTCCATTGTTACAGGGTGTAGAATATCCTTTAATTGATATTGATAAAAAGCCTATCATTAAACCAGTCAAATCGTCCTTTAGAGCTAAAGATTATTTTGTTGAAGAACCTGCCGGTGATTGGAAAAAGTGTTATCAGTTGTGGACCGAAGATGGAACTTTATCTGCGCTTAATTTTATTACATCTTTACCTAGTGTTGAACCAATTCTTCCAAATATTGGAAGGACAATCGCCAAGACTTTTGCTTATGCTGTCCTTTACTTATGTAAATTATTCTTGCAAATCTATCTTTATTTCTTTCCTTATGCTAAGGTAGGTTGATTATTTTCCATATTTGACCCTTTGACGGACCATCTAACCTTTTACTTTTCACAGCATTCTCCCGACGCTTTATGTGATGAATTTTGTCGTTACTTTGGACCCAGAGATTTGTTCATTTGTTTTGCGTGGCATCCTAAGAAAATGGTCTGCTCAATAGGGCTAGCTAACAATGATATTTATATTTATTCATCATTAAGAAAAACAGCTCTTCTCATAAAGCATCCACACCAAAAGAAACTATCTGATCTTGCCTGGAAACCTGGCACAACTAATGTACTCGCTGTTGCTTGTCAAAACTGTATCCTCATCTGGGATTTAGATCAAGTTGAATTGAAAAAAATGCAGCTATCGAATTGTGTTCAACTTTTCAAAGATGGCCTCCCTAATGGTATCACAAGCATTGCCTATGATTCCACTGGAGAAATGCTGGCAGCTTGCTCTCCTCAATCAACCAAACTGTTCATAATTAAAAAAGGGCCAGAAGGAAATGATGAATTTCAAATAGTTCGTAATTTCCCAACCTGCTTTACTCGCTTGCTTTGGTCTCCTGACTCTTTAAGACTCTTAACTTTAACTACCTCAAATTATGTCTCAATTTTTGAATCAATTGCATGGTCCTGCAAAAAATGGTCACTCGAAAATCGAACCCCTATACAATGTGCCTGCTGGAGTCAACCAGAAGGAACTTTTCTTTTATTTGCAAACAAAAAAGAGCCCATCGTTTATGCTTTAGCCTTTTATGACCAAGCTACGGCAAATGATGTTGGTGGTTATGTTAAACATTGTCAAGAGGTTTTGAACGTTTCCGAGACAATTCTACCCAATGGAATAAAAGTTGGAGGTCGTATTCACGATATGGTCTGGGATTCGAATGGCCAACGTCTAGTCATATCATTTGTCGATAATCCTGAGTATTTAGCTGTTTACCGAACCTGGAGTAAATCTCTTCTCGAATTATCTCCAATTGGCTTCATTCATGGACTTTCAGGAGAAAAGCCAATTCTCATCTCATTTCATGACTATTTTAAACACGGTTCACTTTTAACGGTTTGCTGGTCAAGTGGCATTGTATCTAACATACCTCTTTATTATGATAATAACAAAACTAACCAAAGTGTTATTAAAAATGGTACCCCACGTCGATTGACCAGCTTTTGCCTTTCAACTCCTATCAGTGGAAAAAGTAGTCTAAATTCACCTGCCCTTTCTTTTTCGATTGCCTCTCCCCGTGAAACCTCACTATTTACTCAATTACAATCAAGTCCTCGCCCCCATAAAATTTCTATTTAAATGTACTTACACATAGATCTGTATGTAATACGTATTTTTTAAGGTAAAAGTCCAACTTTAATAAAGTTCTTATGAAAAATTTTGGATCTCTGTATATTGTTTGTCAATCCTTAATTATTTCTTCCTTTTATACTTCATCATCAATTGATTATGGATTATCATTTATTCATTATTAAAAGTTCGAAACTCAAATGATTCATATAATAATAGTTGAACCAAACCGAAGCGCTTGAAACATGAGCAGTTTAAATGCTTGTATAAGCAAACAACGGTTGTTACTAAAAAGACAAAATTAACACAATTATTGTATTATGTACAAATTGAGACGAATGAGCAAAACGGGTAAAAAATAATCACTTAAGAATTTAGATTCTGTTAGTTTATAAAGACATAAAAACTGAGTCCATTTGCGTGATTTTATAATTTCTCTGAGGAAATTTTTCGTGAAAATTGAAATTTCAATCGCCTTTTGGAAGATTTTTCATGAAACTCATTTTACTGTTGTAACTTTTGATGGCTAGCGAGAAAGTGCACTTATTTCGGGAAATAGAACTTTTTTTCTGTAGAATAGATCAACTCGATTTTCAGTTGCACCGATCGTTTTCAGTTAGTCGCAAGAGTTAGCAGGTTTATTATATATCCATGAAAATTGTCAGTTCACATCATAAATTGTATACTTTTTTCAATTAACCAACAGTGATCTTGATTTGCGCCATAAGCCTTTTAACTTTGAGACTCGATGTTTCGAGATTGGTGGAAACAGTCATCATTCTTTGAACAATTAAATCCTTAACTAATTGATAATTTAATTGCATTCAATAGCTTTCCATTAGCGCATTTCGTCCAAAGTATTTGGCTTGTAAATGCACGAGTAATAACTTATTTAACAAAACAAATTCAAATAAACCAATATCTTGACGAATAAACCATTTTTCTGTTTAAACCTTCAAAGGTAATGCAAAAGGTACTACTAAAAGCTCGAATATTTAAGTAAAGAGTTGAAACTTGGTGAGTTTGTAGGGAAATGCAAACTTAATCCATTGGTGCTATCAAAAAGTTTCTATGACCGATAGTTAACGAGAAAATCGAGTCGAAAGTTGAAACTTCGATCACTTTTTGTACGGCAATGGAAGCAGATATTTTCATGAAGCTCATTTAGCTGATGTGAATTCCAATTATCTACCAGAAAATGCACTTATTTCGTGACATAAAATTTCCTGTTCGAAATAAAATCGATAAGTTAGATTTTCATTTAAAGCGACTTATTTCTGTGACCGTGCAATTCAAAGTCCTGAAACTTATTTTCCGTGGGTAAAAATTGATGGTGCACACTATGAATTAAATAGTTTTTACGGTTTAAGGATAGTTTTCGCGATTTTGGCCATTAACCCAAAAAGTTTGAGGCTAAATATTTCGAGAATGGTAGAACCCACAATAACAATTCTTTGACCAAACATTAGATCTTGTGACGGACTATAATAATATGTGACTAGAAACCGAAGATACCTTAACCAATTCATCTTATAATGAATATTCTTTTGACACGTGATAAGTAACCAGTTATCTTTGTTAATCTGGTATAAAATCTGGTAACTAACTAATACAATGTTATAACTACTTTTGTATTTTCTTCAATCATCTGAAATTTGAATATATTGTAGCCCATAACAAAATCTAATGTCTGGTCAAAGAATTGTTATTGTGGGTTCTACCATTCTCGAAATATTTAGCCTCAAACTTTTTGGATTAATGGCCAAAATCAAGAGAACTGTCGCTAAACCGAAAAAATTATTCAATCCATGGTGTTTACCATCAATATTTACCCACTGAAAATAAGTTTCAGTTCTCTAAATTTTACGGTCACAGAAATAAGTCGCTTTAAATGAAAATCGAACTTATCGATTTTATTTCGAACAGAAAATTTTATTGTTCGATTTAAGTGCATTTTCTGGTTGATTATTGAAATTCACTTTGTAGGAATGAGTTTCATGAAAATATCTGTTTCCATTCTCGTACAAAAGGCGATCGAAGTTTCAACTTTCAACTCGATTTTCTTTGTAACTATCGGTCATAGAAACTTTTTAATAACACTAATGGACTAAGTATTCATTCCCCTACAAACGTATCAACTCTCAACTCTTTACTATAATGTTCGCGTCTTTCGCAGTACTTTCTCCATTACCTCTGAAAGTTTAACCAGAAAATTGATTTATTTAGCAAGATATTGGTTTATTTGAGTTTGTTTTGTTAAATAAGTTGTTACTCGTGCATTTACAAGCCAAATACTTTGGACAAAATTCGCTAATGGAAAATTACTAAATGCAATTAAACTATTAATTACCGTATTGACGCGTATCGTGGCGCCGTGCTTATAAAAAAGTACGCCATCATATAAGCGCCTTTTGAGCCACTGCAAATGCGCGAAAAAGCATTGCTTATTATTCAGAGGTGCCTCTATTGTCACAAAATTGTGCCTTTAAGAGTAACATTCTCATTATTAAGCCCGGTGCTACGATACGCGTCAATACGGTAGTCAAGGATTGGATTGATGAAAGAATGATGATTTTTAGTGATGCCATTCTCGAAAAACAGAGGTTCAAAGTTTTGCGAACAATGGCCAAAATCAAGAGAAATATTGGGTAATTGAAAAAAGTGATCAACTCATAATATGTAGTGACAATATTCATGGACGACTAATAAGTTTCATATTAATAACTCTTACGGGCACAAGAAAAAAACGGTGCAACTGAGAATCGAACTTATCTATTTTACAGAAACACAAAGTTTTATTTCAGGTAATAAACGGCATTTTCTAGTCGGCCATCAAAAGATACATCAGGAAAATAAGTTTGCTCTAAAAATCTGCTTCCATAATTTGACAAAAAGTGATCGAAGTTTCAACTTCGCATTCAACTTTCTCAAAAACTACCGATCAGGTAAACTTTTGAATCACACAAAGACACTCATTTCGCATTTCACTACAGGCCAAAAGAATCTAAATTCATAAGAAATCCATTTTTATCGCTTTGTGTCAGTTTGTTGCAATTTGTTTATAAATGTGACGGTTGTGTTAATTGTGTTTCTTTATAGTAACAGCCGGTCGAGACTCAATCATATTCAGAACCGATTGTTATGCTCAGATCATTTCCAATAATTTTCGTCTCATGGAACCATTTGTTTGTGTCTAAAACAACTTGAAATGAAATAAAACATAAGTTATCGTATTCAAAGCTACAAAGAAAGCAAATCAAAGAAACTTACTAATATCACCAGAGTTGACCGTAATTTCGAATCGTTTGCAGGTAAAATGGCATTCAATTGGTGGTTCAAGGATCCACTTTTTACTTCCCTTGATCTGTGCTTGCCATGAAGGGTAACCAACATTGTCAATCTTGATTAACCAGACAAATATTTTACCATTAAATTGAACAATTTAAAACCTAATTTAACTCACATGCATAGGAGCACCATAACCAGGAGTACCCATGAATATCCAATCAAGCCTTGAATCTTCCGAATCACTTGGTAAGAAGCTTGGCCTTTTATAATATTGACGCAGCTTTTGAGTTATTGAAGGATCACAATTGGACCTAAAAACACCGATCATATATGAGTTTAAAAAGACAAGAATCAGCCATCCTTTGACTTCAAAATAATACTAAATCATCAACTTACCATCCAATGTACCAACTATTGAAATGGTCAGCATCAACATGACCAGAAATGATATCCAAAGCTTCTCTCAACGATTTAAATGGTGTTTTGTATGGGAAAAATTGACATCGATAAAATGGATTTGAAGATGAATACAGTCGAGCGAAAAAATCAACCGAAAAATCATGTAAACTTTTCCAATCGTTTATTATTCCTCTAACAACTAATGGTTCCATTGAATAAGCAAATCTGGTTGAAATGAGACACAAATAGGAACATCAAAAATAAAAACATTGACCAGATGACCGATTGACATTAAAATTTACCTTTCCTCAAATTGTTGCCTTGTAATGTTAGTAACTTGAACAATTTGATCAATACGTTCACATTGACTGCAATCAGCAATTTTAGGATCAAAAAGATGACTCCAACTTGAAGATATTGAAAGTAGACATGAATTTTGTCCATAAAATAACCCAATCGTGTTGTAAAAAAGGGAAACAATTGAATTGAAGTTGACAATTACAAAGTAAATGAACAATATTTCAATGATCAGACAAACTGTCGACTCACTTACAACAATTGTATTTACTTGATTTACATCTTTACTTTCAACGATTCCCTTCACTTTTTTGTGTCCCATTCTCGCTGAAACACATGAAACAACTGAATTCTGGCTCACAATTCACCTGATATTTTGCCATTGTTTACATAGAAAGTTTAATCTCAAATTTTCACTCCTCACAACCGTTGAGCCTCAAGTTTGAGGTAAACAAAATGTGATTTATCTTGGATCTCTTCTTATGCTAATTGCTTATAACAGATTTTTAATCAGCTTACATTTAAATATTTTCATTTAAATTGACTTGGATGAATATAACGATTAATATTATCATTATTCAATCCTTTGAACAGTTTATATCTAATGGGACAAATGAAGGAAAAAAATGTCAATATTAACCTGCAACTTAACCAACCTTAAAGCGATGCACTTCTCATGCGAAATATCATCAGTGAATCAGTTTAGTTGATCAAATTAGTCGACAAAATGGACTCATTGATAAACAATTTAATCATTTGTTCATCAAATATTGTATTGTTTCCATTGAAACCATCTTAACCAAACCTTAAAGGCGCAGCAATACAGTTTTGTCTGTTAATTTTTCATTACTTTTCTCATCGTTTTTTGTTCATTTCAATTTTCAGATGAAAAAGTGAAACAATTTAACAATCTTGAACCACAACCAGATACAAATATATTCATAATTGTTGTCAATTTGTTGAAATAATTGTTGACGGTTAAACCTGGTTAACTTGATTATCGGTTAATCAATAGACATGTTAATTATTCGCTTTACAAGCATCTTCTTTCAATGCTTATTCAAACTATTTACCCAATCAATTATTCAATCGATTAAGGTTAACTTGTAACTCATACAATTGAATTGATGGTCGCAAGATGAAACAAACAAATTTAATCAATTTCGTTAATCGCTCATTTTGCATAATCAATTTGCGAATCCATTTAAAGCGCAACTTAGGTGTGTTTAGCTCGTTTTTAATCAACATTTACCTCAATCTTTCTCATCTTTTTTATCACATAAACTCATCATTTTCATTATTCATTGAAATTTAATCTCTTTACTGTTCATTTTGATTCAATTTTGGTTTTCATGAGAGCACGAGATAATTAAAATCGGAATACAAATGTTGGATCATTTTCTGGTTCAATGTAAATCATTTACTTTAACCTTTGAATCTTTTACTTTACTGATCATAATTTGTCCATCAATTGATTGTTGGACTTTGATATTTGATTTGAAGACTTTAAATTGAGATGTTGATTCAGCTCTAAATAATGAAATCAATGTTAAGTTAACAGTCAAATGATGCTTCGAGTTTACTTTAAAAATGAAGATTTTTGTTTACAAGAAAAGGTTGATTCCAATAATTGATCATTTCCATGACAATCAAATCTATTTAAATTGATACAATTTAACGGATAATTAGATAATGAAAGGGATTTGTTGGCCATAAAATGGCAATAAGCATGCAATGATAACATTGAAGGTTGTTCTTGATTAAGATTCAATTAAAATGGTAATGCATAGTTAAGTCATTACGTTTGGAAGCCATGATTTTGTAAACCTTAAATACGATTTAATCATAAATTAACCCAAACTATTAACCACAAAATTTTACTGTGTATTATAAAGTTAAATATAAACACTTCAATCTTTACCTTTACAATTTACCTTTCAACCTTTTTCCAAGTGTAGGCTGTCTATTAATTCACGTCAATTTATTATTATGATCAAATTAGTATTCATTAGCTATTAACAAATAAACAGGTTAAACTGATTTGTCTAAATTAAACCAGAGATTGGTTTAGGTTAGAGCCTGGAAAGTGTAAAAATGGGTAAAATTGAAAGTTACATTGAAAAATGGTGTTAACCAGAAATGCTTTTTCCAATATTTGCTTCAACATTTTACTGACAATTTGTTATTTAACAATTAATTGTTGGTAATCGACTTAATGGGATAAACGTAAGGTATGATTTGATTTAGGCTTAATGATATTTAAAAGGTGAGAGATTGAATTAAATTGTTATTGATGATTCTTTTGGATTGTTTTATGCTTAAGGGTAAATCTATTAACGGTTTTTCAAGTGAAATGTATGGACAGAATGGCGATGAAGATGATTATGAGGAAGATGTTTATGAAAAGGACTGATGATGATAAATGAGTAAAGATGAGATGATAGATGATGATTAGAGAGGAGGGAAAGTGTATTAAAGTTTTGGATGAAAGTGATCAAAGCTTGTGGGTGGTTAAAGGATGAAAGGGATGATTATGATGCAGATGACGATAAAAGATGACTTTAAGTTTACATTAATATAAGTAAATCTCAATCCGGAATAAAAATAAAGAAACTGTTTCGGGTTTTGAATGTTTTTTTTTAATATTACCTAAAAGTAACATTCATTTTGACTTTTTTCATTTACTTTCAACCTTTTCTCAGCATCTTTAACTCTTGCTTTTCGCGTAGTTACCCCTTAAAGGGATGAGGAGGAGTGGAAGGAGGCGATTCCAATTGTTGATTCTTTGTTGTTTACTCAATTCCAAAGCTTGTAGATTAGTTGAATTGGATGAAACACTCGTTAACCATCAACAAGCGCAACCATGAAAATTAGGGATAAACAACGATGGTTATCCAACCAAATGTCTTGGTTAACCAGAAACATTAACCTAATTTTTACCTTTGTTTTATTGTTTTCAATTTTACCCAATTGTTCCCATGGATTTAAATACATTGCTTTAGCTTCGACAACATCAAAAGTTAATGGTATGTTGATATTGTAATTTAATTTCATTTTAAACCGTTTACCAGTTTTAGGTTTAACATTTGGTTTTCGCGCTCTCACCTTTTCCTTGTTTTCTGTTTACCGCTTTAATCCATGTCTTTTGTTTTTACTGTGACTTGAACCCTTTTCTTGCGGCCAACCTTAGCTACTTCACCAGAGATTCAGTTTCATGTGAATAATGTTACCCTTACGGATAATACAATTTCGGACAATGATTCAGGTAAAACATTTTGATTGTAATAACCCATCCTAACCCTAAGATAACCTTAAATCCTAAACCTCTAATGCTTAAATCGCGTTTTCCTTCAACACTTTGACACAGATAGGGTTAAAAAAAATCAGTTTTGACCATTTTTAGACTTTTGATTGTCACCTTTTCTTATAAATCAAGATTCATGGTATAAGTGTTAGCTTTGTCAATGCTAAATTTAAACTATTTAGGCTTAAGTTGTTGCGTTACCAGGGATTTACATTTCTTAATTTCAATTCAGACGCAATATCGTCTGACTTTTTAGTATGATTTTGCGGTTAATTTATCCAATAATCTATCCAAAAAAGCCAGTTTTGTTGAAAACTTTGTAACAGTTGATAGTATATAATCAATTGGGTGTCTAAAATTTACGGAATGCTTATTGTTTACCAAAATAATTGTGATCCATCAACTCTTGTTTGCTCTTTTCACAACCGCAAACATGTTGAACATGGTTATAATTGATGATCATGGTTCAACTGCTTCTTCCAGTTGATCGAATAGCTTTCTAATTACACTAATTAAACAGTTTCCCTATTATTTACTAATAACACTTTACATATTAACACTCACAAATTAACAATGTTTCAAAACCATCTAATTATCTTGTTTAACTTTACAGAGGAAGGACATGCAAAGGTTGTTAAAACAATCTCATCTTTACTGGCTGAATCGTTGAACAAAAGTATTGGCCACTTTCAATATATCCAAGAAAATCGAGACTCAACATCATCAGAAAGACAATTAAGATTATCATTGACCACAACAACGTCCACATTAACGGGGCCAGATGAAGGAAATGCAAATAACCATAAAGAGCCTTGTACAGAGTCAAGACGTTCCGATGATACCTTGGAGGGTGAGTAAACTACAGGCGATCTAAATTGTTGATTAAACGGCAATTTATTGAATCCAGTTGTGCTTTCTTCTACCTTCTAAATTGGGATTGAAATGAAAAGTAAACCAAATCACTGAAAGTGCAACTCTAACCCCGAACTTGATATTCATTGCTTCTTTTTTACTGGCTTTTCCAATTCATTATACATTCAAATGGTGCTCATAAATATAATTATTATTTATGAGGCTTTCACTAATCTTGAAGTAATCCTGATTAAAAGGTTTTTACAGTTAAAGTAGCACTTTCATTATATTGATAATCATGATGATGATAACCATCCTCATGATTATCAACATGAAAATAGCGTGCTTTATTGGTTTGTCAAATGTTGTCCTTTTAGCAGCAACCATACAATCAACTTCAACAATCATCTTGACGTGATTAGATTTTAATAAATAAATTCTGTGTTGAGAATAGTTCAACTGTTGAAATCACCAAAATCACCAAAAAAAAGTGAGTGTAAAGTTGATTGAAAAGGTTTGTTGAGATGAAAGTTGATCAATGATAAAGATAAATATGATAAAGTTGATGATCTTCATGTGAATAAAATGATTCTGTTCATGTATCCAAGTTTCACTGTGAATTGGATCAACCAAAATAAGGTGACTCTTTTTTATATATATTTTACTCTATTTAATTTCATCTTATAGAAGATTTGATATTATTTTACATTCTTCATGTGATTCTTATCATTATCATCATCCTGACAATTTAGCTAAAGGCTAGTTTCTGAAGTAGCCAGAAAAAGTTACACTTTATTCAAAAATCTTTCCATATTTACATTTAACATTTCAATGTTTCCCATTTTATTTATTTATTTATTTATCAGCTGAAAGCATTCATTTCCTAAATATTATTTACTATTAACTTTATTGGTTATATCATTTTATTGATTAACTTGTTAGTTGATTTGTTATCACGATTTATGAATAAATAGATTACTGAATAAATGAATTTATTCCCTATTCTGTAAGATGAAAACAAAATAAAAACAAAAACACTATTATTATTTTAATTTACTTTAATCATTATCATGCTAATTTTGACTGGTTATAATGATGATTAAAATGATACATTTATTAGACTACAGTTGAACCATTTATTAATATACAAATACTGATATCAATTCATATTTATATGCATATTTTTTGATTGCTATTATTATATTTTAATCATTTGCTGTTCACTTTATTGTTTACCTACCAATTTCAGCTTGTTAACTTGCATTATTGTTTCTCTTTGTTTTTAATCAACCACTTAAATCTTAATTGTTGCTCCTTTTTTTATTTTAATCAATTTATATTTATGTTTTACCATTTATTTTTACATTCATTATTTTCTTGGTAAAAAAAAGGTAAACAAAAAGAGCCTCGATTGTTTAATTACTTAGATGATAATTACAAAAATTAGATGATCACAATCAAATTACTGTGAAGCCATCAATTGTTTGCATTATGATTGTAATCACTGGTTAATCCATGCACAATTATGAGTCAAATTGAATAAGCTGAGCTTAAATTGCATCTTGTTGACAAAATGAAATGTTGTTGGTTAAACAACTGTGATTTGTGACTCGGTAGTTACAATCAACTTGTTAGGAATGGATAATTAACAGTTTTAATCAATTTTGTCACCTTCATTTGAATGCTAAAAATATCAAATTAACCTTTTTCGTTGATCCATGTACAAACCTTAAACAGTTTTTGGTTAATTTTGTCTTAAATTGTTACAATTGAATGTTACTTGATTGTTTCCTCAACATAAAGATGCTGAATATACAAACATATTTAATAAATGACACTTTATTAACAAATGATTATTGAACAAATGAAAGTGTGACAATTGAAGTGTATTTTCAAAGAGTTGATTAAAAGATTGTAATTTCTCACAAACGCAAGATCAATTAAAGTCACAATTAAATTGATTATTAACCTGATTTTCATTGATTCTCATATATTCATTATGAGTGAAAATTAATTAGTGAATTTGGACAATTGGAAAATTAAATGATAATGAATAGAATTGGTCTTTTTTCATTTCAACCCGTTTTGATGTTTAATGTTAAATTTTCTTGCTTTTTTTGTCAATTTTTGCCTGTTTTTATAATATTTTTTTCATCTAATTTTGATCTTCAACTCATCTTGACATTCAATTTTATCTTTATAGATGATGGCAACTCGGATGAATCAAAATCAGTTATTTTGGGTAATTCAGCTAACGGTTTAAATGACTCAATTATATCAGGTAATATTATTAGCTTGTGTTTATTGGTCAAGATTAACGTTTAAAATTTACTATTCATTTTTGTTTTGATTGGTTATATTAATTTAATTACTCTTAAATTTGTTTCAGTTACATTGACCAGTAAAACGGTTTCAGATGGATTACAAGATGATAAAACCGGACCGACTACCATTAATCCATCTAATCTGGTTACTCGGGTCACTGGCTCTTCAATATTAACTGATAAACTTGCAACAGTTTATTATGGTGATCAAGATGAAGATGATACTTCAAATGATTCAGGGGATATTCAGAAGATGAATAATGGTGATGGAATGAATTTGAGAAAGTATTTTAAACCAATAACTACAACATTACCACCAGAACCATCACCAGTTTATCAACCCGAAGAAGCTGTTAAAGTTGTCCCAATAGGACAAAATAATGCAAATCAAAATGTTAATGAAAGAAAGGATAAAAACAATGGAACCCAATTTATCTGCATCAAAGTAATCAATGGAAAGCTAACTTATCCATCAATGGCCAAATTGGTTTATCCCCAATTGAAGGAAACATCTCTGGTTATGCCCACTGTACCCAAAATCCCGTTGTCATATTTGTCTTTTAAAAAATATCTCACCAATGACAGTTACAATGATTCCAGTACTGAATCAATATTTAATGGAACAAATGATTCTGTAATTGAGTTGAATGAGGAAACCAAATCAACTAAACAACCCAATTCATTTGGTATATCTGGAAGGCAACCTAAACATTATGTCCAACGTTACTATCCTGTTAATTTATACTCTCTTGATTCAATTCAAAAGAAAAATGTTTCTTATACTTTGAAATCAAGTCTTTCATTTGATCCTGGGGATAATGAAACACATTATTTAAATAATCGACGGCGATCAAGTGTAACAGCAAACAATGATGCTACAACCGAGACAACAGCAAATATTACCACAACTACACCAACAATTGATCCACTGGTCAGTGAAAAATCAACTGATTTAAACACATTCAGCCGTGTTGATAGTGATAAAATCAAATATAAACCAATTACCTATAAAACAACTGTTATTATACCTAAGATAACGACAACAACAGTATCTTTATCCACAAATTATCCTAAATCATCATCGGCTGAGCCTATGACTTTAACGACTACAACTCCGTTGCCTTCAAGTACTGAGATGTCAAGTATTCATTCATCTAACAAGATTATACACGAATTTAAGGATAAAAAAGATTCAAAGTATGAAACTAACAAGAAGAAACATGATAAAGAATCTGTCAAATCCAATAAGAAGAGTGATAAATCTACCAAGAAAGAAATTCAAATGATGAATTCAGGAAGTTCAATATCATCTCAAAGATTGGTTTCAAGTAGATTACGTTTTCCTGACTCTAATAGTGCCAACATTCAACCAAAACCAACACCAATAGATACATCGTTTGATTCATTTGAGATACCATCAGAGGAACCAATCATAATTCCTAATTCAATGATAAGACCACCGTTTGGGTTGACAACAATTGTACCAAATGGTTTACAGCATCAGGTCTCAGCATCTAATCCAAATCCATTTCAGTCTCATCACCATTATAATAATGTTAATCTTCATCAGAAAAAATACCAACAATTATCCACTCCTATCACAGTAAATCAACATTCCTTGGTCCCAGAAGTTTATCAAAGCAGTACTATAATGCCAAATGAGTTGACTGATAATCCATTGATTAGTCTAATGAATCCATCAATTGGTTCATCATATCGAGGTTTAGCATCCAAACTTAAATCAGCCATTAATTTTTCACCAAAACAACAGCAAATGTATCCTAATCAACAGAGTCATTACCAAAATTCATACTCTTTTGTACCTTCGTCTAATCAGATGAATTTTGGTTACAATGGATACGATCAATCTGGCCTGGAATCAGTTTATAAATTGAATCCTCATTCAACCACGAATGATATGGTTTATTACGATCCACGATTAAATTATAAACCAGAAGTCAGTTTAATGACACCTTATTTACCCAACCTTCAAGGATCATATGTCAGACAACCAGCTTCCAAGTTTCTGCGACAATACCAGGCTTTAGTCACTAGTGCTTCATCGATGGTCCAACGTAATCCATCCCAATCAATTCAATTTAATCACAATCCTTCCCAACTGGCGCGTCAACCAACACAATTACAACACAATCGTCAACAATTAATACCTCCAACAAACTTTTATCCAGTTTTCCAACCAATTCAGAGTCTTTCTCTGAATCCACAGACATTTCAAGATCCTCATGAAATTCATCAACACTCCAATTATTATCACCAACAACAAGATTTAAGACCAAAAGTTTCTACCTCCATTCATCATAAATTAAAACCAGAACATATTAATCTTCTTGAACAAGGAGACTCTTCATCTATAACTTCTGTAAGCAGAGCTTCCGTTGCAAGTGGAAGTAAATTATCTTCATCGTTACCGTCATCTCAAGGATCAACGACTGATGATAAACAGTTGAGTAAATCTTCTCGTAAAAATCGATCTAAAACTGGATCAACATTTCGAAGCCGTAATTCCAGAACAAAAAGCAAACGAAAAAGTAAACAAAATAACCTTTCAGGAAATTCATCATTACCTTCAAAATCACCAAAATCATTATCAACATCAACATCTTTATCAATTGAAACATTCCAAAAAAGTTCACCAAAGACTCTATCTAATCCTTGTTCATCATCCGATTCAACAAATTGTCAATCCTTGGGAGGTTTACTGTTTAGTCCAAGTCGATCTGTTAAATTTGAATTGCGAGATGCTTTGTCCTAAAACGATTAAATAAGGATAATTAAATGAATGGTGACCAAAGAGAATAAATGTTACAAAAGAACAGAAATTAATTAAATTAAAAACATTAAGGAAACAAAGATGTTATTTATTTATCAAGCAAAACATTAATCGAAAGATTTTCAATGTTTTATAATCTAAAGGAGTGAACATTCTATGTCAATTTCATGACCATGAATGCGATACGAAAAAAATCTTGTTACTATTTTAAGTTGTTTTGTTTTGCTTAAAAAAAACGGTAATTTCATGTCCTAATCCAAAATTGCTAATGTCTGGTAAAATTTGTTCACATCTTGTTGAACCAGAAGACATCTGACCAGCTCCAGAAACTGGAGGAGGAGGTTGAGGGGGTACCTGGGTTAACATGTGGGGTTGAATAGGTACTGGCGTCACTGAAATAAAACAAGTTCAAATTAGTTGGTTGTTAAATTGTGAATCATTTGATTTCTATTTATTCTGAAAGTACAATATAAAACTTACTGTAAATTGGTTGTAGATTATGATCGTAGTGTGATACATGGGGCATTACAACGCCTGATTGAGGGGATATTATATTCATCCTAGGGTGAGACATATATACTGACTGATACATTTGTTGAGGAGTACCAGCTGAAGCAACAGCTCCAGGTTGCTGTTGAGCACCTGGATAAGGACCTTGCATTGGTGAAGCGGCAAGTACAGGATGACCAGTCGCAGCAGCAACTGTAGCAGAAGTCTGTGAATAATCAGGCCGATTATTTGGATTTTGATATTGTTGTGGATTAGATTTCCTATAATTCCTAGAACTAGGGGAATTGCTTGGAACGGCTTGTTGGAAAGGAGGACCACCCGTCATATTTGGAGCAGACATAATAAATTGATTGGGGAGAACTGGAAGGGTTGAAATAAAGTGGGTATTGGGTGGGAAAGCTACCATCGGGCTCTGCATTCTAGCTTGATGCGGGTTTGACTGGTGATGAGCAGGCTGACTATGATTATGTGGGTGGCTAAGGGTATGGACAATAGCATTATTGGGATAGTTCGCCATTGGTCCCATAGCCCCAGAAGGTGTAGTATTTGGTGTTGACTGACCACTACTGTATGCAGATCGTGGTGTAAATGACTTCATTCCTGGATTGAATTCTTTAGCATTAGGATTAAGCGTAGATTTTTTAACAAGTTTTTCAGCCTCATTTTCCACTTCTGGGGTGGCAGACTCAGTTACGGGCTGAGTGGGTGTTGCTGCCGGTGTAGAAGCCGAAGCAGCGGGTTTATTTGTTGGAGTAGATGTATTTTCTCTACTTTCTTTTGCGTCTTGTGTATTCTCACTCTTTGAACTTTGAACAGGCTCCTTATTCTCACGAGGAGATTGTTTTTTATTTTCATAAATTCTAAATTCGTTACCAAATCGTTTAAGCTCTTGGATATCTTCTTTTTTGCGCAAAAGATTAGTTCTTTGCCCTATTTGAGTCCGTTGAGGTAAACCTTGGTGAGGAGTGTTATACTCCTGTCCTGATTGCATTTGCCCGTGGGTAGCTTGATTAGTTTGTTGTTGATTTTGCGGAAGTTGCGGTTGTCCTTTTTCGTGCGGCTGCGACTTTTCTTGCGGTTGCTGGGGTTGCTGTGGTTGCTGTGGTTGATGTGGCGGTTGCTGTGGTTTTTCTTGCGGTTGCGGCTGTTGCTGCGACTTTTCTTGTTGTTGCGCCTGTTGCTGTTGTTGTTGTTGCTGTTGTTGCTGCTGCTGTTGCTGCTGCTGCTGTTGTTGCTGCTGTTGCTGTTTTTGTTGTTGTTGTTGTTGCTGCTGAAGCTGTTGCTGATGCTGATGCTGCTGCTGTTGCTGTTGGTGACGGCGAGAAGATTCATGCAGATTACGAGACTCGTTTTTGTCAGAATAAGAATGGGGCTGGTATTTTGAATGCACAGCAATAGGAGCTGTGGATGGGCTGGTGGTTTGCATGTTTTTGCTCCGTGTACCAATATTTTGACCAGTCATTGATCCAGAGGGTTTACGACGCGCAGGCTGTCTTGAATTATGAGACATTGCAGGTGGTTCAGGGATATTCCTGATAACTGCACTGTATTTTTCTTCCTCATCATCATTTACTTCTTTGGAAACACGATCTCGAGAGGCTCCATCGGCCTCAACCTCTTGTGCTATTCTTTCAGCTTCGGCAACGAGCTGTCGATACTCTTCAGTATCTTGTGGATTTAAAGGCACACTATAGGAAAAAATTGAAATAGTCAAAACCAATGAATAACATGTATGACCATTATAAGCAAAACAATGTGCAATACTGAAAACAAAACTTACGTGTATTGTGAAAGGTTACTATCATAGGTTGATTTAACATTATATTTATCTTTATTAAGTTTGAACATATCATCGGCATCCCAACCATTTTGATTCGCTTTTTCAGAACCGACTTGTTCATCTAGAGAGAGACCTCCAATCTCTTGCAAATTTTCGTCCTGAGGACATTCCCAAGGAACCAGATCCTTGTTTTTATTTAACGAAGAGGAGTCAAAACGACTTATCTCTGTGTCAGTAAAGTGACCTGAGAAGAAAGAAAATGCAAATGGATTAGTAAAGAAGCATTAAAATGCTATAAAATGCTTACCTTTAGAAGCATATTCCAAATCCACATTTAATATGCTCAAAGTAACTATGTCAGAAAATTTAAATATCATAGTATTATGGACTTGATTGCGGGCTTTTAGACTAGCTAAGAGGCCGTTGAGATTTTGGCCTCCAACGACCTTTTCTGGGTCAATGATAGTGACCATATCGACGACCAGCTCGAACTAATAAAGAAAAACATTAATAATGAGTTAAGAATGTTTACTAAATTGAAAACAAAATAAATGAAAAATACTCACATCAGGAGAAAAACAGGTCAATACACCCTCATAAACGTTGCCATCTTTAGTGGCTAGCCTTACACAGGTCCCCATGAGGGATGTTGTGGCATGCATGAGTCGAGCATTCGAATAGACACCCTCGGCATTGGTAACACTTTTATCAGTCGAACCATTTTTAGTTCGATAATTTCTGAATTAAAAATTAAATAAAATATGCAAAAAATGAAAAATAGGAAGAATGATAAAAGAGGAAAGATAAAAGAAAGGCAAATAGGGAGAGACAAAAGGCTTACCTTGAATTTATATTTGAAACTGAGTGGTTTGAGCTGTTGATAGTAACGGGGTTGCTCATATTCGGACGATTTCCCCTTTTGTTTACAGAGGAATTCATCATAAGAACTCAAATAAATAAATTAATTTAATACAATTTAATTATTTTAAATTAGCTTTTAAGAATTAAGATTTTTAGCTTGTGAGATTTGACTTCAACTTACAAACCAAACCAAAGTAGGTTTTCAATGGTGGTGACATCCACCGAGTTAATTTACAAACAAGTCATTAAAGTCAAGATGTTTGCTAGCGAAATACTAGATCGCAGCACAATATACCGCTTATCAAGCAGCGCAAAAATTCAAAAAGATTGTTTACTATTACAAATGTATACAAATGTTGATAAAAGTATCAAAAGTATTGTCAAAAATAATATTGACATAGTCTTTTTAATTACCGTAATTTCGAATCGTTTGCAGGTAAAATAACATTCAATTGGTGGTTCAAGGATCCACTTTTTACTTCCCTTGATCTGTGCTTGCCATGAAGGATAACCAACATTGTCAATCTTGATTAACCAGACAAAGATTTACCTTTAAATTGAACAATTTATAACTCATTTGACTCACATGCATAGGAGCTCCATAACCAGGAGTACCCATGAATATCCAATCAAGCCTTGAATCTTCCGAATCACTTGGTAAAAAGCTTGGCCTTTTATAATATTGACGCAGCTTTTGAGTTATTGAAGGATCACAATTGGACCTAAAAACACCGATCATATATGGGTTTAAAAAGGCAAGAATCAGCCATCCTTTGATATAAAAATAATACTAAATCAACAACTTACCATCCAATGTACCAACTCTTGAAATAGTCAGCATCAACATGACCAGAAATACTATCCAAAGCTTCTCTCAACGATTTAAATGGTGTTTTGTTTGGGAAAAATTGGCATCGATAAAATGGATTTGAAGATGAATACAGTTGGGTGAAAAAATCAAACGAAAAATCTTGTAAACTTTTCCAATCGTTTATTATTCCTCTAACCACTAACGGTTCCATTGAATAAGCAAATTTGGTTGAAATGAGACACAAATAGGAACATGAAAACATAGTCTTATTTAGCTTGTTAAATGAAGTAGACTATAAATGTTAATTGATAAAACAATAATTTCTTTAATTTCTAATATAATATATCATACAGGCGTTTTGAGTGGATAATTTTTACTGTCCACTGTTGTAATAACTTCTATTATTATCATTTTGAGTGGAAGTTCCAGATTGATGTTGTTGAGGCTGATATTGTTGGTTTTGTGATTGGTTTGTGTTGACATACCAATGGGATGGTAAAGGATTTGAAAAGGGGCCCACTGATCCCGAGCCTTGTGGTGGACCATAATTCTGATAATGACGAGAATTGTTTGCTGAAGAATGGGATAAAGCACTTCGTTCACTTCGCTGATCATGGGAGTGATGAGATGTTGGTGAATAAGTATCTCGGGCCATGTAAGCTGGACCTGGATAATAATTTGCTGATGGCATGGGTGGCAATGATCCATACCCAGAAACTGAAAGGTCACTTGAATTCATCCAACTGCCCATTGGAAGTGGCGGTGGAGGTGGTAAAGGTGGTGGAGGCGGAGGGGAATCACGAGATAATGACCAATCTGTTGAATTTAAAGATCCATCCAAATATCCAGGTGGTGGTGGTGGTGCTGAATCTAAGCTGAGTGGTCCTGAAGACTGTTGATTTAAGCTGGCATCACTTTTTCCTTGTGATTTGAGGGTTAATCTTTGTCGTAATAAATCATTCTCTTTTTTAATTGCTTCAAATTTGTTTGTTATATCAACTTTATCCATATAAAGCATGTGAAATTTAGTTTCTAAAGAATGATATTCTTGTGAGCGTTTGTGTTTATCTTGCTCGTTTTGATGTTTTAAATCGTCAATCTGAGATTTATAATTCTTGTTTGCACTCTCCAGGCTAGCAATATAATCAGCGACTGATTCATTTTTCTTGAAAATTTCATCGTGTTTCAATTTTAATGCACCCAGTTCCATTTGCAAATCAGTTTGCGTTTTCCTTGTGTATGTTTCCAAAACTTGGTAATTTTGTACAGCTTCATCTCTAGCCTTATTAGCTGCCAACAAGTCACTACATGCTTTTTCAAAGTTGGTTTTGAGCTCACTTTTTTCAGCTATTAGTTTATCTCTTTCGGCATAAATATCATTCAGTTGGTTACGAGTAACATCCAACTCAGCTTTAAGTTCAACAGATTTCAAAAGTTCATCCAATGATTCATGCCATCCATCGGATCCTGTATTCAAATGATCGGCCACAAGCTTCTTCAGTGATTCAATTTCTTGATCTTTTTTAGTCAAATCAGTCTTCATTTTTTGCATTTGTTCCAAGGATTTCTCCAAATTTGTCTTTTCGGACAATAAAATTGTGTTTGATGACTTGGTGGTTTCCAGTTCGTTCATTATTTCAGAGTTCTTTAATTTTAAGGATTCAATTTCAGCATTTTTGTCTGACAATGTTGACACTAATTCATCAATACGTTCTTTTGAAGCTTGCAATTGATTAACCAAATCTTCAATTTTGTTTAGTAGATCACTTTTTTCATTAAATATGCTTGTAGATTCATTTTTAAATTCAGTATTTCTCTCTTCAAGCTCTTCAATCAGTTGTTTTTGTTTGTAGTTTTCATTTTTCAAGAGCTCTCCTTTCTTGACCAAGTCGACATTTTCTCGTTTGATGTGTTCCATAGTGACACTCATATTGTGAAATTTATCCTTGATATCTTCATATTCCCTGTGGATTCGCTTGTATTTATCTTTCTCTGTGACTAAATCTGCAAGCAGATTATCCCTCTCAGCAACCACTTTGAACAATTTGGATTCTTTATCAAGAAGTCTCACCGTAAGTGAACGCTCCTTAGAAGTAAATAATTGCGACGTGTAATACATAATAATCCAAACAAGAGAAACGAGCACTAAAATGTTGCCTTTGGATAAATCAAATGATGGTCGGTTCGGTAGGATTCCAAAAAGTAAATCTAAATCGGGTTGACTGGTTGCACTTTCTGTCGGACTTTCCATATTTTTAGGTTCATTCAATTGTTGACTCTGGAAAACAGAATTAGATTTGATTTTTTCGTAATCAGTATTTAAATTGAAAGAATTCTGCTGATCACCTACATATGAAGAATCAGCTGACTCTTTTGGAGGCGCTACAAACGAAGTAGGCTCTTCAATACCATCAGAAGTTTTGTTTTTTTCGACATTCAATGGTTGGATTGTTGTCTCATGCTCTTTATAATGATCTGCACTTGATTTAGATATGCCTTCACTAATAGATGTATCTTCTGGAGTTAATGTTGTTGTAATAATTTCAACATGTCCATCATTTGAAACACTATGATGAGTTTGCTCGGGGATAGAGTTGTCGGTATGTGTGGCAACCTTTACTTCAGATTGACTTTCTTTATCGGGATAAACTGTTATTGGTGTTGGTGTTTCATCAACGGCGTCATCCAATTTTGTTTTAAACAATGTTTCAGATTGAAGTACAGAAGGTTCACCGTGCTGGATAGGTTTAACTGATTCAACTGAAGGTACACTTTCTTGTTTTTGAAGAGTTGGGATAGGTGTTGAAACTTTATCAGCGGCGTTGTTAGATTCCGAGGAAAATAATGTTTCAGATTCAACTGATCCAAATTTAATATGATTGTCCTGAAGTGTAGATGGTTCACTGTCCGGGAAAGTTTTTACTGATTCAACTGAAGGTACACTTTCTTGTTTTTGAAGAACTGAGATTGGCGTCGGGATTCCATCAGCGACTTTGTTAGATTCTGATGAAAAGAATGTTTCAGATTCCACTGATCCAGATTTAATATGATTGTCTTGAAGTACAGAGGGTTCACTGTCCGGGAAAGGTTTTACTGATTCAACTGAAGGTACACTTTCTTGTTTGGAGATTGATGCCGGGATTTCATCAGCAAAGTCGTTAAATTTTGATAAGAACAATGTTTCAGATTCAACTGATTCAACTTTGTTATGATCAGCTTGGAGTACAGTTTCTCTATCTGGACTAATTTTTTCTGATTCTACTGCGGATTCAACTTTACTTGTCTGTTCATATTGAGGTTCTAACTTGAGCTCAGAACTTTCGATAATGTTGTCAAACTTGAAGGAAGTTTCTAAATTGCCAACATGTTCATTATCTTGAGATGCACTTGGAAAAGATCCCTGTGCAGTGTAACCAAGATTAGATTCAGGCGATGGTTTGTCTGAAGCGGCTGGCAAATATTCATTTTTTGTTGACGGCTCAAGTTTACTATCATGTATTATATCTTTATCTGTATTATTAGAATCCTGAAATGGTGTATTTGCTGAATCATCAAATGAGTTATTGGAAAATATATGAGAAAATTGATGTTGTTCAGACTGACTAATGGACTCTTCAGATAAAATTGGCGTAGTTGTCACCGGTGTTTTCATTTGATCACTTGAAACTGTCGAGCTTGGTTCATAAATTTCATCATTATCATTGGTATAGAAAGTTGTTCCCAAAATTTCAACCCGCGTTTTTGTCGATTGCTCTTCTACTAAGATTGTTTCCGAAGCAATAGGATCGGGTTCAACTACCGAGGACACTTCTTGAGTATTATTGTCACTTAATGAGCTGTCGAAATTGTGATCTACAGCTGTAGAATCTTGAATTGATGGTTGAATTGATCTCCATGAATCATCAAGTGTTGTCAATATTAAACCATCTTTATAAAATATTCTAGTTTCTCTAACGAACTTAGTTTTGACCAGGCCTTTGGTATCACCAATCTGAAAGAGAGAAATGCAAACAGTTAGCTTAAAAATGATGATCAAAGAATCAAATTTCAATTTACCCTGGCTATATAATATTCTTTATTTTCAGTTAAACCATAGATGTCAAGTTTATCTCCAATGTTGAACCTTAATTTGTATTCTGCATCAGGAACATAATTTTGAGTTGCTTCAACAACACCAATGGGTTCACTACACTCAATATTTTTGCAAAGCAGTTGATGACTGGAAGGTTGATCACAATTATTTTTAATACAATAAACTGAAAGAAAAACAATAAGTTGGTAATATCTACTCATGGTTAGGTTAAGTCAAGTCATTAAATTAATTATTAGAATAACAAAAATTACATAAATATTATAAGAGTTACAGTAAATACAGCTAGGCTTTATTGACAAGTGGCAACAACAAAATTAACACATCAACAACATGACAACAGCTTAGGCGCAATATATGAACAGAGCATTTCAACATTTAACAGTTTTTTTATTTCTGATCATCGAGTTTTCATTGAATTTTCTTTATGATTTAAATTATTTTCAGCCTCGAATATTAGTTTTACCTGATTTTACCTCAAAGATCTGAATGTCGTGATATGATTGACCAAAATACTATGGTATTAGCTGATGATAATAATAAACTCAATTTTACTATATTAGACTTTAAAAAGGTTTGAATTCAAGATGAATCTTTGACTGTTTAAATGAAGAAATTGAGAAAACTATCTATCTGAGAAAGATATCTGCATCCATAATTGTACAAAAGGAGACCGAAGTTTCAACTTTGAACTCGATTTTCTTGTAAACTATCGGTCATAGAAACTTTATAAACGCACCAAGTCTCAACTCTTTACTCAAATATTCGAGCTTTTAGTAGTACTTTTGCATTACATTTAAAAGTTTAACCAGAAAAATGGTTATTTTACCAAGATATTGGTTTATTTGAGTTTGTTTTGTTAAAAACGTTGCTGCTCGTGCATTTACAAGTGCAATTAAATTATCAATTAGTCAAGGATTTAATTGTTCAAAGAATGGTGATTGTAAGTGATGCCATTCTCGAAAAACAGAGGTTAAAAGTTTTGCGAACAATGGCCAAAATCAAGAGAAATGTTGGTTAATTGAAAAAAGTGTTCAACTCATAATACGGAATGACAATTTTTATGGACGACTAATAAGTTTCACATCAATAACTCTTGCGGTCCCATGAAAAAAAACGGTTCAACGGAAAATCGAACTTATCTGTTTTACCAAAACACAAAGTTTTATTTCAGGTAATAAACGGCATTTTCTAGGCGGCCATCAAAAGATACATCAGGAAAATAAGTTCGCTCTAAAAATCTGCTTCCATAATTTGACAAAAAGTGATCGAAGTTTCAACTTCGTATTCGATTTTCTCAAAAACTATCGATCAGATAAACTTTTAAATCACACAAAGGGACTCAGTTTGCATGTCACTACAGACCAAAAGAATCTAAATTCATAAGAAATCCATTTTTATCGGTTTTTAACCATTTGTGTCAATTTGTTGCAATTTGTTTATAAACGTGACGGTTGTGTTAGTTGTGTTTCCTTTAGTAACAACCGTTCGAGACTCAATCATATTCAGAACCGATTGTTATGCTCAGATCATTTCCAATAATTTTCGTCTCATGGAACCATTTGTTTGTGTCTAAAACAACTGTAAAATGAAATAAATAAGTTATCGTATTCAAAACTATAAGCAAATCAAAGAAACTTACTAATATCACCAGAGTTGACCGTAATTTCGAATCGTTTGCAGGTAAAATGACATTCAATTGGTGGTTCAAGGATTCACTTTTCACTTCCCTTGATCTGTGCTTGCCATGAAGGGTAACCAACATTGTCAATCTTGATTAACCAGACAAAGATTTACCTTTAAATTGAACAATTTATAACTCATTTGACTCACATGCATAGGAGCCCCATAACCAGGAGTACCCATGAATATCCAATCAAGCCTTGAATCTTCCGAATCACTTGGTAAAAAGCTTGGCCTTGTATAATATTGACGCAGCTTTTGAGTTATTGAAGGATCACAATTGGACCTAAAAACACCGATAATATATGAGTTTAAAAAGACAAGAACCAACCATCATTTGATATAAAAATAATACTAAATCAACAACTTACCATCCAATGTACCAACTCTTGAAATGGTCAGCATCAACATGACCAGAAATAATATTCAAAGCTTCTCTCAACGATTTAAATTAATTAATTAATAAATAATAAAAAAATTAACCAAACCAAAGTAAGTTTTCATTGATGGTGACATCCACCGAGTTAATTTACAAACAAGTCATTAAAGTCAAGATGTTTGCTAGCGAAATACTAGATAGCAGCACAAAATACCGCTTACCAAGCAGCGCAAAAATTCAAAAAGATTGTTTACTATTACAAATGTTGATAAAAGTATCAAAAATGGTGAATAAGTATCTCGGGCCATGTAAGCTGAACCTGGATAATAATTTGCTGATGGCATGGGTGGCAAAGATCCATACCTAGAAACAGAAAGGTCACTTGAATTCATCCAACTGCCATTGGAAGTGGCGGTGGAGGTGGTAAAGGTGGTGGAGGTGGAGGGGAATCACGAGATAATGACCAATCTGTTGAATTTAAAGATCCATCCAAATATCCAGGTGGTGGTGGTGGTGAATTTAAACTGAGTGGTCCTGAAGACTGTTGATTTAAGCTGGCATTAACAAGGTTTTTGAATATGCTAATAATATCATCTTTGTTTCCTTGTTTAAGTGTCAACTTGAAAACAAAATCAAGAAGCTCCGATTATGATCATCTTTACTAATTACGGAACATACATTTCAACCTTGACCCAATTGAGGTCAATTTAATTTACACGTCATTAACATTAAGATGTGATCATTCAGGTAATAAAGATGATGGTTAAATTTACTATCTTAATTAAAAACATTAAAACAAATTTATTAATATTCCATTCTTTTTTCTTCAGCCTCGGTTTATTTTCAGCAAATTGATGTAATCTTTAATATTTCATGTTGCTGGTTACAGATACATTCATGATTTAACAATTTAATTGTCCACTATTAGCATATTATTTTTCACCTTAACACGCAATTTTTCATCGCCTACTCAATTGCGTTTTTGATGAGCATCAATTGAGTTCGCCCTCTAAAAGTTGATTCACTTGATACATTAGTCTTAAGCTGTCACATCAACTGGCATCAACAATTAGCTCATAAAACAATGATTCAACTCGAAAGCCCATTTCTTTAATTAACACGAAAAGATGTTCAAGTGCAAGTTTAATTTTTAAAGCTTGCGTTCACATGTAATTCAATTTAATGGATCCGTTATTATTAAACCACTTAATGAATCTAACAAGTGAGATCATCGTAATTAAAAGCTTAATATAGTTAAAACAAAAAAGACGACGACGAGTTTCACTGTTGACAGGAGTTTTCATGAGCTTCTTGGGTGTAACATGATTTGTGTGTGTTCATTGTCTTAATTGTATTGAGCAAACATAATCACTAACCAGCATCAGCAGTTACAAAAATGTTAATTAAAAAGGAGTGAGACGACAAGACAACAATATTGTAGATGAAACGATGTAAAGATGTAAAAGTGAAAGTAATCACAAAAACACCAACATTAAGAAATGATCAGAAAAGAAGAGCAAATTGATTTAACAGAATTTTATAATAAAGGCAACAATTAGACGTTAGACTGGGTGTAACATGAGTCAGGTTAAGGATGATGATGAGAAAAAGATTGAAGAAATTGAAAATGAAAGTTAATTGTTTTGTAGGTCGACACATCCATTACGGAAATCCTTTTCAGGAAATTCTGACCCCGAACAAATTAATAAGATACCTTTGGGTAGGTATATCTCATCATTATTGACACAATGAAAAACTTTGAACAATCAAAGTTAACGCTTTAACAAAATTTAGTTCAAAATAAACACTCACACGAATTTTTGATATCTTTATATAAGAATTAAAATGATTCCATTAATTGTCAGACTGTTTCTTTACTCGGTAGTGATTAGACAGTTAAATTAAACTTACAACTTGTTAGTTGAATCTTTTCTTTTCGTGTTAAATCTTTAGTGTAAAACCAATTGTTCACTCTCGTTGAAACCATGGGATTACCTATGTTCACCTGCTTAGCTCTATTTGGCTGTGTTACAGTTATTTCTGGTCGATTCATTTTCCCATTGACTCCAGTGGAAACTTCAACCGGACTTGCAGCTGATTTTTATGTTCGTGCTAAACCATTGGAATCATCTGCATCTAAAGATGATCTTGAATCATCCCATGCTTCACCAGTTGGAACTCGAGTCTCTGGAAAATCTTATGAAAGAATCCAGGAAGCTACTTATCAGGTAAACAATCTTCATCCCTCTTAAAACAAAATCACTCAATACATTTTAACAACCATTAACTTTCATCAGTTAATCCTAATCTCTGATCTCACAATTAATTAGTTAGATAGATAACTCCTTAGTAAGTTAATTTGTTCAGAAAAGGCTGAAACTTAAGCCTTAAATATTCGCAGCCTAAATTTTATCCATTAACTAGTTTGCTTCACTATCTTCATCGTTAACTTAATTATTAACTTACTCTTTTATTTTTTCTTAATTTATTATAATTTAGCCTGCTGAGCCTTACAACTTTGGTTATGATGTACGAGATGATTATGGTAACCGTCAATATCGTAAAGAAGAGTCAAATGCTGCTGGAACCGTTCGAGGTTCATATGGTTACACCGATGCCAATGGACTTTTCCGTATTGTTGAATACATTGCTGACGTAAATGGATTCCGTGCTAATATTAAAACAAATGAACCTGGAACTGGTGCTCAACAAGCTGCTGATATCGTTTTAGCCCATGAAAACCCACCAAGAGGTGTTGTTGAAGCAGCATCAGCTCCAAAGCCTGTAACTGAAGAGCCACCCAAGGAAATAATCAACAAACAAAGTGAATCAACTGTACGAACCTATGAAAGGTTTAACCGACCCTCAGTTGAATCTTCTTACCTATACAGAACAGCCTTACCTTTACCCTCAACTCCATCTTCATCTTCAGTCTCTTCATCAACATCTTCATCATCATCCTCATCATCTTCCGATGAAATTGAAAAGGAACGCCAACAATAATCATTATTACAGCTATCATAATTTACGACTCAATTGTAGCCTGAACATTGATGATTTAATGTTAACTCTGGCAAATGTTAAAATATCATTAGTTTTATCATAATAATTAAATTGATTGTTAGTTGGTTAAGCTAAAGCTAAACTGATTACACTTTACCATTAGAATCCCAACTGTTTTTTGTCTTCTCCCAACCTTTAGGCAAAAAAAGGTAACATTGGATGATGAGATTTGATCAATTAATTGTGTTGACAGGAAAAGAAAAAAAAGGATGACAAATAATATTAATTAGAAGCTATTAACTGACAAAAATAAGCAATTAAATTGTTCATTGAATTACAACCATTAAACAGTATTTACCATGAAAACACATACATAATGAATAAAAGTGAAGTGTGAGATGTAAAAAAACTACAAAACAGTTAAAAATATGTGAAATTATTCATTTGATTAAGAGGCAAATTAATTGAGTGTTTTGCCTAATTTTCATCACTTTTTCACCATGAAATCAGCAAACCACCTTTAACAATGAAAGACAGTTAATTTAATCTGATTGATAAACAGAAAGACAAACAGGTTGACAAAATGAAAAATGTAACCTTTTGAAAAGCATTTTGAATTAATCAGAATCATTGAGTTAACCAGCAAAATAATGCAATTAATCCGCTGATAATAACAGTGGGTAACATCAACAACAATTAGATGGTTAATTGGAAACAAAATTGTGAGAAGAGTTACACTTTTGTGTTCATTCACTTGGGTTATTAATACAATGAACAAAAAAGGAGAAACCAACAGAATTAATCTTTATCTTGTTAACAATTTCAACATTTGTTCAGAGTAAAAATACAATTATTATTATAAATGTCAAGACACTTTATCAGGTTGAAAAAAAAGATGAAAAAAAAACCGATGATCATTATAATCATCATCATGAAAAGATCTCGTTAAATTCAGTCTGACAAAAAAGGTTAAATTTCATGTCCGTAGATTCCCACAGGTTCAATCAGATAATTATGTTCACAATTGAGCTTATTATTAGCCGTATTGGATTCTGCATTATCAACTTAAATACATCTATTTAATTGGAGTTTCCATTTTTCTCCCTGTCATCTTAGTTTCATGGTTTCACAACTTTCAATTGAAAACCCAAAAGATATTCAATTTGATCACTGGGAACGCATTTAATTTAATTGCCAGGTTAGATAATTGGCACTTCCATTCAACCAGAAACAGTTAACAATATAACATCCAAACTCTCACCGAGAAACGATTCCTATTCTTGAGTTCATCTTCAATCCCTTGTTAACTTGTTGTTCCATGTTTTTCATACATCTTTTCCAGTGTAACCTGAAAGATAGAGAGAAAAATTTCAATTACAATTTGATCCGACAATTTAACAAATTATTGATACTGCAATAATCACATAATAACTATAATTGGCAATTATAAGTTGACTTACCTTTAAATACTGATAGGCTGTTAATTTAATGAAATAGTGATGGCACAGTAGAGGAAAAATTGAATTATTAATCATTTACGTGTATTTGTTTAGGCAATAATGGGTCAATTAATTGAGTCAATCTTTCTTCCATTTCATCATTTAATTCATCTTGTTATTCACCTTTAATGCAATCTCACAGTTGGAAGCCTTCATAATCTCATCTTGATTTGGTTAAATAATAAGATGAATAGGTGAATGAATGGAAGCAAGAAAGATGAGCTTGTTTGATGTTGTTCCTACTGATGTTGCCGTTCAAGTTGATTTTGATATTTCCCATCCAACCAATTAGACTTGTGATTTACCATTAAACAAAATGAGGTTAAATTACAGTAAACTGTATCTAACACATGATATTAGATGATATTGAAGCCAATTAAACTGGGAAATCCATGTTTACCCTTGCAATTGGTCCACCAAACAAAAGACAAAACTGAAAACTTATTGTAAAGCTTAAAGGATCACCACAGAGAGATACGACTGAAGCACAGACTTTCCAGTTAATCACAGCTATTGATTGAATCGCCTCTTTTTCAACAGCATCAACCAAACCAGTAAATTGATAGGATCAACATTAACAACATAAATCCAAAATACAATGATTAAATTGTAAAATGAGTCCAGTTAAGTCCAACTAGAGCACTTACAAAAGGTCCTAAACAATAGAAGCAAAACGTGTAAAAGGTTAACAGCTATAACCTCTTCTTAATATTAACTAATAACCTCATCTATGCCTCCATCTATTATTAATATTTGCAGTTCCAAATCCTTAATTCAAAAAACCAATTAACGGTTTTATTTTTGAATGTTTATTCCATCAGTTCATTAATAAAAAATGATAAACAGTAAATTGAGACAACCCAATTACTCCGAAAAGATCAAATTTCAAAGAAATTTTAAATCGTTTTTTATCATTTAGTGTTAGCTTTCAGTGTTACTTTTTGTAAAACAATGGTTTTGGTCCATTTTGAAAGTTACTGTTGCTCTCAACATTTACCTTGTTACTAAATGTTACTTTAGTTAATGTTCAATGATTACCTTCACTCCCACCTGAGCCTCCTCTCATTTGGTTCCAATTAAAGCTTCCTCCCAAGGTATTTATCGTTGCGGTTAAAAGTTAAATGATAAGCAACCTAAAGAGATATAACAATCAGCTGTAAAGGTTTGTCTTTGCTTTTTTTATCCATTTTTTTACCTTCAAGTAACGACTTGTACGGAATGACCATTAACATGACCTTTCTTTATTCCCTTTCTTTTTAGGAATACAAAACCACAAATTAGGTTTTCAATCCAATTGCTAACTGCTTCTGAATGGACACAAATTATGATGATATGAGTATGGACATTACTGGATTTGATTGATGCTTTTACATTTTCCTCTAATTTCAACCGTTTCTCTTTCCTTGGATCTCACTGTCTGGTCATTTGGTAATTTACCAGTAAAGATAACTTACCTTTTCAACAAGTTATCCTAACTGTTTACAGCATTTTCCCCAAACAATTGAATAAACCGATGACAACTTAATTAGTGCTTTGCTTTCCCTTGTCGTTTCACATTAACCAGATCCATGAGTGAGTAAACCAGTTTACTTTTTAACCTTTCTATTAAATCAATCATCGTGATTAACCTTTGTTGATCGATATTATGTTGCAGCTTCTTTTAAAAGCAAACAGAGAGTTGGCCAAGCCGCTATTGCAATGATTGGAGGCCAATTGGACAGACAGACCTGAAGCCAGCCGTGTTAACCGAGAACCGTAATTATTTGTTATAATCTAAATGGAAGATTAAATGGAGGATAATACGCCCAGGAAGAATCCAATTTATCGACATTTTTGGAAAGTTTACATTCCCTCTTATCATTTAAATGGACATTATTGGACATCTTTCAACCTTTCCTGATCATCATAATAATAATGTCCTTCTTAAAATCGAGCAAAAGATTCAAACAAGAGCAATAACAAGAAGAAAATGTCTACAATTTTATAACCAGTAAGGGGTCTTGATCAACAGTTGACCTTTCCTTGGACTCTTATTACCTGTTCATAAGGGATTGATAATCCCTTGAAAGTTGATGGACAAAAAAAAGGAGAAAAGATGAAAATATCTGAATCTTCTTATAATGATCAAGTTATTGAAGTCAACCTCTTTTATAATGTTGCACTGTCAGAGGAGCCAAAATAAAGAGGAAAAATGTTGAATAAATAAATGGCAGGGAATCATTATATTATCATTATAATCAACATTATTTGGTCAACCAAATGGCGTCCATAATAAGACACAAATGTAAAAATTGGTTTGTTAAACAACGTTTCCCTGATTCTTCCAAATAACCTCTAAGCTTCAACTTTATTCCCTGTCAAGTGGCCAAAGTGACTCTCATTTGATAACCAAATTCATTGATTGAATTGTAAAAATTGGACGATTTTTAAAGACAAAATTTCTCTAATCACGTTAAACAATCGAGTGAATCAATAATCAGGAGAAAAAATTGTTGATCCAGAAAGAAAAAGGAGAACCCAAATGAACATTTTATCATTATTATCACCATAATCAACACTGGCAACAAATGACATTCATAACACAAGATCAACAATTGAAATGGTTTGTTAAACTGTGTTTTTGGCCCTTTTTGGCTACTAACAATTCTTAAGCTTTAATTCATTCCCTGTCAATTGAGTTACTTACAAGTCTACTTATCTTATTATTGAGTCCTTATCTTCACCAGCTTAAAGGTGAAAGGCCTTAAAAGGACAAAGTAAAACCTGAAAACTAAGGATGCTGAAGGAGAGTAAAAAAAGGCTTCAATATTTGATCCGATTTTTTTTCCTTCTAACAGGGAATGTTTTTCCGGTCAAAATTACTTTAATAGCAATCAATAGCTTTGTTAAACTGACGATTGTTACACTTGATATAATAAATAATAACCATTTAATCTTTTACTTTTGAGTGGTTTGTTTATTACTCTCCTCAAGTAGCTGATAACAATCATAGGCAAATTGTAAAGGCCAAAAAGTCCGAAAACTGTTGAAGCCGAAAATGGTAAAGCGAAGGAGAGAAGAAAGTAAAATTTTCAGGAAATGGAAATAAAAGGCAACTGAATCAGAATTGAATGAAATCAACCTTTAATTCCCTTATTCACATTGCATTAAATCACTCAATTACTTGTCCATTTCAATATCAAATGTTGAAGAGTAGAGTTGGTAATCAATTTGAATCTTTACTTTACCTCTTTCAGTATAAGACTTAAGGCTTTTCCCTTCGCTTAAAATCAATTTACTCTGATTTAATGGTTAAATTGTCAATTTTACATTCACTGATCTTTCTGTCAAAATTGTTAATTTAATATATATTAAACAATTTATCTGTAATTTGTTAATCATGTCAATCGTTTTTGGGTTTGTTTTGCTTTTTTTGCCTCCTTCTTTTGAAGGGTTTATAACCATTTATCAATACACAAAAGCCAAATAGATAAACAGTTAATTCCTGAATAAATGAAATTGCCTTTAAGCTATTGACAAAGTCACAACACATTTGGACACCTTTAATAATAAATGAAACATCAATCACAATTTAATTTAATTTTTTGCTTCTCATCCAAACCAGATGAACAAAAATCCAACATCATCAACAGCAACCTTTTCATTAAAACTTTACACCAAACAAAATTTCGTTATGAAACATTTCTCTCAATCTTTTCCTTTTATTTCCAATTAATCTTGATATTTTCAATTAAAGCGTGTTTGATTGTTGTTTTATTGATTTTCATGATGACAATTTTGATTGTTATCCGCTTCAGGGAAAAAGTAACAACTTAATGCCATTCAATGGTTCGCCAAGTAAATACAATTTCAGAGTAATCTAATTTAGTTTCCGATTCTTTCCCTTCCAAAAGTTTATTCAAAAAATTTTTACGCATTTTCAAAATTTTCATTTTTCCATGAAATTCAAGTCGCAGTAAATCACAGAACAAAAGTGTAAATTCATTTTTCTTCATGTGATCATTTCGATAACGAATAACTCTAAAGTCTAGAAAATTGAAAATCACTTTCTTTAGCATTTCGATCTTTGATCTGTTGATGACCTTTTCGATGAAACATAATCTTGAAATCAGTATTCAAAGAACAAAAATTATTCGAAATTCGAGTTTCATGTTTTTTTGTTCGACAGAACTTTTTAGAAAAAAAACCTGGAAAATCTAAAAATTCAGATTTACATTCTTTGAGAATTACAAATTATCTTTTGGAAGTCTTGAAACAGTCGAAACTTTAGTCAGAGAAAAAAAATTCAATCGAAATTCGAGTTTTGAAATTCCATAATTTTTCATCTTAACTTTTCGAAAATATAAAAATCGAAAATCTAGAAACTACGATTTCTGCCTTCGGAACTTTTCGGTGAGATTTAGTCTTGAAATCACAATCAAAATAACATTATTTATGAGGCAAAAGTTCAATCGAAATGCGATTTTTCAGTTAATTTTTTGTGTTCTTTTATTGAAATTTTTCTCGAAAATCGAAGAGATTTTCTTGATGTTTGACCAAATTTGCGGCAATCAGAAAATGCTAAACATTTTGACTTTTGAAACAATTTTGTTTCAAAATTGAAGCAACATTGAAAGGCCATTGAGTCGGTTCAACTGGTTCAGCCAATCACAAAAGTTTATGTTAAACATCTTTCACTCAGCGCTCTCTAGTTTTATCATCTTTAGTTACATTCCTACATCAACATCAGCAACTTAAAGTCATTTCATTTTTTTTGTTGCTGTTCATCACCATCAAAGTGGCACTTGAATAAATTTTTGATTTATCCTGAAAAACGCATCAGACTTTAGTCAACTAGAGACGCCAAATAATGAAATCAATGAAACCAACAGTTGAATAGCAACCATATTCAAATCGAGGAAAACATTTTCTTTACAAATCCAAAGAAAAACAATTTTTACGTTTGTTTTAAACATTCAACATCATTTTTACCGTACAACATTATTAAACATCGTTCAACATCATCCTCATCCTCATCTTTACCATCTTTAATGCAAGCATTTCACTGAAACAATCTTCAGTGTTTACCTTGTGTTTAAGGCAACAAGTTTCGTTTTTGTTGAAAGTGTTGAAAACAAAAGTGTTTATCCTAAAATGACCAGTGCAAAGCACAGTATTGATGCTATTCTTGGACTTCAAGCAATCAAACAAATCAAGGAATCAAAAGATTTGATTAAAAAGCGAAAAGGTAAGAATTTGAATAATCCATTAAACAAGCAAAAGATCAAATCACCATTTTCATCGCCATTAACATACAGTTGAAACAAACCGATATTTATCTCAATCATATATTTTGTGATCCATCCCTGACCAAGCATGTTTGACCATGTAAACATCATTTAATAACATGAACCAAGAACTAAAGCTCAGTGCAAAAGTATTGGAAATTGAACATTTCCAAATTTTAGCTTCGAAATTGAAAGATCACTCAAAGATCACAAATTAGTTTATTTACTGAAGATTAATCAGAACCGATTTCAATGTTGTATCTTGTTTCCACAATAGGATTCCATGAAAACTTCAGCTTCATTTATAACTCTGCTTTTCAATGTCAATGGTCTAAATTATGACAATTAACTGAGCAATAAAGAAATGCCAATTTATAAATTTCTATTCAAAGCGAGTTAACAATTTGTGTACTGAAAACACTGTTAAATCGTCTTGATTCATAATTAAAACCAATTTTGCCAATACTTTTGCACTAAGCTTTACAAGTTGAGTGTTAACTTGAAGACAGATTGAAGTTGGTACAAAATGTTGTCCAGTCAACTGTAACTTTATAACACTTAACTTTAACCATTGATAAACCTTTTACCGCACTGTTTAACCCATTGTGCATTTTAATAGGCCAAAATGTTACCTCTTCAACTCAATGGGTCCACAAGATTCATTTTGCTAACACAAATTGAGGCGAACACTTTACAAGCCAAAAAGTGTAATCAACTGCCAACTAATAAACGATTACACTATCGTTTGACCGTTTGCTTCTTCAAATATATACATTACCATTTCACTTTGCTCACAATACAACGATTGTTGTCGATGTTTATCACTCAACATTTGTAACCTTTTCTTCACTTCTTTTCATTTTATTTTTTTCTTCTTCTCCATTTTTTCATCCTTTTCTTCCTTCTTCGCCTTCTCTACCCACTTCTTGGCTCACTCCTTATCGGCATCAATGGAACCAACAACAACCCCGACGCCAATCCCGAAAACCCGTGGCTTTTTGTGGCTCTTTTATCAGTCCTTTCATCACCTTCTTCTTCATCACCATCTTACTCATCCTCATCGCCGTCTCCTTTATCATCTTCATCTTCACCATCTTCAGCCTTCTGTGGATTCTCGAGTCGAGAAGGCGACAACAAAAATGGACTCATTCTTTTGGTGAACAACAACAATAATAATCATAATAATAACGCTGTTTTACCTGTTGTTTGTAGGAGTCCTTTTCAATTGACCACAAACACTGCCACTACAACAACAGCTACAACGACAATAACAGCAACACTAAACAACGCAATAAGTACAACATTGGCCAGTCTTTCAGCCAACACCAACAATAATAATGGTAATAATAACAATAATAATAATGATCATTATGGTCATCATAGTGGTAACAACAATGGTGACTGTGGTTATTCACCTTGTCCATCACCTTTACCCTATGATATTAAAGATGATGAGGAAACTTGCGGCTCAATGGGAAGCAGTACAAATGGCATTGCTTCATCTACATCATTATCATCCTTTAATCCAACCCATCATTCCGATGATGGACCCAAATCGAAACATCGCCGAACACGAACAACCTTTACAACCTTTCAACTCTACGAGCTTGAACGGGCCTTTGAAAAGTCTCAATATCCCGATGTGTTTACAAGGGAAGAGTTGGCCTGCAAAGTCAATCTGTCCGAAGCAAGAGTCCAGGTAAGCGTCAATCAATTATCAATATTGTCGATAATATCCTTCGATCTCAAGTCGATATCTCTTTTCATATTTTCACTCGATAATGTTTATTCCTTATATCAATAATCAATCCCAGTTTAGTGTTACATTGTTTTTTGTTTTATGAAACATTTTTCACAATTTTGCTCATTGATTTGTCAGATGTTGTTCAATGATTATCATTTTTAAGTTACCATTTGTTTACGTTCACAATCAATTAATGTTGATTACAATTAAATGATTAACCTGACTGTTTCTCTGTGTATTGAGTGTGTCTTTAATGGTCTATTGCATTTTGATTACAATGCTTTAATACTTGCTGTCTTCATCATTACCAAAAGCAAACCTCTTTTGGGAAATAAAATAAACTTTACATTCTGTTTATTATTAACATTATTATTAAGTTTATTGATTAATCCATTGACTGATTGATTAACTGTTAACTCTATTTGGATTTGATATTTTTTGATAATCTAATGGGAAGGAGAAGGCAAATGTCCAACTCTGAATGATCATTAATTGAGTTGCTTTTTGTTTCCATCAAAAGACATTCAATACCAAATTTAATGAACCATTCAATTGAGTGACAACTTGATTAACTCTGACAGTTATACACCAATTATTTATGGACATTAAAGGTAATTCAATAAGATCACAATCAAATTACAACTGTTGAACCTTTGAATGGTGAAAACACAGTTGAAACTGGATTAAGGCCTGAGAATCATTACTCTAATGTCTGTGTATTTGTGTCTGAGTTAACATTGGTTAATTTGGTTTCAATTTAAATTATCATTGGAATGGAAGAAAAGATTTCCAATTGTTTAACAGTGATGCTAATAATAGCAGTTAATTACTTGCAGCAACTACTCATAATCAATTCAATAATTGTATTTACAACCATTTGACATTAATTGTAGGTAAAAATAAAGGTAAAGACTGGAGGAGAAGATGAAAAAACAATTATCTTGTTAACAGTTAATTGTATTAGTTGATAATAGAGTTGAAGTAAATCAATTAAGGTGTGAATTAAGTTGAACATATAAAAAAGTGCTTCAACAAATGTTCATCATTTTGAGCGTTTATATTTTGATAATTGAATTTATGAAAACGAATAAGTGTAAGCAATTTGATTATTTGGTGAACAAAATGAATTTAACTTTCAATTATTTAGCAATTTGTTTTCATCTTTTACCGTTCTCACTTTTAATTGCTATTACCTTTTCAATTCAATAATAATGAAAGGTTTGAGTTTAAAGGATTTGTCATAAATCAAGTGTTAAATTGAATTTACCTCCAAAATTGTCTCCAGCATGGCTTGTCCAATGAGCTTCAAGTGGTAACTAACCGTTTGCGTAACTAACTTTCAGATGTTAACGCTTTTTTTGTCTCAATTGTTATGTTGATTTTATGTTGTGTTAGGTTTAATTGAATTTGTTTTAATTTAAAAATTATAATTCTGTTAGCTAAATTTTTCTAAATTTGTTGTTATTCTTCTATTTTCTTTGTCGTTCCAATTGTACAGGTTTGGTTTCAGAATAGGCGAGCAAAATGGCGACGTCAGGAAAAAGCGGAAACATCTTCTGGTTTTCAAGGTATAAATGATCTAAATTCACCACGATTACCTGGATTAACTGATTCACCAGTTAATAACAATCATTCATCGTCGACAAGTTTAAATCATTCCTCACTCGGGATACCGCATCATTCAGTTAGTCACAATTCACTTTCAAGTCTTCACTCATCCATTCCTCCGGTAAGATGAAATATAATCAGATATCTTTCTTTTCGCTTTGTATCTCGACACTTTTCTGATAAAAATTACTCTTTTTTTACTTTTTTGCAGAGTCTGTTGATGAGTGAACTTTGTGGTCGGTCACAAGGTGCATATTATCCGTTATCATCTGTAGAGTCTTGGATAGCTGCAGCAAGTGTGGCAACATCTTTATCACCTTCTTCTGGTTTACCATCAAATCCATCTGGAGGCATATCTTCATCATCACCAGCAACCACTTTACCCACACAATCAGCTTCATCCATTTCTATTAATGGAAATTCAATTGCTAATCAACAAACTAACGGAGCTCATTCTTTCCCTGTCAATTTCAAAGCTCACCCAGGATCCGTCTATCCAAATTACTTTTTAAACTCTACACAATCGTTGGACCTTTCAACTGGTTCGCTAGACAGTGTTTCCTCTAGCCTTCATTCATCTCATTATATCAATCCCCTCTTTGGATTACTACTTAACTCTCAAACCCAAAAAAGAAACCAAAGTGAGAAGCAAACCCTTTCATCCCTAGTTAACTCGAGTAATGAATCAAAATTGCAGTCTGATCAAAATACAACTGCGAACTCACCCAAAAGCAAAATAAGTTGATGCAAATAGACTTGAACCCTTAAATCACTGTTCCTTTATTGCCATTCATTACCCTGTACGCTTTTGAAGCTGAAAATTTCATTCAGATCAATTTTCTTAACTGATCTAACCGTAAATAAAGATTTTTTTGTTTCATAAATAATCGTTTAATTTATTCTGTCAATTGAACTAGAAAAAAACCTGTGAATGTGAAAGAGAAATTAATGAAAATTGTGAGTTTTATTATTGCTGACTTAGTGATTTAATCTCATCAAATTTTATACCAACAAATTATTATTTGAACATTAAATACAGTAAATGTAAATATATAATACTTGCAATAACCGATTATCTTATTGACAGTCTAAGGCCCCTTTATCAACTCCTAACATGATCTAGATTAGGATGAAGATTTAGGATGATGGTTGACTGGATAATATTGATTGTTATTAGTTGAGAGATTTTAAGGAAAAAAGGAGTTTATGGAGGAAAAACAGGTAAATGGATGAGGCTAAAGGTGTTGAGAGGATGATGAGAAATACAGTCACCCTTCCGAAACTGCACCATTCTGAAACTGCACTTATTTTTTTCAATGGTCCCTATTAAGGAGGAGTTAGATCTACTTTCGCATTTCGTCGATTTTTGATTCAATTTTTTTAATTACCAATTGACTTAATTCAATTTTCTTTCGTGAAATATCAATCCAAAAACTCGCGAAATCAGCTTAAAGCAACATTTTAGGTTAAATTTGGTCTATTAAGGAAGATTGAAAATCGTGAAATATGTTGCCCGACCAATAGTGTAAATAAGCTATTTCCCGAGAAGTGCAGTTTCAGAAGGGTGACTGTATGAATGAGAAGTAATGGTTAAATTTAATTCATTTTTACCTTACTCAAGAAATGCAAAATCATAGAAAAGATCTTTCATTTTGACATGAATTTTCTCATTTCATGGTTACATTACAAATCTGGCCACTTTAAATCTCAATTGATTGTATCTCCGATAATTAGTTAAATTAGCAATTAAAAAATAACCAACTTTAATTAAATAAATGCAAAATGAAAACGATTAAGATGAGAAAAGACAAAAACAAACATTGAAAGGCAACATTGAGTTTGCCCAACACTACCAGCCAATCAAATGTGTATGTTAATGAAAATGTTTGCGCGGCCTCTAGTGTCCATCATCACAAGACAACTGTAATGTTAAACATTGACAAACAATAACAAACTAATAGATGAAACAAAAGCTGTAAGTGATCATCATTATCATCAATATTATAATTGTTCATCATTTGTGAATCTACTGTGCTCAACCCTTTACTGGATTAAAAGGCTAATGTGAAAATATTGTTAGTTAAACATGATAATCGATAAAGTCTGATCAAGAATAAACAAAAGTCTTGAAAACTCAACAAATCAATATCATCCTCTAATCAACTTTATCCACCTTTTTCATCCTCCATCAGTCATTTCATCTTCCCTGCAACTCCCACCCTAACCTTTTGACCATCAACTAACCAATGAACAATCAACTGATGATTGTTTATTAAATTAATGATCATTATTTGCTGCTCCACTAAAAAACCAACAACAACACTGCTTTTTTCACCTTTCATTAAGTTCAACATTGAATCCCTTTTTATACACTCGTTAGCAAAGTTAACCCATCACTTGTTATTAACATTATCTTAACATATTGTGTTTATTAATTTATTGGTAATTCAATCAATTGAGATTGACATTGATTCAATTTAAAGCTGTTAAGTTGTTGCAAAGCTGTTTGACTTTAAAACAAAGCTGTTGAAGAGCGCTTCAAATCCCGTTAATAATCAAATAACATTTGACTTTATATTTTTGACACTTTTCCTTGCAAATTGTTGATTGCAAAGTGTTTTTCAATTAACAATCAACAACATTTAACTTGATCAACATGGATCAAAAAGGTATACAATTGAATGCTGCAAAATTTGGTCACATTGAAAATGGTAAGATTAACATTGACAGTTTTACATTATTTTTGACATTTTATCAACACTTTAAGAAACACTTTTACCAAGTAAAATCAAATCTTTTGATCGGTAAACATTTGCCCATTTTGTTTTCATTTAAATTTGATTCAATGATTCAATTGAAAATGATTGAGATTTAAAAGACAAAACTGGTTAAATGATTGAAAACATGACAATAGATGAGCAAATGAATGCAAAGACAGAAAATTAACTTTTTTTGTTTCATTGTTTACAGATTTACTGACCAGTAAAAGACACAGCATTGATGCCATTCTTGGCCTTCAAACAATCAAGGAAACTGATTACAAAAGGTGCAAAAAGCTGGTCAAAAAGTGTAAAGGTAAGCAGTGAAAGGAGTCAATGTAAACATCAACATCCTTTTCATCAACATTGCATGTTGCCTCTGAACCATTTCAATCTGTTCAACAGTCATTCAGAAATGATGAAAAGTTGAGTCTGCATTCAATTGAATCAAACTGTTTAATGCTTCTAATTGTCCAAAGACAGTTGCAATTTAACATTAAAAACTTTTACAGTTGAAGCATTTTCCTTGAAACTTCCTAAAACTCTTCAAAATCCTCTCACAAACTCTGAGCTTTTATTTTTCTGGATTGTTCATCAACACAATATTTTCATTAACACTAAAAAATGGAAATCATTTTTTGGATTTACTTTGAATCGTTGAGAAAATTATCTGAGTTTTCGATCTTTTCGTTGAATTTATTGAACCAATTTCTCATCTTTATTGAGATAAAGCATGTTATCGATATTAATCTCAGATGAAATTCCCTGTAAAGTTATTCCAAGCTTATTTTATTCGTTGTCCCAACTCAATCCTCTACCAGAACGAAGTTAAGTTGATGTTGAATCCCAATGAATATCTGAACAAATGATCGTTTAAACTCAATATTTACTTTGTCACCTTTATTCAATCAGGACAGATTACATATTAATTGTTATGAGACGACATTTAAATAATTAAAAGAGCAAATCACCATTTTCAGGTTGACAGGGAAAGATAATGATGCTAATAATAATCAAATATACTAAACGAGATTTGAGTTAATTTCATTTTTTACTCTTTTCCCATTCATTTGTTAACCATTTCATCTTCACTCTCCATTTCATTTTGACCCAACACAGGCCAAAGAAGCCCAAAAAGTTTAATCGTTTATTCACCTGAATGCCAAAAGGCTACTTCAAATGAATACTGATTAACCCAACCAACATAAACCCAACACAGCAAGTGAAAGCATCTTGTTAAACGATTGTCAGTTAATATTAATTGTAGTTTATCACTTGCCGATTAAATCACTTTGAACCGCAACAACAGCAAAAAACCAAAAGAAACCAGAAAAAAAGGTAAAATCAAGTTTACCTTTTCAGTTACTTTTAATATCAACTGTCCATAATGAGAATGCCTTTAATCACGTTCAATAATAATGATACTAATGATGATAATTTTCCCATTACGAGTATTATTTTTTAATTTAACTGTCTCATTTGTTTAAACAGTGACAAAGGTAAATGGAAAGAGCAAGTTAAATATGAAAATATATATAAAATGGTTGACTGATTAACGATTAAACGATAATAGCTTGATACACTTTTTCAATATAAGATTAATATTAACTTCTCGATAAATTAACAGTAACTTGCCCGATTGTTAATCATTTAATGTTACCTTGGAGTTGGATAATTAGATGATTGTCAAGCCTGGTTGACTTGATAATGTTAATTGTATATTCAGTTTACACAGAAAACATTTTTCACTGGAAAAAGCCTTTGTTTTTTAATGATCTATGTAAAGGTAACCAAACAAACAAACAAACGGTTTGCTAACAACAAAATGTTTAAACCAGTAAAATAAAGTTATTATCAACTTGTAATTAACTCTTAAAACCATTAACAGTTAATAATGTTACATTGAAAGTACAAAAGGTTAAGGAAAAGGGTTAAGTTGAGCTTTCTTTTTCTAGTTCCTTATGGTTCTAAAAAAAGGAATAGTGTTTAAAATTTGTTTTAAAAATAAGGTTGAAGGTTAATCTTGTAACCATTGACAGATAATCTTAATGATAATGCCAGTTGAATTGTAATGGAATCGTGAAGAAGGAAGAAACTGAAAGAAAGTTTTGGTCAAACTGTTTACCAAATCGCCAAGCTATAACTGGTTGGACCACTGTAGGCCACTCGACGTTTTCACGTTGCTTTTGTCATCAATTGAAATTGAATTTTAAATTTGATTGAAAAGAGGCAAATGGTGAGAAGAAAAGGTTTCTCATCTTTGATACTCTTATCACAACATTTTGGCTACAATTTTACATTCTTTCAGATCATCTCAGATTACACCTTAATAATAATAGGATACATTTCTGTACATTTGACCATTACAAGACAATGAATGTTAAACAAACAGCAAAAGTAGTAAAAAAAAGGTCGAGGTAACAAAAAAACAAGCCTGTCAATCCTCTTTGTTCAACTCCCAGACCTTTTCCAATATTATCATTATTATTATCAGTCTTATTATCAGTCTTATTGTCAACCTTATTACAATCATTATCATCATCAACTAGCTTTTTGCTTACCTTGTCTTCACAAATGGCAGATTATATTACCAGATGATTAGCCAGAGACAAACTGTGATACTTACAATTGAATGTTAATCTACTTTGTTGTAATAACTTTTACCGTATTGAACCCTCTTCTTGTTACCTCTTCTAGTCGGCTTAAGCTCAACCTTCTAGGTTTAACTTAACCTATTCACTTGGGGTCTTATTAAGACTTGTGATTGACTTAACGGTCCAACTTTCATATCAACTCTCATGGTTTATTAAACACACATCAAAATGATATTCAATCAATGAACCTTTTCAACCATTTTCTTCATCATTACATTGATTATTTTTGTGTTCATTGAATTTTTTAATAACATTTCAATTCCCAAGTTCAATTTATGTTTTCAATTGTTCAATAATGGATATAATATCATCATATTGTTACAAATGTTTAGAGACTTTGTCATGCCTTTTACTTTGTTTCACTTGCAATTGAATTAAAACATTTAATACCTTTTACAGTTTCATTATTATTCAATTGATATTATTCAAACCAATAGTCAATCTTTACTCTCTGTTTATCAAGTTCAGTTGTACTTGAGTCAATATAAAAAAAGGATTACATTACAATATCCGTCAACTTATTTCAACCTTTTTTTTCATGAAGAAAAAAGAGTCGCTCTTTTGTCATTATTTACTTTTGTTGAACTTTCCTTGCTCTTCAAAATTGTACATAATATTACAATAATAATATCAATTTAATATCAAAATCAAATAGTGCACAAGATGATCAGATAGCAATTTGATGAAAGTGAATATCTAAATGAGTGTTTAATCGTCTTCCTAATAGGTTCAATTGTAAAGGCAAAAGTGAAACATGAATAGACCATTTAAACTGCTTTATTGTTGCAATGGATTACAATTGATAGGAAAAATGGAGAAAATTGTGTTTTTTTTCATTCGAATTTCAAGTTTTTCAAGTTTACCAAAAGAGCATCGGCTTTACGCTCAACCATTGTAATGTATAGCTATTTAATCACTGTTTGCTCACTGGTTAACCAAGTGTAAACCTTTATCTTGATCATCTTTTACTCGCTCATTTTGATCGCTCTCACAGTTGATTGATGTGGACCAAGGAGATTATAATGATAAATGAAGAGTGAAATGACTCTTGTACATTGAAATTCAATTACAATAAGGAAACTCTCTGAATCACTTCCTTCTGATTTACAAGATGAAACCAAAATAAAAGTTAGGTTAGGAAGGTAACAGTTCAAGTAAACAAAAGTTGCTTTTACCGATCCATCGTTTTGCATGATTGGTAAGATGATATAACTTTCATCAAAATACCGACATCAAAAGTGTCGCCTTTTTGAACGGAAACACTTAACAGATTGAACAGATGGCTTTTCAGTCTTCACTGTCATTCGTGAAAAAAGTCCGAAAAAAGTTTTTTGTGAACGAAACTCCAACGAAACTCCGAGTTTTTCGTCATTTGCTATTTTTCCTTTTCCTTGATATTGCAATCATTCAGAATATTCAGAATCAATATTTTTTTGATGGGAAAATTGAAGATACTTGACCTCTAATCATTCAAAGGTCAATTTTCAGAGTCGCTATCGTTTTGAACTGGTCTGTGAATTTGAACAAAAGGTTGAAACTCATACATATTGAAACTTTTCTAGTGATGAAAATATTCTCGATTTAAAATCTGTACAAAATCGTTTTCTAATTGAAATCTTTCAAGTCTCATAATCTTGATATTAATATTAATACAATTTAATCTCAGCTTTAATCTCAAAATGCAAGGTCTACTTTACATTTATTATTACATTATTTGATTGAACAAAAAAAACGATATCAAACTATTCAATGTTGAGATTATTTCCTGTGAGTCCATGGAGTGATGGAGTGCGATTAAAAACTGTGCAAACCACAACTCAAGTTAACAGTTTGTACTTACTTACAGATACAAAGTGATACAATGGATGTTGTAAAAATAACTATAGAAAGGTAAGGAAGAAGAAGAAGAAGGAAAAGATCTGAAAATAAAGGTAATTTAAGAAATGGATGACAAGAAGATGAGATGAAGATGATGAAGATAAATGTGAAAACAGAGTTAAAATGAAAAGCGTTTACATTCAATTTAACCAAAAGCAATTGGACTCTTTGTAGACCAATGATAATACCCTTTTGTTGGATATGTAAACTGACACACATCCAGTCGATATGTGCAATTACACAGTCGATATAAAGTAACAATTGGACAAAAGTACAAAATATATTCATATGTGAATATAAAGTTGAAGGGAAGAAGAAGAAGATGAAGAAGAAGAAGAAAAGGAAGAAAAGTTATTCAATGTAACAATTTAAAGTAATATAAACACCAATAATTGTAACTGTTTGCAGGCCCAATGTTTCCAATTGTATTATTAAACGATTACTTTTATCAACATTATTAGCATTATTAAGTTTGTGGACAACAATCAAAATATGATAACATTGTTATTGGTTGTAAAATAAACACACGGTGAGTGTTGATCAATGCTAATGGTGATCAATGTGACCACCTAACTAGGCTTTTCATAGGCACAAAAAAATGTATTTAATGATTGAAACCTTGTGATACAACATTTTGTAAAATGTTTAACCATTATTGTCATCTAATAATAGCAACAGTTCAGATGACAAAATGTTGAGTTTGCAGGCTCTTCAAGAGAAGCAGACTTTTGAGCATTTTTTTTCTTGCTTTGCACAGACAAATTGAACGTTGAACGTTCAAGGAAATGATTATCTTGAGCGTTTCTTGTTGCGTCTGGCTTTTGTCTGTGTAATACACACAATAATTAACCTTACTGTCTCCACTGGTTGTCACTGAGCGGGACTCTTGCAAGGAAACCTTTGACTGTTGTTTAAGCTTAAGGGCGACTTGATCCCTTGCTTCAAGCTACGGTTGTTTGAAGGGACAGATAATTAGCTACAAATCTGTAATCATTTAATTCACCCACTGGACTCTCAAATTATCGGATTAAAAGTGCAGTTTTGCGTTACTCGTTACTTGTTGCTGTCGCCCTATTTAACTCAAAGTAAAGTGTCTATTCAATTTGAAAACCACAGGGAATCTTGTAAACTTTTTTTCTCTCTCCTTTCTTTTTTGCTCTTCATTTACTTCTCTCTCTCTCTCTCCTTTTTTCCTCAATGAACTTCATCTTGATGAAAAAATAGAGAGTAGATTATATCACCCTGCGGCCATATATTTCACAGTCGCCATTGGAGTGAGAATGATGAGGAAGATATGGAAGAAGAAGAAGGAGAAAAAAAACTCAAAATCTTGCTACTTTTGTCTACATTTTTTTTCTCGCTACCATTCATAAGCTCTTTCAAACCCTTTTTGCCTTTATCACTTTTCATCATCACCTTTATTAACTCATCTTTTGTTGTTGTCGCCTTCCACCTTCACCTTCATCTTTCACCATGATCGCCATCCTTACCATCTTAATCTTCATCTGTTTATCAATTTTCCTTTCATTTTGCCATCTCTTTCACTACCCATTACCAACTACTTAACTTCAACCTAATGATGTGTTGATTCCGGTCAACCATTAATAAACACTCGGCCTGTCTTTATCAATCCATTAAGCTTACATAGAAGCGTAAATTTTTTACAAAAATTTACAAAAATTTTTACTCTTTACATTGACAATCATCTTTTTACTCTTCATCGTCTTCATCATCTTCATCATCCTCATATTTTTCATCATTTTAACAATTTTCATAATTTTCAATGAATGCAACTGTCAAGGCTGAAGTCCATCCTTCAACCCAGCAAAGTCACTCTTTCCCCATTGATTAAACCTTGAACAAGACCTTTTACTGTAAAACTATTTCACATTCATTTTATAATTTTTCAATTTCCCTCTTCATCTTCATAATTTTAACCTTCATTTGTTTAACCATCTTTTTTCATCTCTCACCCTTAACCAACCTGCTTATAACCTTATGATGGTGTCGATTCCGGTTAACCTTTGATCGATCTTTGGCTTTATTTTTGTCAACGCAAAACCATTTTGCTGACTTACGTGTTGCTTGATTGAACACATGACTATGAATGATCAACCATCAGATGAAATTTCAAAGAAAAACATTTCAATAATTTACAACCCATTGAGCTATCATGATACCTATCCATCGTCACCCTGTTCATCACCAAATTATCCAATGAAACAATGCACCGGTTTCAATGATGACAGAGTTATCAATGAACAAGATGAAACTACTGAACATGATCAGAATGTCAATGATGACTCTGAAGATGATTCAGATGATGTTGGATCAAATAGTGCCGGTGAAGATAATGCATCCCTTCATCATCATCCATCATCTTCTCACCATTTATCATCACCCTTTTCACCATCATCATGTTCACCAGGACCGCACAAGAAGAAACACCGACGCAATCGAACCACTTTCACCACCTATCAACTTCACCAACTTGAACGGGCCTTTGAAAGGTCACATTATCCCGATGTATATGTAAGGGAAGAGTTGGCATCCAAAGTGAATCTACCCGAAGTGAGAGTTCAGGTAAACATGTAACCATTAATCATGGTGATTATCACCTTTCCACTTTAATCTATAATTACACCTTATAGAGGCACAAATACAATAAAGGTTTTAACAAGCATATAATTAACCCTTCAAATTAACATTATTAATTTTCCAGTTTTACAAACAAAATGTTCAAATGTTGAACAATTTTACTTCATTTAACCTTTTCTTCTCAACATGATAATTACAGTTTCAGTTGAATTGTTCAATAACTTGATCATTAAGAGTTTCAATTATTGCTTTAATCCATTAAATAGCTAATCATTAATCATTTGTTCATTTGTTCATGTTCAACATTTCTATTTTTTACCTGAAAGCAAACACAGCTAAAACAATTGTAATTGAATTAATTACCCAAACAAAACTGTTCCAGTTTCTCAACGTTTATCAAGTTAATGAAGTTATTAATGTTTACTATTTAATTGTGTAAAGGTTAATGTTAAATTATTGATTAGTAAATTGTAATAACTTGAAAATTTTCCTTCTATAATGTGATTGAGAATCATTTTAACCAAGCTCAACAAAAGGCTAAATGAACTGAAAATGAATCTTTAATCTGTAGAGTGTGAATCAATTTTGACCATTTCAGTTAATTGTCGCAACAGGGAAAAGTAGCATTTTTTTGTCCATTTAATTACAAAGTATTATTGTGAACAATTGCGTCTTGGGTTGGACATGATGCATGAAATACAGTTTGACAGTCAATTGGCATCAATAGATTAAACATTATCAACTTGATCGACATTGAATATTGAATGTTTGCTAAGCGTGCTTTCCACTTGAATCTTACAGTTAAGTAGGTTTACTTAATTGTCGACTCAGTGTATTACTGATTTACTTGGTTCATTATGATGATTAGGATTATCTTGTTGTTTCTAGGTTTGACACACGGCAGTGTATTACAACAAAAAGACCATTTCAGGGATTAAATGATAATCTGTTGTGAACCTTTATCACTGTTTAAGGTTTAAAAGCTTCAATTTTGCCAACTCTGCTTTTTGTTTGTCAGTGGATCCATTATTTTGACAGTTTTAACCCAATTTTTCAGTAATTCAGTTTTTACTTTGTTTTTGTTCACATTTGTACCGATTGTCAGCTTACAGTAGCAACTTGACTTGGTATAGTCGTCAAGTCTGTAACGGTGATAAGCTTCAAATACTATTAGGCTTTCGTTTGGAGCAATGAAACTGAAAACATTTCAACCAACAGAATCAGTTGCAATGCCATTTTCAAGCAACATTTTGTGGTAGCTTTAAACGCTTTAAGTGGATCAGGATTAGAGTTAAACAAAAGATTTGTATTCTTACTATCAATAAATCACTAATTTGTCTAATTCAATTTGAGTAAGTAAAGGTATAACATCGTTGAAAGGCGTAAGCATAAGTGAAAATTGTACACAATTTGCATTGAATTGTAATGTTCTTGGATTGGATTGACTTTGAATTTTGATTGTCTGTTCATTAAGACATTTCATTTGATCTGATATTTTGATATTTTGGTACAGAATTTTATTTTACGAAAAATTGTCTCAAAATGTTATTATGTTTTTGATCAATGATGTGATTTTGTTAGCTACATTTTATTGGTATAACTTTTTGTTTCATCAATTGTTCAACTTTTGATTTAATAAACTCGCTATTTAACAGGTGATCAAATCAAAATCATCGATAATTATAATAATAATGAGAGTAAAGTGGATAAAGCAATGATAACAATGAGATTGAATAAACTTTGATTGAATTTGATGATAAAGTTGAAAGGATGAAAATGTTGATTGACAAAAAAATATAGTCAAATTGAATAAGGTAAAGTGAAGAGTAAAAAAAAGGAAAACAGTTTATTCAATTTATTAGCTGCAACAATATTAAATTGTTGTTATAGCAATTTATTAATAACTTGAAGGTATAAAGTAATAAATTGGATCACAAATAAAATGATAAGTGACAATTATTATAATGAAAAACAATTAATCAAGTATAAAATTGAATTTACCTCCAAAATTGTCTCCAGCATGGCTTGTCCAATGAGCTTCAAGTGGTAACTAACCGTTTGCGTAACTAACTTTTAGATGTTGACGCTTTTTTGACTCAATTGTTATTTTGATTTTATGTTATGTTACCTTTAATTGAATTTGTTTTAATTTAAAAATTATAATACTGTTAGCTAAATTTTTCTGAATTTGTTGTTATTCTTCTATTTTTTTGTCGTTCCAATTGTGCAGGTTTGGTTTCAGAATAGGCGAGCGAAATGGCGACGTCAGGAAAAATTGGAAATATCTTCTGGTTTTCAAGGCATAAATGATCATCTAAATTCACCACAATTAACTGGATTAACCGATTCACCAGTTAATAACAATCATTCATCGTCGGCAAGTTTAAATCATTCCTCACTCGGGATACCACATCATTCAGTTAGTCACAATTCACTTTCAAATCTTCATTCATCCATTCCTCAGGTAATATAATCAGATATCTTTCTTTTCCCTCAACACTTTTCTAATAAAATTTTCTCTACTCTTTTTACATTTTTTGCAGAATCTGTTGATGAGTGAACTTTGTGGTCGGTCACAAGGTGCACATTACCCGTTAGAGTCTTGGTTAGCCGCAACTGCGGCATCATCTTTACCATCTTCTTCTTCTGGTTTATCATCAAATCCATCTGCAGGCACATCGTCATCACGAGCAACTACTTTACCCTCACCATCAACTTCGTCCATTTCGAATGTGAACTCAATTTCTAATACATTAACGAACGGAACTCATTCTTTCCCTGTCAATTTCAAAGCTCACCCAGGATCCGTCTATCCAAATTACTTTTTAAACTCTTCAACATCGTTGCCTCTTTCAACTGGTTCGATAGCCAGTGTTTCCTCCGGCCTTCATTCATCTCATTATATAAATCCCCTCTTTCCTTTCACAGCTTTACCCCTTTCTGTTCATTCAGGCCAACCTCCGCCTTTTTTGTATTTAAACTCAATTTCTCGACGACCCTCAAATGGATCATCTTTATCTCTCACTGGATCACCATTGAACCTATCAACTTCTACTGAAACTATTTCAAAATTGACACTTTCTTCACCCTCTTCAGCATCATCTTCACCCCGTGCTACAAGCAATGCTCAAACAGCAACAGAAAAATCGACCATAAAAAACAGTTCATCTGGATTACTATTCAACTCTCAAACCCAAAAAAGAAACCAAAGTGAAAAGCAAACCCTCTCATCCCTAGTTAACTCTAGTAATGAATCAAAATTGCAGTCTGATCAAAATTCAGCTGCCAAATAAGTTGATGCAAAACCGTTCCTTTCGAAGTGTTTCGATTACTCTGTACTATTTCAAAGCTGGAAATTTCACTTCTTTAGATCAATTTTCTTAACTGAAGTTTAGAACCATAAATAAAGATTTTTTGTTTCATAAATGACCAATTAATTGATTGAAATAAAATGATAATGAAATAAAACCTAAAAATGCAAAAAAGGCAATAATTACCGTATCGGCGCACATAATGTCACGGTGCTTCAAAATGGGCTCGCTCAAATAACAGCACTTCTGCTGCCCATTTAGACGCTCATGGGCTATTATTAATGATCACTTTGAGCTTTTTCTCGACCGATTAGCAGGGAAAAAATTTGATCTTGTGAATGCATTTCTATTAGTGAATTGAAAAATTTAAAATAATAATCAAAATTTCTCTATTAACCGATCAATTTCGATTTTTTTAGAACCGCAAATAAAGATTTTTTGTTTCATAAATGGCCAATTAATTTATTGAAATAAAATGATAATGAAACAAAAACCTAACATTATGTGCGCCGATACGGTAATTAAAATTGTTCGTTTAGTCTTGCCAACTCAGTGATTTAATGTCATCGCAATTTATACCATGAAAAATAATGACTAAAATGATGAGATAATTGAAGCAAATAATAATAAACATAATAATAAAAGGTTGATTTAATGGAGACTAGTTTTTATTATATACGGTAAAAGGTGGAGTTAACAAGTTAATTTAACCTGATTTCAGGTCACATTAATATTAATAGTAACAATAAATTCAGTTAAATGTAAATATACTTTGTATAATCGATTATCTTGTTGACGGTTCTAAGGCTCCTTTGTCAACTGGTAACATCATCATTGAAGAGAAGAGGATGAAAGATGATGATAATGCTCAAGATGAGGATGAAGATGATTTAGGAGTTGATGGTTGACTGGATAATATTGATTGTTATTAGTTGAGAGATTGCAAGGAAAAAGGAGGAGTTTTTGCTTACTTGGAGGATGAAAAAAACAGGGAAAATGATGAGATGAAAAGGTGTTGAGAGGATGATGAGAAATAGAGGAAGGAGAAGAAGATGGAGCAAAGAGGTAAAAAGAAAGAAGATGAAGGTGAAGATGAAGATAAACATAATATTGTTTGAACCAATGGAAACATTGAGAAGGAGGAGACACACAAAAATCAAATATTAATAGTTACATTATTTTCATTGAAAACCAGCTTATCGATTGTAAACTTGATTCTGCTGCTATTTTACTTTACCTTCATCATTATTATTTGCTCAAGTATTATTGTATTTACTTTAAGCTATTACTTGTATTATGGATAGAACTGATTGTTTATTGTTGTCCTTTCATTCAATCCCTCTCATCCCTTTCCTTCATCATCGTTTACCTTCTTAGCTGCAAGTTTATTACAAAATTGATTATAATAATTGCAATGAAACTATTACATCAACTGAAGGATAAATTAAATCAAATATAATGGCAAATAACAGCAACAAAAAAGCGAGAGACGCAAAGGCTGATTGTCAAGTGTTAACTGACTCAATTTTCATTTACAATTGACTATATTGAACAATTACGCTTTCAATGATTGATGTTTACCATTTAGCTTGCATTTCATCCCAATTTATTCACACTTCATCATCTTTTAATCAATTCAATAAAACAATTGCAAATGTAAACCCAAAGGTTGAGAGGATATTTATATTCAACTGTAAAGTCCCTTCAATGAAACGCTCTTGATTTCATTAAATTTTACCATTTCTCTGTTTACTTTCATTTTAAATCACAATCAACTTTGATTAATTGAGAGTCTAATTCAGACCCTAATTTAAACCCTAATTTAGAGTCTAATTTGAAGTCAATCTGTTTTTTTTGTTTCTGGTTTGAAATGACAAAAGTCCAATGTGAAGCCAAGTATAAAATTACAGTCAAATAAAAAGCAGCAACTGAAAAATCAAATTAACGGTTCAATTAACAAAGCTATAAATATCTATGAATAAATGAAATTATTAACTGGGCGAAACAATTAACATGGCAAGATAATTACAATTCAGTTGAGCGAGCCCGTGAGTTGAACATTTGACAAAATTAATGTTGGAGGATTTAAAACAGATTTGGGTTTCAATGTTAAAAAATCAATGTGGTTTTAGGCTGTAAACAAGTCTTTTAATAAAATTTACCCTTTTGTCATGTCAAGTGGTTCAAGTCAATAAGACTGTTCAAGTTGCCAATATTAATCATGAACGATTGATCATGATGATAATCAGGTGAAGGTGGCAATAATAAAGGCATTAAAATGTTGTACCACTTTGTTGGGTGCACACTGTGTTACCTCATTGATAATGGATGATGATTTTACTGTATATTAATATATTAAAAAAAAGGGATAAAAGTCAAAGCTTTAACCCAAAGATTTTTATCCTCTTCAGATTAAAACTTGTTCAAGTATCATTCAATATAATATATTTATTATTATTATTATTAAACACTGAAAGTAACCAGAAGCAATAAACTTGTATTATATATACATTAACATTCCCTATTGCTATTATTATTATTACTGGTAAAGAGTGATAAAAGGTTGTTGATGTGTGAACAACAGCAAAGGATGAGAAAAGGATGAGGATGAGGAAAAAGGCTGAAGATGAAGCAAAAGCAAGAGACACAAATCTGTACAATTTTATCCATCACTTCATCTCTTTGCTGGTTTTTGAGTGAAAAAAACACATCTTCATCCTCCCTCAAGAAACACAATGATAACCTTTTTTTTCCTCACCATTTCATCCTCATCTTCAAGTTAACTTGCTTTTTGTGTTAACCTTTTTCAAGTTGAATTTTCTTCGACATTTTTTGCTTCTTTCCTTTCCTTTGATATTGGGTTTGATTTAATTTTAACCAACAAGACCTTTGAAGAGGAAAAGGTGAAATTACTTGAAATGATTTTGGGTAAAATCAAGAAAAGTCAACTTCATTTGTGTATTTAAAGCACAATTACCTTCAATAATTGGGTTCATTTTCAGGTTCAACCAAATTTCAAGTCAATCTTAAATGATTTGTCTTCCTAATCATGTAAATAAGAATCTGGAAATTTGATTAAAATTGATTGAAATTGATTAAAATGGTGAAAAGACTGCGATTTGTTGTCTCAAAGTCTTCACCTCCCAACACTTGGAGTGAATTGGGAAAAGGTTAATCTTACGTTTACCATTTACATTATAAACATTTTACCAAATGTCAATTTAATTACAATTCATTATTTACTAAGTAAATATACTGATTTATCATGCTCAATGCTCCCAATTATCCGTTTCATTTTAATAACAAATTGTAATAATATATTTAAATAGCGATACTTTTCATCTCCTCCTTCAATAATACACTTTCTGATAACCTTTTTTGTTCCCTTCAACATTTTCCACTTATTATCATTCCTATTATTTGCTTTATTCAATTGCATCCTCCAGGCTGTAATCATTTAACTTAATCGTTTTATCATTATTATTACCATTACTAACCTTTTTCAAATTAAACCTTATTAGTTGATATCAATTATTATCAAATATTACATTCAAAGCGTTTTTTTGATCCCAAGTCACCCTGTTTACCTGATTGACAATAGGCCTTGCCATTGTAAATTGTTGTCTTTTCATTTTTTACCTTTTCTATTATTGTCTTTCACTCCATCAATTTGAATTAATAATTTAACCCAAATTGGTCATTGAGATTAAAATGAAATCCTTTACCATTAAAATGACCAATGGAGTTGAATATTAAACAGTTGCTTTTCACTGCGATTGAAACGCTTCCAATTTATCAGCAAACGTGTTCACTTTTTTACCTTTACATTTAGCCTTTTTGCCTCACTCTAACCATTATAATGATGATAATTACTTTAAGTTGCAACAATTAAGTTTAATAATTAATGAGAAGACAGTTTTTACCTTTTCCAATCTGGAAACAGCTTTGATTTCAAATGTAAATGCAACCAAAAAAAGGTTGAAAGACTGAATGGATCTTTCCATTGGTAAAAATGCAATTAATTGGTGAAAAGTAAATTGATTTTGTGACAATTAAATAAATTGATGGACAAATTGATGGAAAAGTTAATCTTCACTTTGATCCTGGCTTTCCTTTGATGCCTTGACAATCAAATCATCTTCAAGTCAAATATTGATTCAAATGAAAGATCAACTTTGTACACTGTTAATTGTCAACTGATTAGGTGATTGCTGTTGGGTTAGACAGTTAAAGAAATCAACTTTTAATCTAAATCAAGTGCAAATTCAATGTTTACCTTTTACTGATTCATTGAACTTGTTTCATTGATTAAAGTGAACAATTAAATAACCATTCAATATCATTGAATATTGTCTATTGGTAGTGAATGTTATTTGCTTATTGCCTTTTGCCTGTTGGAAAGTCATGCTAACTGGCTAATTGAAAAGGTTAATTAATTGCATTAAACACTGGAATGAAAAACATTAAATTAATCACAATCAGATTGAATGTTAACATTGCAAGATTGAACCCAATTAATGTGTCTAATTATGCTCTTGTTATTACTGTTGTTACATTTAATCATCTTTTTTGATCACTTGCTGCTTCTGCTTTGCCATCTTCCTCCTCACAATTGACATTAATCATTAATGTAACATGATTTGTGATTAGTTTGATTTGACAATTTATTTTGAAACAGACAATTTTACTATTCACTAATGAAGTTAGTCAATAAAACCTTGCAACTAAACTTGTAATCCTTTTTTGTTTGTATTTCAACAGTCAGTCAGATTACTGATGATGATGACGATGATAATATTATATTTAAGCTGATTAACAGTTAAATTGCTGTTGAAGCAAAAAGCAGTTTGAATCAAGCTTATTAGAGTAAATTGCTTTCCTCAACTCTAATAATAATAATCATCATAATAATCATAATAAACAAAATAATGATTATAAATAAAGATGGTTTGAAAGTAAAATAGTAACACAAATCACAGGAGAAACTCAATGCTATTAATATTAACAAGTAACAAAATCTCAATTTGGTAATATTTAAGAAGAAAATTTTTCTCTTCCCAATTTAATTTAACTCTTTCCTTTGTTTCTTCAATATTGGGACAATTAATTTTTACACTTGATCCGATTTAACAGTTGCCACCTTTTCACTGATTTCAACTTTACTGTTAATAAGATGTCTCTAGATTTGCTTTCTCGTCAAGTTATTATTAGCAATGCAATAAGGTAACATTTACGATATTTTGATCGATTGTAATCGAATGTTGATTTGGTACAACAAAATTGACAAAAAAGTGATACATTTTGTCTCGTCGCTTGACTTGATATGGAACTGCTAAATGACGTCCAGGAAACATTGTTTAGTGGTCTGAGTAAGGATATTAAAGGCATATCTACAGAAAGTAAATTTCTAGGTGAAAACACGAGCTTGCCATAAGCTTTGGAGATTGAAATTCTGATGAAAATACTGATTGCTAAGAATGCTTGATTAATTTTTGACACCAGTTGTATCAGAATTTTTGTTCCAGTTCCTTCATTTAAAATTTTCCTAGTCTTGTCCCTCTTACGCCATCTGAAGTTGGATTGGTCAAGGTGTTTCAATTTTTAAGTTCGATGCCAACAGCAATCTTCCTGCATCTTTAATTTGGACACTAAAAAGTAAAATACAATGAAAATTACAATTAGAATCAATGAAAACAGAAATGTTGACTTAATATTATTCTTAGCAAATTTGACACCATAACTCACACTGCAGTTATAAGCAGCGAGTAATATGTAATCGATGAACATGCAATTACGTTGTAACAAAAAATTAATTACAAGAAATTGTGTCAACAATTTGTAACAATAAATCCTCTAAAAGTATATTTCTATAGTTATAAGATCAATTTAGATGCAACAAAAACACCAAATCGGTAAAAACAAACCAATAAATGGATAATGGATATAAAATCACTCCTAATAAGAAAAATTCTTACCGCAAGCTCCTAAACAGGATAATATTGAAATTTATCCATCAATGATATCCAAGAAACCATTTGGAATAAAGAATGATCTTTAAGAAAGGGACAAATGAAAGTTCTAATGATGATTAGATGATTGAACTGAGAAAATACATTAAAATTACAATTGTAGCATTACAGTAAATTTACAGGACAATTACAGTTAAATACTGTTATAAGATTCGCTAGATGGCAGTCGATTCCCAATTTCTGCTCTCAATTTTCTATCTTCTTTAACAAACAATAGATGGCTTAACCAGCGCTAAATTTATCCAAACTAATGATAAAACTTAAGATTAACAAGCAATTAGAACAAAATCAACGTTGCAATTCAATCGAAAGCTGAATCCATTTGTCCATTGTATTCGTGTATAAATCAGTTGTGGTCAATTTCCAATCAAATGAGATTATAAAAGTGAAGCAGCTGTTTAATTTGATAAATGTTTGACACAATTTAAAAACAGATTCACTCAATTCACTTCACGTTTTGTGATTGAGAGGTATTTAATCAAATTATTTTGTGTTTAATAGCACATTTAACAGCTGCAATTAACACGCGTGGTTAATAAGAATTGATTAACCCAAGAAAACACATTCGAACGTCTTTACCAAACCAATTTGTAAATTCAATTAAATGTGATTCACATTTTTCTGGCTCTGATCAACATTAATTAGATTGATTTAATTATTAACCGAGCACTTGATGAATGAGTTGTTTCTAAGTTTGGAGGTTATATAACTTTTTATTGAAATGATATCAATCTGTTGATCTTGTATCAAGGTCTATTGTCCAGAAGCTATTGAACAAAAGTCATCAAAGATTGGATAAAATACCGATATAACTCATAGAGAGAGAGATATTGAAAGTGAATCTTCTGAACAAGTTTTTAATAATCAAAAGATAAAAGTTTTATAACAACATTTGTAGGTTTTGGTAATTTGATTGTTGTTGATTGCATGAAACAGTGGGCAATGTTTTCGATTAAGTTAATAGAGCTAACAAGAAATGGTTGTTACAATCATCAAAATCTCAACGAAAGATCAATTCAACTCTCGTTTTTCTGAATGAATATGTTTTTGTTTAGCATGAACACTTTGATATTAAAAGAGGTAAGATACATAGATTGGAGGAAAAAGAGAAAATAATGAAAAGGAGCGAGAAATTGATATTATTTTCATTACATGAATTGTCTTATTTTTGATGGTTTGGTTTGGTTACATTTATATTAACATGACGACCCATAATTTAAAAATGATAAAGTCCAGTGGTTTTAGTTGGGATGGGTTGACAAAAAAAGAAAAAAAATTCCGTTTTTCGTTCCTTTAAAAACATTACTTGGTTCGACGTCTTTTGAGACAGTATAAAACCAGGAAGACACAAAGAACAATTAAAACAATGGCTAAAACAAGAACCAGAATTCCTAATAAAATGATAGTCCATGTATTATCCTCACAGGCAGAAATATCGGTAAATTCATCACAGCTTTGTCTCAATCTGTAATCTCGTGATTGGGAAAGGTAAGTTGCCAATGAGTATGAGTTGTCATAGCATTCATCAATATTTCGGGTTTTAAGGCATTTCTCCACATTATGGCTTAAACAACATCGATCCTTTAAACTTTCCCCGGACCAAGTTTTTTGACCAATTCGTGTACAATCAGCAATCCTTTCCTCTCTTTGACGGTTACAGTGAAATAATAGTTCTGTAATAGATCAATCCAATAAACAAATGCCAAGGGTTGGTAAACAATGTGATGATAGCACATGAAATGAAAAAAATAAAAAAAGAAACAATTGTGTTAACAAAACAAATTGTTATAAATGGCATTAAATTATAACTTACTCAGTTGAAGAGGGGTTAATTGAAAACATTTTAATTGTAATTAAAAGATAATTTATCTCAGTTAAAGAATGATGAAGCATTTTGTTAAAAATTAACACATTTAACCGCAATTTTCAAACTCTAACGGCTAATTGAGCGAGCCGTAATTACCATTCTTATCTTTTCTCGGCTTACAAGGGTTGATTTCTTAATCTAGAAGCTTCTTATTTTTTATTAATCTGACATATGCCTATGTTGGTTTAAGTAAGCCAACTTGCTTGTTTCACGACAATTCATTAAATGTTAATCCCAGTAAGCTTATTTATAAATTAATAATTCAATTAAAGATTGTAACACTGAAAATGGTTTTGGCTCATCTTTTGGTTGGTATCATGTGTTTTTGTCACCTTTTCATTTTCTTAAGTGTATCCTACTGCAAAGTAAACCAACTGTTATGCAACTTATGTTCACCATTACCATTAAAATAACCAGCAAAAGTCATTTTCAACATTAAACTTATTCAAGTATCAACAGTTGAGAAGGTAAGTGTTCAACTCTTGAGTATCTAATAAATTATTAGCCATAACAAGATTGTCAAGATTCATATTTTGGTTTGGCTTGACCAAGCCAATCTATAAGCAAAAATTGAGTTGACTTGTCAACACAGGGCTATGTGTTAATACATTGCTAACATTAATTTTTATCCATTATTTTGGTTATTTTTTTGTTATCTTTTAGTTCATTTAATTCAAACAAGACCATGGACGTATCGTGATGATTGCCAATTAGCAAAATACACGATCTCGTTTGCAACCGACAATTAAAGTCAACAACTCAAGTGTATGTATAAATGAACAAAGCTTAGTTGCAATTTTCACTAATTAATCCCTGTTCCTCTTTTTTTCATCCTCACTTTTCTTAGCCTTTTTCTACTCGTTGGTATTAGACTGACCATCATCCACTACATTTTTGCATTTTCGTTTGGATTTTACGGTTAAATGTTTAATTTACTTTTACATGCTTTTACCTACTTTGAACTACTCTCAACTGGCCTCCCTCCTTCAACAAAATTAATTACTCATGGGCAAGGACTTGCTGATTATTTTCTATTTGCTTGTTAACTCTCAAGTAGTTCAAGAAAATTGATTACTCCAAAAACCATGATTATCATTATTACCTTCACAACGACGCTCATTAAAGTTGTTACAAGCCGTGTAAATCCAATTTCGAAGCTCTGGTGATAACCAATTGGTTGCCAATGATTGACATTCTCGAGGCACCCGTTGTTTCATACATCTATCTAAGGCAATGTTTCGACAGCATTCTTTACCAATACCTGTAAGAAAGAAAAGGCATTATTATCCAAATGATGATATGATATATTGGTAAATTGAGATTCCAGCAAAAAGATATCTTTCCAAGCAGTATTTCATCCCTTCATCGTTTCCAGGATTTCCTCAAATCAATATATTGAAAAGATAATCTCAATCATTTATCGTCACAATGTTTGAAATCCAAGGTAGTGTCAAAGCGACAACAAATCAAATGGTAATTTGGTATACACCGGATCTATTGATTATTTCAAGAAACAAGGAAATGTGCTGCTCTTTTGAAAGCTGTGATTCTGATTCTGTTTGCATCTACTTTGTGCTCTTCATTTCATCTTAACTCAATTTCCAACCAGTTTTTGCTCCACTAATTCATTCATATTATTTTGAATGGATTGCATATTGTTCATAACTCCATCATTACTCTGTTTCTCCCTACCAATAAGCCTCTCTTTAATTATCATCTCCATTTTCCTTATCAACTTTCATCTTGATCATCCATTGACATTGCATTCTATTAAGGTTTCTTCAACATTCAACTCTGAACCAGGAAAAACTCTAATTCCACTCCAACTCAATGTTTTGCTAATTGAAACATGATACTATGAATATACATTTGAGTGAAATACAACAACCATCATAATAATAGTAAGAAGATGATATTGAATTAATTTAATAATTCATCTAGAAATGCATACACATTTATATACATATAAATCATGGCGTAATTTAGTTTTATTTTTTTCTCTCTCTCTTTTTGAGGTTGAATAATATTGCATAAAAATGATGTTAATTGAAGCTACTAATAGTCAAGCATGAGTTACATTTGAATTTCCTTCTGAATTATTCCAATTCTACTTAAAATTGTTTCTTTCTTCTCTTCCTTCAGCCCTCTTCTTCTACCTTCTTCTTAATCATCATCATTCTTATTATTCTTTCCTAGGAAAAAAAACCTTTTCTTGGCTTATTCAGCGAAACTTAATATCCGCTTCTTCATCATTGTCATTGCTCATTCTTTCTCTTTTTTCTTCTCTCCATTCTTCATCTTCTTCTCCTTTATCCCTCTGCAAACTTAGGAATAAGCTGAATTTTGGTTGGAAGGAGGAAAACAACACAAACACTCACATTTAGATACACAGAAACACACTAAAACCAAGGAAAACAATAATGTTAAAGAAATTGCTTGCATCGAAAAATTGCGTTCAAGATGATCAAGAAATACCGTTAATGTTGCAGGAGAAATGGGTTTTACCTCATCATTTTTGTTCACCCTCATCTTATTGACTTGATAACATAAAGTTGAGTATTATTTTGTTTCCAATGTTAAAGGAAAGAGTAAATAAATTGAATTGAGTCTTGACTGGAGTTGAAAATAATGAGCATCATCAAATGTAGAAAGTAAAGAAAGAGTAGAAACTTAAACAGTTGCATTCTCAACCTTTTTTACCTTCAAGATAACCCATCTAATCCAAGCTAAAGACTTTCTATTAAAGCTTTAGTTTTTAACAGTGTTGACAATGTAACATATGAGAGGATATTTTCATTGCCTACGATTTTTTACCTCATTTTTTAAGCTTCCTTTTCTCATCATCTTTATCATCCTTCACCTTGATCCCAATCATTTACAAGACTCTCTTCAACTCATCTCTCTTATCATAGCTGAACTGGTGTTGTTGATGTTCTTATTGGCTTTTTTTGGTAAATTTTTTGCTCGATATATTGATCTTATGTTTGCAACTTTACCAATCAATAGGCATCTTTTTTGATTCTTTCCCTTTCCACTCTTCTCATCTATTCATCTGTCTTTTATCCTCACAGGCTGAATTTTGGTTTCAACAATTGCTATTGATAACATTTATTTCCTTTGATGATTCAATGGATGGCCAAAAATTTACTCCCTTATTAAGGATGAAATAATGTGCAAGTCAAGATGCAACTCAAGGAAACAAAAACCGGTGCACATTGGATCAAAGAATGGCCATTCAGACGAAAAAGTAAATGTTCATTTTCACCATCATCAACAAGAAACTTGGATTAGAGAAGAAGATGAAGTACAAGAAAAGTTGGAGAAGAGGATTGAAGCCTGGATGATATTACATTCTATAAGTAGCACAGAGCATCGTATTCCGCCACCAGTGAAGTAAATTCAATAAAATCACCAACAGTGAGAAAGTTAACAGCAAATATAATATTCTGCTCACGATGATTACATTGAATTGTTTGTAAAAAGAGGTAAACTTAGCAAAAATTGGTTGGCGCAAAAGGTCCTGTCAACTCTTGTTAAATCTTGATAATGTCTTTGCTAATTTTACTTCTTCCAACTCACTTCTTCTTCCTCTTTTACTTGTTACTCTTTTTTTTATCATCATCGTTATCGTCATCTTCTTACTTCTCTTCTTCGTCTTCTTTCCCACCTTCCATAATGCAGTCACTCAAGCACAAAGATCAGAACAAATTCAGGTTATCTTCTACTTTTTTTTTCTTCTTCCTCCTGACGATGATACATGTATTTTCATCCTCATCTTTTCACCCAAATTGAAGAACCAAATTTATTCTTACAAGGTGAAAATAAATTTACAAAACTTTTAACCAAATGCATTACAATTACATTTATATTTCAGGTTGATTGGGTTGTCAATTGAACGGAGACAGCCAAGTTTACATCTTTCCCATTGATTTTGGTTAACACATTTTCCCAAACTATTCAATCACAATCAGTATCATTTAAAGTCTCACATTTCATAACTATTACCATCATCATTGAAAGGTTAATCAATATGGACAATTCCCAAAGAGGTGATGACTTGATTAATTGGATTAATCGCTCCAAAAATTGCAATAACAATGAACACAATTAATCGTTTAATATTGTTCCCAGTTTTATTAAGGGTAATTTACCTTCAACATAATTTATTATTCCGCACAGATTGAGTTTTTTTTAATAATTTGATTTGTTTTTTTACCTTCATAACTCTTATTCAGATTAAAGAAGCGAAAAAAGGATCCATAATATTTGGTGGTGTTCGGTTCCAAAATGAATAGCTGCAGACCTAATTGAATTGTAATTGACTTGATGAATGACAGCTAGGAACAATTAATTACGGAGAATCAAAAGATAAAACAAAAGGTAATAAATTTCAACTTCTTTTGTCTATTTCCTAACCAATTAAACGCAGTTGAATTGTAATTGGATTAACAATTTAACCCTCTTTGTTAAAACCCTTTCTCGCAGTTTTTTGCGTTTATCAATACTTGTTGATCATGTTGAGAGCATGAGTTTGAAAACCTTGATCTAGAAGTTTAATAAATCATAGAAATCAATTATTTCCATTTGAAAAAATTTTACTGCTTTTCATGGGTCCTTAAAGATGCTTCATCAAAGTTCCTATTCCCTGTCAAATTCAAATGATTTAACTCTAATTTTGCTTCATCTTTTGATTGCAGGTTTCACCATTTAAATATCACGAGATAACTAATCACGAGTTTGAATCATAAATATTGGGATCACACCATCATAATGAAAAGCTCATTGGCTGACAATGGTTTCAACTGTCGGCTTCACAATTCAAACAAAGGTTGTATCAATAATATCGTCAAATAATCCTCGAATTGCCAACAATGCCTGATTCAATTGTAAATGAACTAATTCCATTTTCCTCTCTTCTTTTGTTTTTGATCAACAGATAATGCTATTTGTATAAACTTTACAAGATCAGTTGAGTGAACCATTTCAACAAAAGGAAACCCAAATTAAAAGCCTGAAAAAACATGATAAATGCCTGAAGCCATCAGTATCTAAAGAAAAGGAGAAAATGAAAGTCAAAAAATAGAGGAATCAAAAAAGATGGAGATGAAGATGAAGAGTAAACAATCATGATGGAGTCTTGATCGTTTGTGAACAATATTTTCATTTTTCATCCTTTCCATTCTTATTCATCTTCATCCTCTGGTATTCAATCCTTCATAACATTGCCATTGTAAAGATTGAACAAGAAGGCGCAAAAGACTTGAAAATGTTTCCTATGTTAACCTTTTACACCCTTGGATGAATGTGAACTGAATATTTTTCCACTGATTATACCATTTGCTTGTTGATGATGTCAACACCTTGAGGCTTTGTTGATTATATTTTTTTTACCTTCCATCAGATCCTTCATCATGGAACATATTGTTATTTATTTCTCCATTATATAAACATGAAGACTTCTTTCTCTGTTTTCTTGTTTTTTTTCATCAACTACAAAAACTATCAAGTGAATAATAATGGCAAGTTTCCTGATTTTAATAATAATGTAACTCGAGTTTGAAAAGTCAAGCAATCCAAAGTGAATTGTTTTCTCATCATCATCGCCGTTCTCCTCAATTCATCTTAAATTTATAAACTCTTCACTGAAGAGATACTTTTTCACTTGAACCATCTGAACCCAAGAGATATTCAATGATTCCAATGATTGATCAACGATTTTCAAGCTTTTATCGAACGCCAAATTTTCAAAAATTCAGGTTTTTCTATTTCCAATCTAGACTTTCAGTTGACTGTTTAAAAATAGCATAATTTTGACTCTTTTGGTTTATTTGGTAACATTTATAATGTTATATTTTCCAGTGAAAAGTATGTAAAGTTGAAGCTTATTACAGCAATTATTTGCTTGGATTAACTTGTTATTTTTGAATAAATTTACACCTTTATTCAAAGGAGGAAAAAAAGGTTGATTAATCGATATTTCCTCTTAATTAACATTCAAATGAGCTTTCAGTTTTAATCAACTAAATCATCATAAATGAGACTTGATAATCAATATTCAAATTTGCCAAAATTTTAGCCTCTTAAGAGTAAAATAAAGTTAAGCTTAAATTAAATTAAATCACTTTCAATTCAATTTCGTCTCTTTGATTTCAATTGAACTTTTATATTAACTTAAATTTTAATCTTATTGATTCCTTTACATTTCATTTAACAATCGCTAAACTGAAAGAAAATCAATTCAACTTTTCAAATTCAATTTACATATATAAGGTGGCAATTCAAGTTAATAGCTGTAAATCATTTACAGGCAACAAATATCAATTTAATCCAAACAATCAATTTCCAGAGCAACATTAATCAACACCTTTAATTATGTGCAGAATCCCTTTTTTCAATTCACTATTCAATCTTTCTTGCTTAATAATAACTTTGTTTCAATTTGCAACTGAATAAATCCTTCAATTCAATCTTTTCAACACACAAATTAAATGTAACAAAACAAATAACAGACAAAATTCAGTTCATTTATCATTAAATTAACACCAATCTTTGGTCAGACTAATTTATCATGGTCAAGTTAACTACAAAAGGTTAAGAGACACAAATAGACAGAAATTGATTTAATACAATTAATTTTAATGTAACACTTCAAGTTGACACACAATGATTTAAGAAGCAAATGTACACAAAATTATGAACCAAGAAGCGAATCTAATTAATCAACTTAAACTGTCCAATCAAAGTAACAAATTTAATTCCATTTGATCAAGATTAAAATTTAATCCAAATCAAGCATTTAATGCGATTCTTGTAAAAAAAGCTTCTAAAGTTGATTTCAATTTCTTAATTCTTTACACCAGATTAACTCAATGTACCTGTTTTAATGTCTTATTTCAATATCTTGTTTCAATGTTTATCAAGTAATGAAAAATAAATGAAACAATTAAGTTAATTGAATGGTGAATACGGTAAAATCAAGCGAAGCAAGTGAAACCAAATTAACTTTACAATTAGTCTTCTCACAATCATCAACACATTAAACTGAACACTGTGAACACATTTATTATAGATGATGATCTACCGTTGATTGTTAATTCACTATCAAGGAAAATTAAATATTAAACTAAATTAAGAGTTTGAATATTCCCTCGTCTTGGTAATTGTCAAGTGCATAAAAAAGGCTCAACTAAATCAAGGCTAACCGGTTAACGTTTGTTTACTCATCCAATAGTTAATGTTTAACCACAATTTATATTATAATTAAACATGATAATCATTTGTACTTGATTGACTAAATTTGTCCTTAAATTGTACAACAGTTGCCATTGAATCTAATTGCAAATTTTAAAACACCAAACAGTAGTCACTTTTCAACAATGAATAATAATCTCTACATTTTAATAATAGATTTTAATTTCCTCTTGAAATCCATTTAACTTCTTATTTTCATTTTTGGGTGTTTTTCAAGCAATTAAATTAAATCACTAAAAGAAACGCAAATTGGCATGAAATTAATTCAACTTTAAACCTGATTTTGACGAGACAAAAAATTCTGGTTACTTGAAAGGAACACACAAAATATTACATAAACCAATGGATTTGGGTTAATCTTTAGTTTTGGGTTACCACAAAAAATAATCACTCAACCTTTCAGGTTAAATTAGTCTTATTACAATAATAATTATGGCAACAAAATAACACAGATTAAGGGTTGCATGAACCAAAATCAAATTAATTAGATAATTAATGGTGAAAAGTAGACCAAAATAACTGCAGTTTAATTACCGTAAATATCTAGTGTTAAAGGTAAAAGTGAAACCAAATTCCTAGTAGCTTTACTCCTTTTGGGTTTACTTTTCTGGTTTATTGAAAAAACGTAAAATTAAATTTACCTTGATCACAATAAGTGATAAAAGGTGATCCAATTTGTTTTGCAAGGATAACTCATGAAGACTCATGATAAAAAGGTAGATTCTATCGAAATATTGAAATGAAATTCCATTAAAAGAAAATTAATAATCATGAATAAATCAGTTTTCAGTGAAATTGGAAGAAAAAACTAGAAACTTAAAAACATTAATATCATTAATAACAAAATAGATGTTGAATAATCAATAAAATTCAACAATTGATTTAACATTGAAAATCTAACTATTCAACCATCAATGTTGATGATGATTCAATCAACCAAACCTTAATGATCTAATCAATAGCAATCAAATTTACAATTATCCATGGTTAAGGTAAAATCGGGTTTGAAATGGACAGTTGAAGTGTTGATATGTTTTGGGTTGAGACAATTTTTGCTTCTGTTTTTCATGTTTTCAGCTTCATTTGAAGTTTGTTTCATGTTGAACTTTTGTTACGGTCATTGATAAGTGCATTTAATTCAATTTAAGCCAAATGGCAATCAAAAATGTTCAACTCAGCAATGGTTAACATTACAGATGATTAAGATTAAAATTAAAGTCTATTTTAAGGTTGTCTTTTCTTCCGTCTTAAATAATGATTAACTGATAACATCATCACTATTAATAACAATATCAGTTTATATTAACCAAATTACATTGGATCACAAGAAAAAAACACAGTTTTCTGGTGAAAAGGCAAAGATGAAATTGTTCAAGAAAAAAGGTTTAACTAAGCAAAAATGATGAGCAAACTTCATCTTTATCATCATAATTCACAGTTATTCCTTCATCTTCATGTTAATCTTCCTTTTCCTGTCTTCTTGTTCATTTTACATTCATTTTTGCCTCTCATTATTATTACAAATAAAATGATAATCAAATGCATTTACATTGTAAAACAGCAATGATATAAATTGTTATTAAATTAATCATCTAATGGTTTAAAAAGTCAGTCTTTGGAGTAAATTTCATTTTCAAAATTGTGTTTGAAAAATTGCTTTCAAAATCTGGTTCAACATTGAAAATGCCTTTTCTCACATCTTTTAATCAATTCAACTTTTGGGTAAATTGTGAGTTGACAAAAAACAATCAATTTACCGAGTAAAATGAATGTTTTGTATTTAATTTGGGTTCAATTTTTTCATTTCTTTGGGTTAACCAGAAAAATCAATTGGATTGGGATTGACTTCATTTACACGTTTGACTCTTCATGTATGTTTCTGGTTCAATTTAGATGATGGTCAAGATGATTATAATTGTTGAAGAGCATTCAAGGTTCATTTAAAGGGTTTAATTGCACGGTTATTAGACAGTTTGTAAATCATTTGTGTTAAATTATGAAAGCTTAAAAAATAAATTGTTGCCTTGAAACCTGAACCATCAACAACTCAGTAAACATTAAATTTTTAACCGCAAATTTTTTGTCAATTAAATGTTAAAAGGTTGCAATAAAAGCAAATTAACCAGAAAATTTGTAATCAAAAAGATGTTTTTGGATAAAACTATGAATACAATGAAACCAAAAATGGTTCCCATTTAGTAGTGAAACCACAAAATGGGCAATTTTGCTTTCAATTAAATTGGTTTTTTGGGTTAAAACATCTAGATGTTAGATAACAATTGGAATGAGAAAACATTTAAAGCTGAACAATTTTCATTAATTGTTGTTCAATTGTGCTGTTCAATAATGAAATTCAACATTGAAATACTGGTGGAAAGATTAGAGGTTGTGTTTAATCACATTTCAATGTTTAATTGTTGACTTACCTGAATAGTTGATCCAACCAAAAGCCTCTTCTTTACATCGCTGTTCAACATTACGGATTTGTGATGCACAATCATAGCCTTGAGTTAATCCAAAATCTTGAAGAAACAGAAACAAAAATGAAAAAGGTTTGATCAAAAATAATAACATGAAAACAGGTTACTGTGTAAACAGGTAAGATGATGATGTAAAATGTTTTACTGGAAAGGTAAGATGAAGGTAAATGTTTGAAAAAAGTATGTTATTATATTTGAAGACAATTTCTTTTGAGATATGATATGCAAATGATATTCAATCATATGTATTTAGTTGTTACAAGCTTTTTTGTCACCTCGAAAATGATACCTTTTTTGGATTATTTTTTGTCTTAAATTGTGAACAAGCTTATGATAGTTGACATGAGATGATACGATCATGATGATGATGGGAATCATGATTGAAATGATGCTCATATAAGAATACAAATCAATTGAAATTGATGGTCAATGTGCTTTCAGTTTCATCTCATTTTCTTGCTTGTTTACAAATCTTTGACAGTTTGAAATTGCTTTTGATGGATTAAGAGATGATTTTACGCACATAATCATCATCACAATCACCATTATAATCAACATTGTAAAATATGTTAAATTGTGAAATGTATCTTTGTATATTTACCTGTAAAGTTGAACAAAATAATTGTGAAAATCGATAAAATTTGAAGTAAAAAATCCATTTCTTTCTGGTTTGCTTTTCCGGTTCAGGGTTTTCCTGGTTAAACTTGTGATAAAAAAGGTTTAAATTTTGGAGATTGGTATTAGCATAAGCACAATAATTGAAGTTGTTTAAAATAAAGTCATTAAACAATTTATGGTGAATGTGTTGAGTGTGAGTGTTGATTGAGCTGCTTGTTTACTGGTTATTATCAAAACTAATCAAATTGATGTATTTATTAGTCGATAGCAAAACAACGGGTTAAATAACAAGTAAAAAATGAACAAAAAAACTGGTAATAATATGGAAAGAAGTATCAATAGCAATACTTGAGGTTGCGGCTGTTACTATTGCTGTTTTTGTTGTTGTTTATTATGATATTTGAAAAACGCAAATGAAAGTCATACTAAAGACAGACGAGAATGATGATAATAACGATAAAAGATGAAAAAAGAAGAGAAAGTTATGATGATGATGAAAATGATGGGAAGTTGAGTGAGAAACTTTTCTTATTTTTAGCAGATTCCTTTGGCTGTTGCCAATACGTTGACGCTGGTAAAATCAACTAGCTGGAGTAACTGGATTTTGTAAGAAATACAAACACAGAGAGAGAGAGAGAGAGAGAGAAAGAGAGAGAAAGAGGATGAAAATGGTGATGATGATAAAGAAGACGAAATAAAAAAAGGTTGATCTTTGGTTGCTCTTCCTAGTTGCTGTTGTTGCTGAAAGTGTAAGCATGAAAAAAAACCATGAAACACAGTTATTGGTATGACTCTTATTACTTTCCCTTTTCCGTTGTCTTAAAACTGGCCTCATCAAAATTAACCAACCTCCATTAATGATGTCATTATTTCCGTTGGAACGACCTTAAACACTGTAATAAACAATCAACAACACAATATTATTCAACACAATTCATATCACGATTTTGATGTTGGATTTATTTATCAGCTTTTTTTATGTGTACATTTGTTTCGGCTCTTTCTGTCTAACTCCATCTAACGATTGTAATTTTAATCACACCCTATTGAATGACGATTGGTCAGCCGACATCAAGGCTAATAGCGGTAAACTCATTGTAAGCCATTCAATAATTTGTTGTTATTAGATCTTTTGTTAAACATTTTTTTTTGATTACCATTTGTTTTTAAATTGCTTTATTGTTTATTATTGCGTGTCTCTACTTTTGTTTGATTGTTAATCAGTTGACAGTGTACATTTCAATTTTGATGTGTCCTTTACAAAGTCTCCATGTTTCCATGTCGTTTCTGGTGCTCTCCTCTGTGATACTGGTTGGTAGTCTTGGCCAATGTCAACTTGTTTTCATTTTCATCTTTAACTATTCACTTGACTTTTTTCGTCTTCTATTTTTTCTTATTTCTCTTCTTCTTCATCTGTCTTTACATCTTCAATTTCACCTCGTTCTCTGTCTTTCTGTCTCTCTATTTTGCCTTGCCTTGCCTCTATTTAATGAGTTACTTTCTCGTTGGCGTTGACTCAGCCTTGATAACTCAGCAGAGTTAACCTAAAAAAACATGGAAAAATATTTCTCTTCCTTGAGAAGGATCTTCAAGAATCTTGACGTTTTCGTGAAGGCCTCCTGAGTGTTATATGTTTCTCCCATTACGAACAAAGTTTTACTTTTTTTTCATCATTGTTGTTATTACTTTTCATTCTTATTCTTTTCTTAACATCATCTTCATCCTTTTCTTCTTCTTTTCTTCCACCATTCTCTCATTCTCTCACCTATTCAACATCATCAACGTCTTGTTTGTTTTTTGCCTCTTTTATCTACTTATTCACATTGTCATTGGTAACTTGTTATTATTTTATCACAAATACTTGTTTCATTCAACAAGCAAACTTAAACACACTGATCATTTATTTATCCATTATCATTTGTCTCTTTTTTTAAGGTTATTACATTATTTCATTCTCCAGTTGTATAACAATTAACGTTGGAAAATTATTTGGATTTCTTCAATTATGGCATCTCATTATAAAAAGTTTACTTTGGATCTGGGTTTTTAATGTTCAAATTGAAAATTTTGCTGGTTAAAGGATAAATTGAATTCTCAGTGATTAATGAATTCACTGAACTTTCCCTTTTTTCATCCATTTTCAACCAAAATTTATGCAAAATATTGAAGACTAAAAACACAAAATTCTGTTCATCCTGGTGATGATGATGATGGTGATAAAATGAGAGTGAATGTTTAATTACTCTGAATGTATCACTTCAGTTTTACTGTTAATCACATTTTCTTCATCTTTTGTAAATCTTTACACTTTTCTGCTTGGAAGGAAGAAAAGTTTCCATCATGAATATCATGAATTCTTGTGTAAACAAAGTCAACAACTATTATACAAATAATAGATAAAGCTTTCTTTATGTGAAAAATTAAGTTTCCTGATGGCAGAAAAATTTCAGTAATTTGAATAACTGATGAAATACCCATGATGAACACAAACGGAAAAGACAAAAAACAAAGACGGAAAAGGCTGTAAATCTGAATTGATTTGGAAAACAAGATGATTGGAAATATAAATTCTGTACTTTTGATTGGAGTCGAAATGTCAACAGGAGAGAAAAAATGAAATAAAATTTGAAGAGAAGTCAAGGAAAGCTCATCTATCCTGATTCATATAAAGATATTACAAAGGAAACAAAAAGCTCAAGCTCGATTACACTTCTTACAACAATGAAAGTCAAGCGGAATCCATGAAAAGATGAATTTTGATGGTCAAAACTTTATGAAATGAAAAATGGATCCAATGAATTTTGTTCAATCTTTTAATAATGCAAATCGGGAATCCACATAAACTGTCAGTTGAGAGTTGAAAGGGTCAACAGAGAACAAAAGAGCAAAGCAAAGACAATGGAAACTTTTGGCTTTGGTTAAAGGATACATTCCAACTCTGTTATTACAGGAATCCTAATGATGATGATAATGATGAGAAAAGGAGAAAAAATTAATATAAATCAATATGAATCAAGGTAAGTCAATGAGTCTTGAAGAAAAGTAGAATATCTTGAAAAAGTGGAAAAGTCTTGAGTAATTCAATATACACAGTGCGATGAAATTGTAATAAGACTTTGACTGTGTTCATGGATTGTGCTGTATGTGTGTGAATGTGCTTGGAAAGGGTGAGGAAGGAAGGAAGGAAGAGTAAGCAAAAGAAAATGATGATGATGAGATGTTGAAGATGAAAATGAAGATGAAAAAGAGTCAGAAAGAGGAATATTGATAAAGACTGAAATCATGAAGCTGGATGGTGAATATGCGCAAAGTTGGTACTCTTAGCCCTTTGAACTCTCTCTGTCTTTTCCTCTTTCTTTTTCATCTTTATCATCATCTCTCTCTTTCAATCTTACTCACTCATCTTCATTTGTCAACAAAACATTGTTCAACAAACATCGGTGGCCAATATTCATTAAAAAAGGTTAGAATACGGATAAAAAAGAAACTAGATTTTTACTTGAAATCAATTTCTACCTTCTGTTTACATTGGTTTACGATTATCGTATTTTATCTCCATAATTTATGATAAAAGTGAAAGATGACCTTTTATCGTTCTTCTGTTCGACATCTTCATCGTTATTATCATCATTATAACCTTGTTTCATCTTCTTTCCCTTTCATTTAATCATCAACTAATGGACTTGATCTCATCTATTGTCAACTGTTTCTTTTCATTTCTATTAACTTTTACCTCAACCTTTACCTTTTAAACTCGTTTTTTTTTAAAAAAAACAAACCTTTTTCTTCCTTCATCATCATCCCTCTCATCTTCGTCTTCCTCTCCTGATCCAAATCAACTGATCTATCGATCCATTTTGATGATATAAAGCTAAAACTCGTTAGTGTTATGTGAATATAACATGAGATAAAACTCAATTCTCAACTTTCCTTCCTTTCATGTTTTCCCTTTTTATCATCATTCCCTGATATCAAAGATTTTACTAGCCTCTAAATATTATCATTATTATTACTACCTTTTTTCTGGTATAAAAACTATCACCATCATTATTTGGTCTATTATTAACATTTGCTTGGATTGTAAACATAATCATCCTATTTCACCAATTGAAAGTGAGTTCACTTGTTGGTTAGTTTTACACCTGAAATTCAATTTTTCCCCTTTTACTTATATTCCTTTTTTTCAATCATTTATGCTTTAATACATTCACACATACACATTTACACACAATCATCACCACCATTAACTTTAACAATAATGATATTAATATACATTTACTCTTTTTTTCAGGCTAACATAATGTTCATCTATTCAACTAGATGTTAAATGCTGATGAATACACACAAAATTTATCCAATTGATAACAAACATTTGCAATTGAAAAGGATTACAAGTCAAATAAAGTCGAGTTCAAAAGAGGATTGCAGCAAATCAACAGATAATCAATACAAGATTATTAGTGTCCACTAAATCAAATTGATTGTGTGACTAGTGTTTGTTTCAAATAGCTGATCAGTTTGTTTAACCATGTTTACCGACGAGCTTATTAACAATACATTTTGATCCAACCACAACTGTGATATTGGCAGTTTGATTCAAACGAAAAGGACAAGAAATCAAGTTCAATTAGCTGGTCACAAAAACGAGGATAAATAATGAAAAGTCAAAAGTGAAGACAAAAAACACAGTTAAAACGATTGGACTGAAACGACGAGAAAAATCTCGCTTATTTTACTAAGTTGATATATTTCTACCTGTTGACCATCATCTCTCAATCGTCCACTTTGATCCATTTACTTTTTGTATTGCCATCCAAATTTATTGTACAAGGAAAACAAGTAAAAGCAATGAGCCTATCAACTTCCCCAGGAAATAATGAAAACGGTAGATTGGCTAAAGCAATACGAATTGGATTGTCATTTGTTAACTACTCAAAGCCATTTGGTGAAATAACAACGTCCACTGATGATCTATCATCACCATCGTCAACAACAGCAAATACAAAAACAGCGACATTTAATAGTAAAAGCAATAATGTTAATAATAATATAAATTTTCATACTGGTTTAAATAATAATAATGACTCAAAGTGCCCAGGAGATTTTTGTTCAAGAGCAACTTCCGTTTCTTCTCTCTCACCCTCCTTACCATCATCATCTTCATCAGGAAGAACTGCAAGTGGAAGTAGAATAACAAACTCCATTTCAGTATCCGGTTCAGGAGAAAGGATTGAAGGACTCAGACCAGGGAATGAATTTACCAATTTGGAATCAACATCAACTCCAAAGACCAACAATGAACAGTTAAAAGTAAACCTGGTTGGTTCCCGGATAACTGATTATTATTCAGATTATGATCCAATGATGGGAATAAGGATTGCAATCTCACTTTTGGGTATAATTGTCCTCTTTGCCATCTTTGTGGTCTACAAAAGCCATTGCAATGCCAAGAAAGCGAAACGATTGTTACCTTATCGTGGGTCAACTCGCTCAGTTTCAGGTTACCGAACTCCATGAATCCAAGTGAAAGCAAGGAAAACAAAAGCCAAGTCCAACTAAACAACCTTACCAATATATATTGATCAAAGAGTGGACCATCTTTTACCATTGTCAATTACACCTTTTGTTTAGTTGCTTCTGGTGGTTACTTCCAGATTAAACGTTGTCATTGTTGTAATTGTTTGCTGTATATTATTTTCATCCTAATTGGTCTCATTAAGTTTGAATATAACATCACATTTACAGCCATTTATTATGATTTCAATCAAATGCCAAGAAAAAAAGATTCAACCCAACAACCATTAAGTGTATATATTATATATTGAAGAAGCGAACAAAAAATTTCATCAAAGTGTTCATCAATCAAAACCTTTTTTTACTTTCATTTCCATTCTCATCATTCTTGTGTCTCAACTTTGTGTCCCACTTTTTCGTCGACAATTTCATCTTACCCTTGCTAATGATAGCAATTAATAGTCAACCTTCATTTATCTACCATTCAAATGATGATCACTCATCAGTTATATTAATAAAAGTCTCTCTAAATGCAACACCTTGTCATTTGACTCTTTTTTTCACCCTTCTTCCCTCATCCATTATTAACTCTTCAAGTGACAAACTTTAAACGGTAATATGTAAATCATATTCAAATTGATTCAAATTTTTGGTAAATATTTGAATGTTCAAGAATTAAGGTTGAAAAGGTTTCTCTTTTCAGTGAAAAGTTGCAATCAGAAACCATTAAATAATCCATTAGGTATCAACCCGAATGGAAATTAAGAAAATATGGAAAAGCTACAAAATTTGATCCAGTTAATCATATGGAGTTAAATTCATTGGAAGAGGTGCAACATGATAACTGTGAATCCAAACTCCATTAATCATGAATGATTGAAAATGTAAACTGAAACAAGAGGCAACAATATATTGATAAAACAAAGTAAAAATAAGTGTCACTGTCAGCAAATAAACATTTGAAAGCAACAACATTTAACATGTTATTTCACTTACTGACCAGTGTGTCCAATAAAGAGTAGAAGCTAAAAAATAATCTATTTTTGTTCATAATAAATGACAATTTTTAATCTTTAGTCATTTTTAGTAACCCAAACAAGTAAAGAACCAGAAAAAGGTAAAACCTAAATCAATATTGGCTCAACTCTGGTTAGTAGGAAACAAGGGATCAGTCTAGTTCATTCATTGGCCATTAATAGATTGAATTTGATTCCAGAATTGTGATTAAATCAGATTGAAAAGGTTTAGTTGGCAAGTCAGGAAATATATAATATTATTGAGAAGAAAAAAATATTGTACAAAATGATTTCCATCCAAACCAATTTAATCTGAGCTTTTACGTTTTACCAGGTTTGATATTTTGTTATAAATCAATCAATTGTTTACCATTCAATTATCCAACTACTCATGATAACATGAGCATGATGATGATGATCGGTTATAATATGAAAACCCTGGAAGCAATGAGTAAAGAATAGGAAATGGAAGAGAAAAGATAACATTAAAGAGATGAAAATGGCCAAAATGTTCAATATCATTTTATCATCTCTTTACCTGAGCTTCATGTTTATCTGTTTCCTGATCCTTTCTCTGGACTTTCTATACATTCTGCCTCATTTATCATCCTAATCTGTCATCTGCGATGGTGATATTGATGATGATTATTATTGCTATTAGTATTGTGAAGAGAAAATGAAAAGAATCTCAAAAAATGCTTATTTTTTATATCAAAACCAATTCTCTTGTCTCTTCCTTTTTACCTGTTTTTATTGTATTTTTTGTAACATTTGTTTCTTCAAACTGAAGTTCACCTTAATATCTTTGATTTGGGGAAACATTTATCATGATGGTTGAACATTATTGTTTCAAGAAAATTTGTATTTTCTTGTTTCTCACTGCTCCAGTGATTTACTTGATTCTTGCAGGTAAATATTTCCATTGTTAATTGAAGAGCAATCTTGTATCTTGAAAAGACTGGTTAAGGTTAAATCGGGTAAAAGTAGCTTGTTGTTACTCTCATGACTTGAATGTAGATTGAATACATTCAAATTGAATGAAGCAAATTATGATTCTAGATCCTGAGGGATTCTGGCCGTAGATCCATTAGTTTGCTTGCAAATTATAAATGAAGTTTATTGAAGCTGCCTCATTCAATCATCCTTTATAAATGAAGTTTTAGGTGATCAACCAGTAAGATGAAAAGCTTTAAATTTTGGATTATTCTCTGGGTTCCCATTATAAGTATACCAATTTATTACCAGAAATATTGAGGTTTCGCTTTGAGTTAACCTTTAAGTTTAAATTTTCATTTCATTCTTCAGTCAATCTGTAAGTTAATCGATAATGAAATTGAGTTTGGATCCTGTCATTGAAATGAAATCTTCTTTTGCTTGACCTTATTAATGTTACTTGTGTTGCCATTATAATGGATGATGGTCAATGCAAAAAAATGTAATCCTTTCCATGTTAAACACTATCAAGAGATATCTGTTGAATTAAATAAACGAGATGAATCAGTTAAGTGACTGTGAGTGATGATACTAATTTAATCTTGACTACTAACTTCAATGTATTACTTGGTGGACACAACCATATTAAATAGCCACTTGATATACTCAATTCATCATTTGCCTGATCCCATTATTGTAACAAAGGAAGAGAAGCAAAAGGAAGAAAAGTAGATGAAGATGAAGGCAAAAAATGATAGACTTGATAACATGAAATAATGCATGAAAATCAATAGCTTTATCTAGTTTCCAAATCTCTGAGTTTCAGATAGATTTACTCTTCATTCAATCTATTTATCCACTGTCATCATCATCCAAGTCCTGATAATTAGATTTTTAGTTTAATCAAAAGAAACTATTTTCTTGTCAGTTGTGGTTCAGCTGGTTAGAGGCTTACATCTAATCGGAGGTTTACATGAACAGTATAACAGGCGATGGTGTTTAAAACACGACATTACCGACAGTCTTTTGTTTTTTCAATTACAATTTTGTATTTCTGGTTTCGTTTTGTCATTTGTTTTGTTTCTTTTGATACATTGTCCATTGTATTTCAACTCTTTGTCTCTGTGGCTTTGGCTCTCGCGATTCCTTTAGGTGATCAAATTTGTGCTTTTATGGTCATAAGCTTTTCATAATTGTCTCAATTTGGGATTCAATTAGATGATTCCGATTTGATGAATAATGAATACTTAGTCTTTGGCTTTTTAACTCAACTTTTAAACATTGAAGTAGTCGTTAGAAGCTGTTAATTATATTGAATCACACAATTGATGATTTAATTTCATCCTTGGTTGATACTGTGTATTGAAAAACACACATTGACACCGTTTCTCGTTTCTTCCTTTTTCTTCATTTCTATCCTAAATTAAGCTTCCATGATAATTATCTTCTAACATGCAATTTTTTCTCATTTCATTTCAATTTTCACATTATTAATTCAACTGTTATTCAATTGATGAATTATACTGATCATGTAAATTTAACAAGTGATAATTATATTATTAGCAAATAAAGCATGAAGTCGACAACTTGTTAGCAGTTGATTTTGATAGCCAATAAAACTCGAAAACCAATATCTTGAAGCCGAAACATTTGCATTCGAACTCGAACACCAACTCGTGGCTAATTTATAAGAAGATATTATAAGAAGATTCTATTCTTAAATTATCGTCTAGTGCCGCAATTTTTATCTAAATCTCGTGAGCAAAATATGATATTGATTAGATGAAATCCAAAAAATAGGGTAAACTGACTAGTAAGAAATTTTTCTGTTAAATCCACATTCTATGTAAAAGTTCATACTATTAATAATTCATAACTGTAATCCATTTTTCAAAATAATGTTTCGTTTTTGAGGTGTCGGTAAATACATTAGAAATGCACGGGAACAAGTATAACAAGTATGACTTTGAACGTTCGAGCTGTTTCTCCAATTTACGAAATGTCGGAATAGGTTGATGTTATAGCATATGTAACTTTTGCTCTCGGCAAAAAATAATTTATACGAGCTAGAACGCTATTCCCATTTCAAGTTATACAAATTCAACCTTTATTAGGATTGCCATTTTAAAATTTTCTTACATCTTATAATCAGCTATTATAATTTTCATCATAATTGAGTCATCATCAAATACTATTGGATTGACCAGAAAGTTCAGTTAAAAATTCAGATACAATTCTAATAACAAAATTAGCAAACAGGTTACAGATTTGCATAAGCGTGAAAGTATGTGATGAAAAATGGTTCAGATAGGCCAAAGCTTATTCACAAAATTTAACCTCAGACTAAGGCTAAGAATACTCCTAACAAGTTGTCGACTTCATAATTCATCAATTGAATAACAGTTGAATTAATAATGTGAAAATTGAAATGAAATGAGAAAAAATTGCATGTTAGAAGATAATTATCATGGAAGCTAAATTTAGGATAGAAATGAAGAAAAAGGAAGAAACGAGAAACGGTGTCAATGTGTGTTTTTCAATACACAGTATCAACCAAGGATGAAATTAAATCATCAATTGTGTGATTCAATATAATTAACAGCTTCTAACGACTGCATCAATGTTTAAAAGTTGAGTTAAAAAGCCAAAGACTAAGTATTTATTATTCATCAAATCGGAATCATCTAATTGAACCCCAAATTGAGACAATTGAGAAAAGCTTAGGACCATAAAAGCACAAATTTGATCACCTGAAGGAATCGCGAGAGCCAAAGCCTCAGAGACAAAGAGTTGAAATACAATGGACAATGTATCAAAATAAGCAAAACAAATGACAAAATGAAACTTGAAATATAATAGTTTAAAATAAAAACTGTTGATGTGTTTTTAGCCACCATCTAAAAATTGCATCTTCAATCACCTAATGGTGTGTCACGATGAAACGAGTCTTTAATCGAAAGTAGTTTTATTGTGGAAATGACGGTCAAGTTAAGCATTAATCCAAGCAAAATGGATATACTAAACTAAATATCTAATTAACATGGCTTGGATGATGATTGGATTGGATAAATATTAAAACTTTAATGCAAAGCAAATCTATCTCAAACTCCAAAATTTGAAAACTAGATAAAGCTATTGATTTTCGTGCATTATTTGATGTCATCGTGTCTATCATTTTTGCCTTCATCTACATCTACTGACTATCTCTTGGTTTTCTCAATTTTACTACTATGCAACGAAATTAAGTCAAAATTAGAAAACAATTTTCCCTTACGAAGTTCTAATTATTTTCGTTATTGATTTACAACAGATATAACCGTCTACTTATTAAACCAGTGACTATGCCACATCTATTTTACATGTGACTCGACCAACTAATTGCAGTACAATTAACCCTTAATTTTAGAGAGTCGTGACTTAGCAATCATGAAGGTCACCATTTAAGTAAGTCGCTGTGCGCCTGAATTCGGTATCAAGAAATTATCCAACATTTATTAGGGGTATCAAAAAGTTCTGTCGTTTTTTTCTCTATTATTTAGCTTCAATTTTGAATTAGTTTTGATTATTCAATCGACTCGATAATTTTAGGTATACAAGAACATTAATATAAGTGCATGCATGCCATTTTTTGGCGCAATCGGAGTTAATTAACTATAATTAATTAGCTAATCAAGATGGGCTAGTTCAAGATGCAATTTTAAGGTTCCAGAACTTATTGATTTTTTTTATGAAAAAATTGAAATTCAAATCAAAAATTAACATTAATCGAAAGCTCGAGGTCCACATAATCACTCGACAAAATTTGGAACTTCTAATCATTATCATTAGCAAATTATCTAAATATAAGTAAAAATTTGTTTAACATTGAATTTCCATAGAAAGTTTTTTTTGGACTTTTTTTTGAAATTTCAGTGAAATCCCATTGAAAAATCCCATAGAAAATGGTCAAAAAAACTCATTTTTTGAGCTACGAATTTGAATAATTTAATAATGATAATGATTAGAAGTTTCAAATTTTACTGAGTGATTATGTTGACCTTAAGCTTTCGATTGATGTTAATTTTTGATTTTAATTTTGCTTTTTTCATAAAAAAATCAATAAATTCTGGGACCTTAAAATTGCTTCTTTATCTAGTAGTGTATTGGGCAGCTAATTTATTAAAGTTAATCAACTCCGATCGAGTCAAAATTTGGCCTAAATACACGTATATTAATGTTCTTGTGTACCTAAAATTATTGAGTCAATTGAATAAACCTAACTCGTTCAAAAGCGAAGCAAAAGTCACTGGTAAAAAAAACGACAGAACTTTTTGATACCCCTAATACATTGTTAGTTCAAAAACTCGAGCTGAATTCACAGTTAACCTACACGCATAACCTGCCATCTCTTATCATTAAAAGAATATGAAATTTCTGGTTGAAAAGTAAATAAACTAATTTTTACTCAACTTGTGTAAACAGTATTGAAATACACTTAACTCTTCATGTAACATTGATTTTGTTGAATTTATTTATTTTTACAAACCTTTTAAACTTTACAAAATAAGGATTTTTTGCTAGTTTACTAATTGAGCTTTCAAGTGAAACAATAAGTTTGAGTACTGTGCTCCATTAAGTGAAATTTTCAGTGTAATCAACTCAATATTGCATTAGACTTCAACTGTCAAAAAACTCCAAGTTCCTATTGAAATTAAAATTTGAATAACTTCTTTCGCACAAATGCAAAATCTTGGAAATTTTCATCATTTAAATTGATTGATCAGATTGAGCTAATTTCATTTATCGGCACAAAAGCTTCACAATTGATACAGATTTCAATTTGAGAGGCTATATAAAGCGATTGCCATTGAAATTTACATTCGAATGACGGGGATGATTTGACTAAAGTTTAAAAATTGCTATAGCTTTATCAAAATTCATGCTCCTAAGATTCTAGGACCAGTAAAGATCATAGAGTCTCTTGTATAATGTAAATGCCAAACATTTGAACCTTCAAAATTGATTTCTTGTAATGCAACTTGTAAATTAACCGTTAGATGGTGACACAAATACCTGAATTTAATCTCATCTTTTTTTGAATCTTCCTGAATCCAATATTATAATACAATACAATAATAAATTGATATAAACTTTTCTTATGTTTCGTAGTTCCAACAATATTTGAATACTCATTAGGCTCTGTGGAATAATCAAACATACAAGTTGTCACCATTTCTTTGTGTTCAAAGTAAATAAAGCAACCATAATATAAAAAACAACCAGTAAAGTAATAAAAAAATTACTGAGCAAACCACGTCAAACCAATCAGTATCTAATAGATGCTTTCAAATTGCAGGTCCTTTCAACAAATCAATCTAATGTACCTTGACGGTCACTTACACAATATGGAGCCTGGAAGCTATCCAAAGTCTATCCTAAAACTGAATATATCAAGTATTTTCCATTCGGATACTCGTAACTCTTTAATGAGGTGAAATAGGGATAAAGCTTGGAGTATGTTTTGGTGGATTCAGGATCTTTTAGGTAATTGTTAACAGTTTGTGAAATAATTTTATTATTGGATTTTCCTTATTTACAAGCAGCTGCTAAATTGGTTTAAAATTGCCATCTTTTCAACACCAAATATTTATTGTGCGATTAAATAAACTTTGAATGATTCCTGTTGATAAATATTTTACATTTTGCTCTAACGTCCATACTATTATCAATATAAGTGCATGTATGAATTGTTAATTTTTAATGCAGTTTGAAATGCTTGACAGCAAGTGTTGGCAAGTTAATTTTGTATTACAATCAGTCCAGCTTTTGGCTGTTGATGTTCAAGCATACTATAGTAAAGTTGGGCAACTAAAATCAATTCACTGGTCAACTTGGCCAATCCTAATAACCTTGATTTACATGATATGAAAGCCTAAAATTAGACCTTTGTGCTTAACCAACAGCAACAGACTCCAATGGTTCATTTTAATTGTTTTCAAACATAACCAAGGACAAAAGCCAATGATATTGATGATAATGTTAACAAAGTGATGATGATATATGATCCCATATAATCACTAGCCTCAAGTCATTAATTAAAGGTTGACTGTATTTATTTATCATCTCTCTCTTTTTTTGAGAGTTTACCTTTTTTTGTACGATCACTTCTTTGAACATTGTTCACTTGACAAACATTAACCATAAATCGTATTACAAGCATTACGCCAAGAGTTACATTGAAGACTATCATCTTTGTAATCATGTTGAAGTTTTGAATGAGAGAGAAAAAAAACACCAAAATTCTGTACCAATTGGACCAGAAAGAAATGAATTATAACAAGACATTGCAAGGTAAAAAAGCAGGTTAATAAGAGTTAGTTATACAGAGAGGATGATTTAAATACATAAAATTAATGGTAGACAAGTGGAAAAAATCCTAAGGCAGATTAACATGGATTTAAATTATAAATCTGTAATCTAATTAATTATTTCAACAGCAACATGATGATGAAAAGCTAGCTTGAAGCAAAGCTCGATGAAAAGGGAATGGAAATATGTTATAAATAGATTGATTTTAGTGTATTAAATTGAACAGGAAAATGGTACATTAATCAATGTTTGATGTACCATTTGAGTTTTCAATTTTCAACCCAATCAGACTTGGAGTAAAGATGAATCGTCCATTATAATGATGATAATTTTGCAAGATGAATCTCATTAAGTTGACAACTAAACTGCTATAATGATTACAATTGGTTGACCAACATTAGTTTTGACAAAGTCCGAGAAGCTGGTAAGTAACCTGCAATTCAAATGGAAATATTACATTAAATAATGAATCATTAATAACAATAATATCAAGATAATCATCATGAATCATAGCAAGATTAAACATACATACACACATTTATATAGCAGGAAAAGTTGATTAATGAGTGTACTCATTATTGATAGGGTTACCTTCATAATACATGATGATTAAAGATGAAGACGATGAGAGGCAAAAACGAGGTTAATACACAAGGTTTTCCATCATCTTAGTCAATCTTGAGCCAAACACAAAAGCATCTTCCTTTATGGCAGGCAAAGAAGAAGAAAAAAATGATATCAAAATAATGATGATACTGGAAATCAGAATATTCATTATCAAGATAATAATGTTAATAATGTAAGATTGGCAAGTCTAGGATGAAAAGAGAAGATAAATCACAATTAATCTGTTATCAATGAGTTTAATGTTCCTATTTTTGGAAACAACTTTCTTACTCTTTATTTTTCTTCATCAGTCATTCTGGTTCAAAGGATTCCAGGTTATTAAGTTGACGAAACATTCAAGGTGAGTAAAATTGAATGAAACTACAATTTCCGGTTGCAAAGCATTCACCAGTTAATCATTTGATTTAGTTATGGGTGACAATGAGAGCTGAAAATATCCATTCAAGTTACCATTTGTAATTATATGTTGATTTGATTCTGCCATTTCATTTCATCCCATTTTTATGACCATTTTATCATTACCAATATTGATTGTTACACTTAACTGCCATTGTTTTGTGCAACCTTCATCCACATTATGTTTAGAAACATCAATTTATCATCCAACAGCTACAGAATTGTTTGATTTCTCTTCTTCTTCTTTGCTCAATTTTTAACCCAATCCATCTGATCAGTCTTTTTGCTTTCTCTTCCTCTGTGTTTATTATTATTGTAAAACAATCAGTTTTACAAATAATTATATAAACGTTGAATCCATTGTAGATACAGGTGCAGCTTTTCAACGTTGATTATGGCATTGAAAATTCAATTCAACCCTTTGACTTGTCTTCAATTTTAAAATTCAATTCAATCAGTGAATAACAAAAGGATGTGTTCTCGGTTCTGTTCTTTGTGTTACCAGGCTCATCATGTTATTGACTACTTCAGAATCATCATTCCAAGAGCAAGATTAATTTTAACTAGTAACAAAATAGCTTTTCCATTTTAATTGAAACCATGATAAAGTTAATTTGAGTACGATATCGAATGCTGAAGCGTAGGTGAGTCCAGGAAATTGTTTTCAATCTCGTTTACTTTTACCATTTCATTCAGGTTAAGCTCAATTGGATAAGTTGAAGCTTTTTTTATTAAAAGGTTTAGCCTTGCTTGCAAATTGATTGGATCCAAGTTCCGGATCTTCTTGAAAAAAAAGTCAACGAAAAGTTAAAGAACATACTTTAACCCATTAGAATGACTGTCAAAGAGATTCTTTCAGATTTTCAAGATTTTCTTGGATTCGTTTTTTTATATCCTTCTTATTCTTTATCTTCATCCTCTTCACCTTCTCCTTTGCTTCCTTTGCAAGATTCTGAAGGGTTCTTTGTAAGTCCGTTTATCTGTTTTTTTCCTTTACAATATGTTTCAATTTTGACATTTCTCTTGAACTTTTTTATACCAATTCTGGGTCCATTTTTTTTGCTTCTTTGATCACAAATTAGGCACCGAGTTGATTTTCATTGCAGGTTTTTGGTTTCAAATTTTTATGCACTTTTTCACGACTCTTAATGGTCAGAGCTATTTTTACTTAAATTGGATCCACAATTCAATTCCAAACTGATAATAGACATTTGATTTCCTTCTTTTTTCATCGTTCACTCTTTTCGATATCATTATAACTTGATCAATCAACTGGATATGACAAAAAATGGAAAAAAATAGAAAAAACTTCTTGAAATTTTCTGAATTTAGTGTTTTAGATCAATCATCTAGTCATAATCATCGGGGAATCTCTATTCATTTGACAAAATCATGGAGTTGTTGAGTATTTGGGAAATTGATGAATTGAATCTTATAATTAAATACTCACGTCAGCCTTAAGATGTCCTACAAGTCAAGTATACACAAGTGTATTTAAGTTTCAAGTGTGACACCTTTTAATTTCAAAGGAAATGTTTTGTTTGTTGTTGGTGATTAATTGTTTCCAATTTTGATAAATTGATTGTATCTAGAAATAAAATGATAAATAGTCGTTAAAAATCTGTTTTATATTTCATTTGGAAATTGAATTGTGAGGAGCATCTACATGTTATTGAAATGGCAAGCTAAATATTTTTCATGAATCTTATAAAACAAAAGAGTAGAATTAGATTTTCAGAACTAATAACTCCTTGTATTTCCCACTAATCCATTTAGTCGTCCAATCACAATAATATAAACTATTAATAATATCTATTTATGTATTATATCGAGTATTTAATAAGTATGAAGCTGATGTTTTCAGTTGAGCTGAAAAAAACTATTAGTTCTGGTTTAAGAGCTGGTTACAAAAGACTTCTAGTTCAGTGATCAATTTTGTCTGATAATTTGATGCTCGATTGAATCTATGATCAACAGCTAAATAATATATCGGATTATAGATTTGATTAGTCAAATCAAGGGCAGTCAAATAAAAGTTTAACTGGCCAGAGCTGTAGATGAACACTTACCTTATTAATGTCTGATCTGGATAGCAAAAGGATACCAATCAAAGATTAAGCCAAATATTATCTCCAAGCCATCAGATTAAATGGGATTTGTAAGATTCATGGTGATTTATGGATTCCATTCCTGAAGACTCGAAGAATAATCATGAAGTATCAAATCGACAATTGTTAAAATCAACTTTTTTTCACCAGGTTGAGATGGACGAAACACAGGGACGCAATAAAGCTCTTGACTTTCAACAATGTTTTGATTTATTGATGGGAAACGTTATTTTTGTCAACCAAAATTTCCGGTACACTTGCAATTAAACCAACATCATTTTATACAATGGTTTCAACTGTTTATCAGAATCCATCTATCATCAATTGGAACTTTCTGGGAAGATGAAAAACCTGCACTGAATGAAAAATTAGTTAAATAAGAAAAAAATATTAGATTATTTATTCAAAATAGAATGCAAGATGAAAAATAAGAACCAAGAGGTAAAAATATATTATTGAAATGAGAATCAAACTATTGATACCTTGCGAAAAAGCAACTCATTGAAATATATTATTTGACTTTTTATCAGTTTCTTTTAACATCTTTTTCCTTTCAAATTTCTTATTTCTATTCATCGTATTCTAATGAAACATGAGCAACACTCGTCTCTTACCAAATCATCCGTTGAATGGTAATGAAATATTCATGTTTGATGATAATAACCGGAAAAAAGTGAAACATCAGCTTCAACTCGTAGGATAAATTTTTTCAATTGCAAAGAAGGCAAGGTTCACCAACGACTGATCGATAAAATTAAAGTTGTCTTTTCAAAGAAAGCTAATAAATCCATCAGCTTTTAATAAACTGAATTTATCTATTCATTAAAAAAGAAGATGAAATGAGTTTAAATAAAATTTTGGAAAGTTGATTGAAAAAAGATGACAAAGATAAACAGGTAAAAGAAATGAAGGAAATGAAACAAAGGAGAGAAAAAGCATCTTTTGTTGATTTCTTTTGATGTTTTTTTTCTGTAGTCTACTTCTACCTTTTCAACTCCAAGGAATTCCAATCTGAATTGTCTCGGAAATCAACAAACTGAATCTGAAACTTCGAAGAGAAATCGAGAAGAACAGCGATGAAACTGCAGTCTGGAGCAGGAAAAAAAGTTATATTTGCCAATCTAATTCCTGGTACAAAATAATGGTGATACATTGTTACAAAAATTAGCCAAACTACAAAGTCAGAAAGTCAGATATTAAGATTTAATTCGAAGTAATGCATCGAAATGAACCAGCGGGGCTAATTGTGATGAAACTCTTGGTGATTTTCGAGACGAAAGTGGTGGTGATGGTTGAGGCGAGGCTGTGAGTGAGGGTTGAATCGAGTCTCTAAGTGACTTTCGAGACGAAAGTCGTGGTGATGGCTCAGGCGAAACTTGTGGTGAACCCGTGGATGATTTCTGGGGTGAGTTCTCAGGGGAAACTGGAGATGGGTAAGGTGAAGGGAAGGGAGAAGAAACTGGAGAATTTGGCATCCTCTCGATGATAGTTTTTGATAAAATTGGTGATCTCCTGGCGAACAGCTGTTGAATGGAACAATATGAAAATTCCGAAAATAGTGAGCATGTGGATAACAATGGAAAACAATTGTTAACTTTTGATTGCTTGGTAAAACAAGTTCTACTGCTGCTGATTGAATTGTTAAAAAGTTTCGTTCTTATGATCCGATGGTCAAACTCGAAATCAAGAAGATATGTCTTGAAAACCTGGTAAATTTGAATTGAATCGTGGTGATGATATTGGTAATGAATGAAATGATTTTAAATAAAATTTTGGAAAGTTGATTGAGAAAAATGATTAGAAAAAGGTGCAATAAATGAAGGGAATGAAACAAAAGGAGAAAAAAATCATCTTCTGTTAACTCCTCATGATATATTTTCGTCTCATCGACTTCTCTTACCTTTTCAACTCCAAGGAATTCCAATCTGAATTGAAAAAACCATAGCGCATAATATTACTAGGATTTATTCATGTAAGGCTGGTTCATTATTGATCCATGATCATGTATACAGTCAACTGATAATAGTGATAATAATGATGACGATAAGTTAAAGACGAGAACAAGCAAAAAATAGTGAAATGAGGGGAAAAAAGTGAAGACCGTTGAGGATCAAAAAAGGTGAATAAATGATAATGTGAGTGAGTGATGATTATGGTAATGAGAGTTTGAAGCTATGACTATTAAATGAATAAGTAAGCAAAAAAAACTCACGCCATCAACCAGAATTGACCATCAGTAAGCTCCATCACCGAGTATCATTGGCCAAGTTTACGGAACACTGAATCTGTAACCAAAGGGAGATGAAAAAAGGGGAAGAATTAGAGCTAAATATGGAAGAATCAAGGATAGAATTAAATCAAGTGTAGAGAATGATGAGAGGAAAAGGTAAATAAAATAGAATACAATACACATTCCCTTATTCCAACATCTCCCTTCTCAATTTGGTTTAATAGTTTCAGTTTATAAAGTGTATAAATGTAACTTACAAGAGCATTATGATGATTAACGTGGATATGATGATAATGATAAGAACAAGGTATCCGTGAAATCTTTTAAGACTTTTGCTTTAATCACAAAATAAACTCGAATGGTTGGTGTTGATCTCCTGTTGATCTAATTATTGATGTTGAAGTTGATATCATTACCAAACGATTCACACTCCTTAGAACGATCACCGATTTCTTGGGTAATCTTCTGTTTCCTTCAGATCTTTTCTCATTTTCTGGTGACGCCTTTGTTTCCAAGCTGTAGCTTCACGTGATGATAGATATTCAAAGAATAACTCTTTGTAGACATGTAATGATGATTAAAAAGGCCAACCAAAAAGTGAAAACCGGACACTTCAATCAGCAATTGGTGTTATCTGTAAACAGAATCAAATATAAAAATGAATTCTTTTATATAAAAAAAGAGAGAAAGTAAAACAATAAATTATATCAAGATGGCAGCCATAAAAATTGTCGAGACAAAATGAGTCTTTGTTAACATGAGAAAAATTGATTTAGGAGGGAAAACTATTAGTCAACCAAAGTGTGGAAACAAAAATACACAAAATAACCTTTTGTTCACACTTTTTGTTTTCCCTTTGTTATGTCATTGGTTTATAACGATTATCATAAGATTATAATCAGATTATCGTTCTTAATCTTCAACAAAAAATCAATTTGTACTTTTGAGTTGTCACCAAGCTTTCTTCTTCTGTACCAACCTTTTGGTGAGATTTTTGTTCCACTGACAAGCCAACAAACCAGACGATTATTTGTTCCATCAGGTTTATTAGTATTAAGAGTGTTAAACAAGTAAAAAACTCTATACAATTAATCAATCTTTCCTTTGATTGTTTCACTGATGTGATGTGATAAAAAAATACCTAGTGTCTATCAGCACTTAATTAATGGTGTCTGTGTTTTATGCAAATGGATAACGTTACCATCAAGGAAATTGGTAAACATGAGTGAAAATTGACATCATTACCAGCATTACTTTCATCATGATGATCACCATGATTAGAAAAATCAACAAAGTCAATCGAGTCTGGTTACTTATTCAAGTGTTAATTGATATGAGAACAAAAGAGTGGAACAAGAAATTATCTTTTCTGTCGATTAAAATTTTGATTGTAGTTATGGGAGGAAAGGAAGGCGAGAAAACAACAAAAAAAAAGAGAAACGAGAAACAACAAAAAAAGCCAAAACAATGGAATATGTAAACAATGAGATCGATCATTTGAATGTAAAAAAAGGGTTACAAATGTTCACTATCATCATCATAATAATCATTCTCATCAGCATCACTTTAATACAATAAAATTCAGTTATCATCTTCAACCGGATTAATGAGATTCAAGGAACAAGAAGAAGAGAGAAGAAGAGAAAAATTAAAAGAATTTGTTTCATCACACAGATTGATGAATCAAATTGAGAGATAAAAACGGAAGAGAGAAAGAGAAAGAGAAAGAGAGTCAGAAGATGAAAGAGATTTCTTGTGAATAATAAGAGACTGAAAAAGTAAAGAGGAAGAAATGTAGACAGAGATAGACAGAGATTCAGAGAAGGTGAGAAATGAATAATAAGTTGAGATCGCGCAGAGACTGAGATGAGGATAGATGAGTGAGTAAGTGGGACGATGAAATGATAGTGATGCAGAAAGAAACAGGGAGAAAGAAAAATAGAGAGAAGGAGAGATGACGATAAATTTTAGTGAGGCCTTAGGCTGAGTGAAGTTGAAATCTTCTCTCTTCCTTGTCATTCATTCAACTGTTTGTTGGTGAAGTTGTTTTCTTCTTTTTAGTTGCTTTTACAGATTTTTTAGTTCTTTTTTTTATTTATATTAACATCACCATCATCACCATCACCATAACCATCGTCAACATCATCATCATCATCATAATCATCAGCAACAGCAACAACATCAACAGTAACAAAACCAACGATCACAATAACAAAATCATCATTAACATCTTTTCGACGTTTTTTTTCTCTCTCTCCAAACTTTAACAGTGTGTTTCTCTGCCTTATTCCCAGTTTCTGTTCCTCTGTTTTTTTCCCTTGTGTTATCATTCTTAAATTTGGTAATTTCTCAGTTCCTTTGCTTATTTTTTTCTCTCCTCAGTTCATCATTTTGACGTATACACCATATATTCAGCTTCTGCTTTTTTCTGCCTCTTAAACTGTTGCTTGAAAGTTTGTGGTTTGATTCACATGTCAAACGGTTTTCCTCTTTTTACCACCTTACCAGCTATCTTTGAACATCAGTCATAAAACCCTTTGCTTCATTTTCTCCTTTTTTTCAAATAAACCGTTCTGTCATCCAATTTAACAGCAAATTTTTAACCGAACACACACATTTATTCTGCCTTTGACACCATTACCATCAACAATATCAACATTTTTAATCACTGTTTCTGAGAAAAAAATGTTTCTGTGCTAAAGTGAAAATCACGCTAAAAGATCATTCTTACTCAACTCTGCGATAATATTGATTATCAAATTGCATAAGCTTTTTATTGAATGATCAGTAATCAGTGATTCCATACATGCTTCCCTTTTTTTCTGCCAGTTTAATACATCTTGTTTTATCATTAAAACCATCAACGAAAGATACAACAAATTGATATTTTTCAAAACCTACCAATTGTCTAGCCTGATTAGCAATAGATGGCTCTAATTTTAATCAATTGAGTGAAGCCACTTGATTCTCTCATTCAAACTGTTCAATTGGATCAACAAGTATCATCAATATTACAAGTTTTTAATCATTTTTACACAATAAACATGCTTTCCAGTGGATTACAACCGGTGGTTCGTAAAGGTGCCCTAAAAAAGAAAAATGTTGTTGATGTGAAAGGTCACAAATTTGTACCGCGATTTTTTAAACAGCCAACATTTTGTTGCCATTGTAAAGAGTTTATCTGGGGAATTGGTAAACAAGGTTTCCAATGTCAAATATGTGCACTGGTTGTTCATAAAAGGTGCCATTCTTTTGTATCCTTCAGCTGTCCTGGTGCTGATAACAAGTTTGATACAGATGAACGTCGTCAACACAAATTTAGCGTTCACACATATACAAGTCCAACATTTTGTGACCAATGTGGATCACTCTTGTATGGCATAATTCATCAAGGACTACGATGTACAGCCTGTGATATGAATGTTCACAAACGATGCAAGATAAATGTTCCCAACCTGTGTGGATGTGATCATACAGAAAGACGAGGTCGAATTGAGCTAAAAGTTTACTGTGTACCAAAGACGAGTTTACCTGCTGAATCTAGATTCCCTACAAGCCATAATTCATCAATCATCTCAATAGCCTCGTCAGCCTCAACCCAATCATCAGCTTCAACAGGATCATCGTCTTCAACAGCACCACTTTTACCCAAGCCCGCTGTAACCATTACTACAACAAACTCAACTCCAGTTGTAACCACTTCTACCCCGATAACAACCACAACAAGCACTACAACACTGTCAACAACTTCTACTACGTCAACGATAAGTACCAGCAGTTCAACAACAACAACAACAACATCATCATTAACATCATCCTCTTCAGGCACGATTTCCTCTTCTAACAATTCTTCTTTAAGCGCCACTTTTAATGGTATCAATTATGATATTGATGCATTAACCTTAGTCTGTGAAATAAGCCAAGCCGCTAACCTGATTCCAATGGACCCTAATGGCCTGTCTGACCCTTACGTTAAATGTAAACTGATCCCAGAAGGAAAAGATGGAGTAAAAAGAAAGACTCGCACCATCAAAGGTTCCCTCAATCCTTTATGGAATGAAAAGTTATATTTTGATTTGAAAAAAGATGATAAAGATCGCCGTTTATATATTGGTGTATGGGACTGGGATCGTACCTCGCGAAATGATTTCATAGGCTCTCTGTCTTTTGGTATTTCCGAAATAATCAAAAAACCTGTTGAAGGCTGGTTCAAATTATTAACCGAGGAAGAAGGGGAATTTTACAATGTAATGATTCCTCCAGCTGATCAAGAATTAGTTGAAAGTTATAATCGAGCTTTAAACTTAAACAAACGTCATCCTTCTACAACCAATATATCAGCAGAAGGCTTGTCAACCTTAAAAAATTTAACAACAACCAGTGTTGATGGTAAAAAACCAATTAGTGCCAATGATTTTAACTTCCTTATGGTTCTAGGTAAAGGCTCCTTTGGTAAAGTAATGTTAGCTGAAAAGAAAGAATCTCCCGATGAATTGTATGCCATCAAGATTTTGAAAAAAGATGTACTCATTCAAGACGATGATGCTGAGTGTGCACTTATCGAGAAACGTGTTCTTGCTTTAGGTGAGAAACCACCATTCCTGGTTAAATTACATTCCTGTTTTCAAACGCTTGATCGCCTCTATTTTGTCATGGAATATGTTAATGGTGGTGATTTAATGTTTCAAATACAACAATGTGGTAAATTTAAAGAACCTGTTGCCGTTTTTTATGCTGCTGAAATAGCCATTGGATTATTTTTCCTTCATGAACGAGGTATTATCTATCGAGATCTTAAATTGGATAATATACTGCTTGATGCTGAGGGTCACATCAAGATTGCCGATTTTGGTATGTGCAAAGATGGAATTGATGAAAAAAAGACTACTCGAACTTTTTGTGGTACACCAGATTATATTGCACCAGAGATTATTTTATATCAACCTTACGGTAAATCAGTTGATTGGTGGGCATATGGTGTTTTATTATATGAAATGTTGGTTGGTCAACCACCCTTTGACGGAGAAGATGAAGAAGATTTGTTTACTTCAATCACCGAGCAAAGTGTCTCCTATCCAAAGTCAATCTCAAAGGAAGCCAAAGAAGCGTGTAAAGGTTTTCTCACCAAAAATCCAACCAAAAGACTTGGATGTAGCTCCAATGGAGAGTTTGAAGTTCGTGGTCATCCATTTTTCCGTCGTATTGACTGGGCTAAAGTTGAAGCTCGAGAAATTCAACCTCCTTTTATACCTAAAGTGCGCAATCCGCGAGCAGCGGAAAACTTTGATCCCATCTTTACAAATGCAAAGCCTACTTTAACACCTTCTGATCCTTCAATCATTAACATTATGAGTGGAAATGAATTTGAAGGTTTTACCTTTGTTAATCCTGAATTTACACCAATTGTGCGTTGATGCGTTTAATTAAAGCAAACTGAAACTTGCAATATATATTATAAAGAAATGAATTTTCAATAAACATCCAAAGGATGTCTGCAAATATCAAGAGGACACTGGAAAGGGTTAAAATAGTGATGATGCCTGTTAATGGATGGTGATGAGGAATGAAGCCAAATGATGTTATTATCAAATTGATTGAATATGTATAGACACTCAACATTCTCACACACTTTGAACACTTCACCAAAAAAAAGCAAACGGAAAATACTTACTCACAGAAGCACAATTAAAAGGCCAAATAATGTTACGTCTTGGTAATTTATGTATATTTATTGACATTATTGCTATTACTATATCATTATTTTATACACCATCAGACATGGAAATACTTACAATGCACTTATGAAAGGAAAAAGATGACACAAGTTAAAAAAAGCTGGTTAAAGAAGGACAAGCAAAATGATAAAGACATGAAGAATGAACAAATATATAATATAATATAATATATATAAATATATACTCATCTAAAAGACAATATGAATATACAGCAAATTATGTGTCCATGATGTTTGAGGAGCAATTTGTTGACACATTTCAAATTTACTCATATAATTAATTACATAATTATGCATACATTATGCTGATAATAATACACAACTATACATTTATAAATACTATCATTATAATTGTTTACGCAAACAGTCACTTCCACCTAAACATGTAATGATATTATTAATAACTGTTCTTGTTTTATTTCCTTTCCTCTTTTGTTTTCACCAGTTACACCATTGTTCACTGTAAATCCCAATCCACCTTCTTGCATCTCTAATTATTAACGTCATTTTTCCCTTTCCATTAACCTGATCACATCATGATGTTGATCAAATTTCTTGTTATTGTTATTATTTTAAGATCTGAATCTTTATTTAATCATCAAACAAACCAAATGAAATCTCACTCGGTACTGACAGCACCAATGATGGACCAAACCTCATCACCAATTCACAAAATTTAAACCTTGTTGCTATAAAATTGTTTTTTTTCAATTGTAAAACCTGTTATATTGGGTTCAGATGAAACTCACGACGATTATTTTGTTGATCACAAGTGATGTTATCATTCTAACCGTGAAAAGACTTGAATCAAGCAGCCATTAAAAGACTGCTAAATGCTAATGCGAACAATTTAAAGATGATTGTAACAATCGGAAAAGAAGAGCAGGAAATGAATTTTGAATTTCAAACCAAACGCATAACAAAATTTGATAAATTTCATTTTTGATTGTAAATAAAAGTAAAAGCATAAAGTCAAAACTAACTTTCTTAATAATAAATGAATTAAAAATGCAAATTTCAATCCAAGACTATTTTACGATATTTAAGTAAAGGTTAACGTCAATTGTTACCACCTTTATGAGATTACCAATTAGATGAATAGCAATAAAGATTGTGACATTGAAAAAAAGCTTGAATCAACATTTCAATATAAATATTTGATCAGATTGACCATTAAATTTGCTTAAATTATCCAATGATTACGACAATTTCCGTCAATTATCAAGCCACAATTAACAAGACAAAGTCACCTAAATGTCAGAGGAAAGTCAACAATAAAATATCGATTTATCCAGATTTAAAGACATTTCCTATTCTTAATTCATTTTACAATGAAAATGGACAGCTTAACCATAGTCAATGTTTGATTGAAATAAACTCAGTTGCAAAATTATAGATACACTTGTTTTTTGAAAAACTTCATTTACTCGAAAATTTCGATGGTTTTTCGTTCGCTTTCAGGTTGAGTTGCTTTACTCGTTCAAATTTGTCTTTGACAAGAATTAGAATTGTCAGAAATGTAGCAAAATATTGTAATGATCATGAGAACATCGAATCTGGAGAAGAAAAGGTTATAAAGAAACGCTGGGAGGTAAAGTTATCATGATTGATGAGGAAAGGAAAATTTCTCTAAATTCAAGTTCCATGCTGACGACGGAACCAGACAATTGATCAGCTTTGAGTATAAAATTGAGAAGCAAGTTTATTCAAAAAAAGTCAACAAATGCTTCGACAGAAAATAATTGGCCAAAATTTTGCGAAAAAAGAGGTTCCTTTGACAGATACATTTTGATGGTTTCAAGTTTTACTCAATTTTTACTCCAATTTTGTTAATATCTTGAATTTTTGAGGCAAAAATAAGATTCTATTCATGAGATAATTTTGTTGTTTACAATAGACTGCAAGTTGAACCTTATTTTTGAAAGGCTTTGCTTCCAGTTGAACCTTAAAAATGGATTTACATAACAAAATCTGATTTGGTTCAACAATTTATACAAATTGATTGAGTTAACTGTTGACAATCTATTAGAGTGGCAAACTACAGCATAAAGAAACAAATGACAATAATAATGAAAATAAACTGTGAAAATGAACAAAGAATCAACTTTAATCGCAATGGAAAACAAAATTACAATTAATTCATTTGGGAGTTTTTTTCATTTTTGGTTAACTTGTGTTTAAAATTAAAATTGCCATTTCTTTTTGTTGGTACACCTGTGAGGCCTTCAATGTTTGAACTCTTTTTTTACGTTTTATAACATTTTTTATTGACATCAATTGGTTCAACAACAGCCTACAATTATAATTGATTGTCAGGTTAATTTTAACATTACAATGGAAACTTTATTGTTGAACCTTTTCCTCTTTGGGTTGCTGAAGCTCAAAATTTTTCAGCTAAAGCTTCCAAAAGTCTGAAGATTCTGTTATTAAACCTTTCTTCAGGAATCAGGGACACATAAGCACTAAAGGTGCTTTTGATGTACGAAGGTTTGTTTTTTGTAGTTTTTTCTGGTTCCATATTATTCAAGAGATGAAGTGATCTAAGATATGCTTTGAGAAAACTGTTTATACGAATATTCGGTGAATATTTTCTGAGTATAATTTTGTTTTCCATCGATAATCGCTTCTTTTACCTTGAACTTGTTATTCTTATAATCGGTTTTTTCGTCGAAATTATTTTTCCGTGAATCTGCCGGCAGCCTTGTTTTGACTTTACTCTATTTTTTGACTTGTTTAGCTTAACCTAATTGCTTTTATGTTATGCTTTTTTATGCTGCTGTTCATTTTGAGGATTTTGGTTGGAAGATGTTGAAGATGAGGATGATGATGAGAGGATCTAAGGTCTGAAAAGATGAAGATGAAGGGAAAATGAAAAAAAAAAGATTTGAGTTAAATCGATAGAAAGGGAAAATATGATAATCAAATAAGTGCTTTCACTGTATTGTTGCTTCTTTATTCATATGGAAGTTCAATTGTTGATGTTGAACAATGAAAGGTTACAGGTTTGATTAAGATGAAACAAGGTTTGCAGGTTGAATGATTAGTTTTAATTGTTACACATTGAAGGGTTGAAAGGTGATAGATTGATGTTTAACTTGGTTAGAAATGATTCATTTGTAATTACAATTTACTTTCCAATAGCTAACATCTTGGATAAATGAAAATCTAAAAATTTGAGACAAAAATGGGTTGGGATGGTTATTAAGGTTGCAACGATTTGAGTATCATTTGAGACTCGAGCTAATTTAGATGAGCCAAGTGAATTGTCAATCAGTTTTGAATGTTATTGAAGGAGTAACATTGAGTTGTGATCTCTAAATCAGTTATTAGTTTCTGATATTCTATTCTATTATATCTTTCAATCCATGCTCGGAGGCTGATTCCACTTCTAGATTGAGCCTTTCATCAGATCTTTCATAGCTTTTATCACTTTTCGGATTTTATTAATTAGTTTCCCGTTTATTCAGTTAAAATGTATTCATAAATTTGCAAGTTAAGATGAATAATCCACTGAAGTTCAGAATCTTAGGAACAAAAGAAAATTTTTGTTCAGCTTAAAGCAATTTCAATGAAAACAATTGTTATACATGGTTGTTACTAAAAAGAAACACAACTAACACAATTGTCACATTTATGCACAGATTGTCACAATACTGAAAAAAACAAATGGGAAAAAACGGGTGAAAGTAAATCTCTTTGAGAATTAGACTCTGTCAGATTGTAGAGAAATGAAAACTGAGTTCATCTGTGCGATTTCAATGTTTCTATGATCGATAGTTCTTGAGAAAATCGGGTTCGAAGTTGTAACTTGCAAAGCTTATTGTACAACTATGGAAGCACATTTTTTCATGAAACTCATAGTATTGATGCATCTTTTGATGATCAACCAGGAAATATATTCATTTTAATAAAAAGACCTTTTCTTTGTCTGTAAAATAGATTAGGTCAATTTTCAGTAAAACCGATCACACTCTGTGAACGTAAGAGTTATTGAGCTGAAACTTATTATTTGTCCATGAAAACTGTCAATTTACATTTTGGATTGATTAGTTTTATCAGTTTAACAACAGTGATCTTGATTTTGGCAATTGGACTTAAAACTTTCAACCTCGATATTTCGATAATGACATAACCTACAATCATCAGTCTTTCAGCAATTTAATACTTTACTGATTAATAAGTCAATATAATCTGATAAATCTTCATCAGCGCATTCGGGTTACGATATTTGGCTTGTAAATGAACAAGCAACTGCTTATTTAACAAAACAAAACTCATATAAACCCATTTATTGGTGAATAAAGCAATTTTCTGGTTAGACTTGCAATGTAATGCAAAAAGGGCTGCCAAAGACTCGAAAGTTTGAGTAAAGAGTTGAAACTTAGTGCGGTTTGTAGGGACATAAAAACTGAGCTGAATGGTGCTAGTAAATACTTCATCCGGTGAACAGTTTTTGAGAAAATCGAGGCCCATTTGGAAACTTCGATCGCCTTTTGTGCAGCCAAGAAAGCAGATTTTTTCACAAAACTTATTTTTCTGATGTATATTGCAATCACCAACCGGAAAATGGTCTCATTTTGAGGAATGGCATTTTCTGTTTCCGTAAAACAGATCAAGTTCAACTTTCAGTTAAACCGACTTCATTCTGTTATCACGAAAGTTAGAGTGCTGAAACTTATTGTGTGGCTATAAATATTGTTGCTGCACATCAACAACTGAAAACTTTTTTCAAGTCATCAATAGTTTTCTCAATTTTGGCCATTGAACTTAAAACTTCGAACCTCGATATTTCGCAATTGACATCATCTACAATCACCATTCTTTCACTAAATATTAGCTTCTATTATGGACTATAATAAATCGAAACATTAAGGCATTCAAGGTCCTACAAAAAAAGTAATGCTATTGAACTACTTATGTTGTCAAATTTGAGACTTGATAAAAAAAGCTAAACAAAAATCTACTGCGTCGCTAGGTTCTTCATTATGAAATGAAATATCTCAGAATTTATTCAATATTTGATCATATTTTGTTATAGCCCATAATGAAATCTATCGTTTAGGGAAAAAATGGGGATTGTAGATGATGTCATTTTCGAAATATCGAGGTTCAAAGTTTTAAGTCCAATGGCCAATATCAAGAGGACTGTTGTTAACCTGATAAAATTATTCAATCCATGATGTAAGCCAACAGTTTTCGTCGACAAATAATAAGTTTCAGATTGCTAACTCTTACGGTCACAGAGTTTGATCGGTTTTATTGAAAATCGAACTAATCTGTTTTACAGACGCAGAAAAGTTCTAATCCTCAAAATGAATACATTGCCTGGTTGATCATCAGAAGATGCATCAGCATTATGAGTTTCATAAAAAAATCTGCTTTCTTGGCTGCACAAAAGGCGATCGAAGTTTCGACCTTGCCCTCGATTTTGCAAAAACTGTCCATCGGATGAAGTATTTAATAGCACCAATGAACGTAGTTTTTATAACCCAACGATTCCCACTAAGACTGAACTCTTTACTCAAATTCTCGCGTCTTTGGCAGCACTCTTAGCATTACATTACAAAGTTTAACCAGAAAATTGCTTTATTTACCAATAAATGGGTTTATATGAGTTTGTTTTGTTAAATAAGCAGTTGCTTGTTCATTTACAAGCCAAATATCGTAATTCCAATGCGCTAATGAAGATTTATCAGATCATATTGACTTATTAATCAGTAAAGTATTAAATTGCTGAAAGAATGATGATTGTAGGTTATGCCATTATCGAAATATCGAGGTTGAAAGTTTTAAGTCCAATGGCCAAAATCAAGATCACTGTTGTTAAACCAATGAAACTATTCAATCCATAATGTAAGCCGACAGTATTCATGGACAAATAATAAGTTTCAGCTTGCTAACTCTTACGGTCACAGAATTTGATCGGTTTTACTGAAAATTGACCTAATCTATTTTACAGACAAAGAAAAGTTTTCATGCTCA